TGTTTTCTATTGATCGAATCTAATCAGTATATATGTACATATTTCCATTATTATCATTTTATAACACAGCTCGAATTGTTATACTTTTAATAAAGTATAAACTATTCATAATAAAGTTGAATTGTAGTTCACATATGTTATAATGGTTTCTTCCTAAGACTACTAGTAATTATCCAAAAAATGACTAATTTTTATTGTCTTTAAATATATTTTGGTTTAAAGTATAAAAATAACCTATTATTTGAGCAAATATTTTTTAATTTGTTATGAATTTTAGTTACGGTGGACTATTTTTTTTTTCAAAATACAAATTATTCTTTCCCTTACCTGACGTTTTCTTGATACTTTCGAGCATTTTCAGGGACGTCTGAATGCTAATAACAGGAAGCTGATATATAATCAAATAATTCGACCCTCCCCTCTATATGGGTCGGTAGCGTTCAGTAAGACCTCAAACACTAATATTCGCCAGCTCGAAATTGTACAAAGCCATACTCTAAGAAGACTTTTCAAGGTGCCATGGTACATTAGGATGAATGACATCCTCAGGAACTTTAAAATTGATCCGATCAAAAAATAGATAAAGGATTGAGTCCTGAAATTATTTACGAAAACTGACAGGCTTACCAACACCGCGTTATCGAATCTCAGAATAGTTACAAGCTCCTCGGGGAGGTATGCAGATCTAAGGTAAGTTATTGTTTAGTCTGATGAAATGATAAATAGTAATCCAGTCTAAGCGTACAAAGGGGTTATGAAGAAAACTTGCAGTTAATAGAAAGTAAAAGTACTCAAATGGACTTACTCAACTAGCCTCAACATTATAATATTAAAATATAAATGTGAAAATGTGAAAATAGTAACCTTCTTTCAAATACAAAAAAAAATGTTTATAGAGAATTATTTTTAATAATATTTAAAAACAATGTATATGCACATCATATTAAAATATTTTGCGATTGCTTACAATTTTACGTAAAGTTTTTTTAAAAATAAAAGAAATTCAATCAGGATTTAATTTCACTTTTTTCAAAAAAATACAATTTCAAACTCGTTTCTATTCTTTATGACTCCAATTTAAATCTCTTTTTAAATATAATGTTTTGAATAGACACCTGAAGAGTTAATTATGTAGAAATTGTTTATTTAAACCTGCTATCCTGACTCTGATTTAGCTTAGTGTTTGTTGTTAACTTGTTATTCATTGCAATCTAAAACAGGCAACGCACTCACTCACGCTGCACTGTGTAATCTTTCAGCCTCTAATTGTTAATCTAAATTTTAAAATTTGATAGGAATCCAAATAAAAAGAAAAGCCTGTAACTTTTATTTTGCGTTTCAAAACACATTGACTTTTATTTTCATGTTTAAAACAGGTTAAAGGCTTATTTATTAATTTTTCTTTCAACAGATTTGCTAAATAAACGCTTCAATTTGACTTGGGCTTTAACTCATAAACTATTATTAACTATTATTTAAATTTAAGAACTCAACTTCATAATTCAATCATATCCTTTAAGTGTATTTACAAATATTCTTCTCAATTAACTAACAAATATTGTTTAAAGCTAATTAGATCTCAAATTGTTTCTTCTGTAATATGTGCTGAGAAGTGATGACATTGTAATGTTTGAAAAATATTTTAATTTAAGTGTGACGATATGCTCCGGATATAATTTTGAACTACTTAATATATAATCCTCACGCAAACCATCCTCAACATGTGTATTCAAAAAATTGAATTCATCAACATACTATCAAATGTAAACATTACCTTTAAATGATTTCTAAGTGGCATTAATTATGTTTTTACTATTATTTACCGGAGAAGGTACTTCCCTTTTAATTGAAGTTTTTCGCTATTCTTTTTGCTGTATTGTATTAATCGAAATTATAAATATTGTATTAGGTAAACTCTCAAATTGTTGCTAGTTTCTAAACAATATGCAGTCGCAATCCGTACCTTTTGACTGACATTTAATAACAATCACATATTACATATATTTTCAAGTTACATAGATTTACAAGATTTGCGATTTTTCAATTTGGATCGTTTACTAACCTTTGAATACATTTAATTTGTGAAACCTTACCACAAAAATGGTAATGATTTTTCACACCAATATATTAAAATAAGTATTATATCAAAATCTCGATCACACGTATACTTCATTTACGTTTACTTTCGGAATCACAAAATGGTATTATTTCGAAATAATGCATTCACACAAATTCACTTATAAAAAATGTAAATAATTTTTAAAATTTTATTATGTGCAACTTATTTAGTTTTACTGTTACTATTGAAAGAACTACTTATCGTACTCTTAAAGCATTTTCAATTATTTTATTTGTTTAAAAAAAATAAATGGCAACTATATGCAATAAAAATATCATTTGTTCCTTAACAATACACTTGCATCAAAAACAAATTAAAATAAATCACTTAGTTTGAGAAAATTTTAGAATATTAAGGAGGAATAGAAAGTTCCAAATATAAAATGAAGAAATTTACTTTTCTATTTTAGAAACTTACAATTCTACTTGTAGATCCTATATAAAATTTATATATTACACAATTAAAAAAATCCAATATGATCCAATGATTGTAAAAATTTCGACTATATTGATAAAATATAAATTAATAAAAAAAAATTCTACTGCAATAACTTAATTCCAAGTGATTCATCATATATTAACTATGAAAATTGGTTTCACATATTTATATAATATATTTATATATTTCTTCTAAATTTGCAAAACATTTTTCGAGAAATTGATATTCTGATATATAATTTATTATATTATTGGTACTACTCAGTACCAATAGCCCCGTAATCCAGTTTACATCTTTTACAGCTGCGAATATGATTCTGTGTACATATATAGTTACAAGTGTACAACCGATTATTCCCTCCTTACATCCTCAACCACGTCTGATATAACAGAAATTGCCTTTGCTGCTTTCATGTCATGTTTTATTTTATACATGAATTCGTGGGAATGAATTATCAGTGTGTATGTATATTGCCAAGATTCTCAAGTTGCTAAGCTGCAGTATCTTGTATCTTAATGAAGCCAGCAGGCGTCAGCCACCATATTTTGTGAATTCAATACAGCTAGCATCAATGAATAACACCAACAGTAACATTTCAAATACTTCAGATCCGTCGAGTGGTGAAGTAGCTAAACTGAAGTAACTGCAAATACTAAAATATAATTTTCTTATATTTTTTTCCAAATATAATGTAGTAAGTTAATATTTTAGAGTTGAACTTTTATCTTCCACTTTCGCTGGCATATGAATAATACAGTATGTAAAGGTCTACAGGGGCTCACAACAAAAAGGCAATTTACTGATTGTTACTGTATTTCAGATAAATAAAATTCATTTTACTTCACATTTCTTTAAATAAAACTAAATATTTTATTTTTAAATATTTCACAATTTAAAATGCATCTTCGTGACACATGTTCAAAATATTTCCGTTGTGGATAGAAACCTCATACTTGCATCCGAACTCAAGCAAACTAAGCTAACTTAAAATATCTCAAGATGTCAAACAAAAAGATAAAAACGAAATTATAATTTCTTATGACAACATTTGACAACGGAATAGCATTTTTTGGTACCGCGTTTAAAGAAGACATTCTATAACTTCCCAAATTTGTATGAGAAAATTGTAAACAACACTTGATGTTTGTTTAATTATTTATTTTTTTTTTTTTGAATACTCTAAACGCCAGTTTTTTAATAAAAACTGCGCTAAACTCTTAAGTAATCATTGTAATTCGACTACTGGCGCATCTTTCAAAGCGAAACACGTAATTATGGGAATTTTAACACAAAACTGAAGATTAGATGAAATAATTTATAATTCATAAATATAATTATAATAATTGTAAATGAATTCAACTTAATCAAGAAGTTTTTATTTAAATAAATTATTTTTATTTTTATTATATTAACTACGACAAATGAAAGTAATGCTAATTAATTTTGTTTCATACTTTTACGTACTTCATCAAATTTTATTATTAGAGACACACCAAAAAACATAAGCGACAAATAGTTTTTTGTAGAAGATAATAATAAGATGTTGTATCAATTGATGACGCGCTGAAATTTCGTAATTTCATATTTTCTTCATCATAATTTATAATTTTTCCGAATACCTTCACTTTCTAGACAAAAATAATTTATCCTTTACTGCTGGAGCCCCAAGTAAACGAATTTTCGTGACATCAACGTTTCTTGTATTACCCAGCAGTTAATGTATAGTTACGTCACGAGCTTCTTCAATCTTATTTTGATAGCCAAAATAAGTAACTGCTTTTAAAGTAACTCCCATTTCTCAAACCGGAGAATTGCAATTTTTATATATAACATATGTTACATCGACTGACATTTACGCTGCAATACAAAAGTGCTTCAAAACATTGCCATTCTCGATAACTGATAGTATTTTGTGGGGTCCGTGAACCGCAATGGGTTGGCCTATTGCTTTGTATGTGGTCAATAAGATTTCTTTATCTTCTTCTTCAAGAACAGTCTGCTAATATCTATCACACGTTGTTAACAGAGAGTGGCTAAGGATTTGTTAGGGCAGAGGTATATTTTTCTAACTCCACAATATTTTGTCACTTCAGAAATGTATGCGTTTATTTTATTGTATAATAAAAAAAATCATACAACAGATCTGAGGAGTATCGGTGGAAGAGCACTGTCCTGCGGGACTCGTTGCTTCAATTTCCTGTTTTTGGACATCTTTACCTGATGTCAACATTATACTTATGTTGTAATATATGTTGTAAATATTACATTAAATATATGTATATATTTCATCACACAAATTCACTTTTAATAAAAAAACATGTATTTATATAAAAGTTTTTTGTTTTATTAAAGTTACATTGAATGTCGTATTATGCGCTAATAAGTAAAATATTTTAATTAAAATCTTTTGAGTAAATATTTAAAATATATTTGTGTAAAACTACAAATACAATGATACAATCTTAATTTATTGTCACTTAGCAAAATCTAAATATTTAACTATTAAATAAATGGTTTTTTATGCCTTGTGTATATAATGTATATATTTATAAAAATGCCTTACATCTATTTAAATTTCTATAAAGACTAACTTGTCCATGCTGCAAATTCGTAAAAGACTACAAAAATGTATTATATATAGTACAAATGTATGAACGTTTTAACACATGCATGTTTAAGATATATAATAAAATTCCAATACAGAAGACTTAAAGATAGAAATGAAAAACTCTATTTAAACTTATAAGTGCCTTAATCTAAAAACCTGCTCAAACAGTCTGAGGTTAGCCCGAACTCATTATAAAATTGATGATTAGTTTATCTGAAGCAACTTTTCAACTCACGCATAAGTGTGAGTGCAGATGATGTTTCTTCACATCAATAAAAGTTCTTGTTTCTACAATGAGGAAAATGCAACGCACAGTGCACGGACATTACTATCATCAGGTAGCTGGTCGAACAGGTACTTATCACAGCCTTTGGCACAATACGCACATTTTCCGAAAACATGTTCTTCATTGCGCCTAACTTACATACAATTTTTTTATCTTCCTATTTTATTTATATTCATTTTCGTCTCAACTTTACACTTCATGTGATTTGATTTAATTTTAATTGAATCATACAAGTTGAATCAGTCTGATTTGAAAAGCTATTGAATTTCAGAGGCGGTAATGACTATGCTGCTACTTGTTCAGTAAGCCTGGTGAATAAAATAGAATTTTAATGCAACTTAAATGTAAATTATTTACATTTGTCCTTACCACAGGTGGATATGAAATATATTTGTCACTCATATTAAAATAGGAGCCATCTGGAGGTGGTGCTGGTGAGGGTGATGAGACGTAACTACCCTTTATAACCAATGAGGATGCCGGCGATGGAGATGGTATATACAATCCATTTGACATCAACATCTGATCGTCTTTGCAACGTGCATAATCGCTTACAATGCCACTGCGACTGCTGTGTCGCTTAGGATTTGGCAGTGTACGTGTAAAATCGGGATTGCAAACATTGTAGGGTGAAGTGCACATTGAGCTTTCTTGGTATTTAGGAGGATAAGCTGTAGATTGTATAATATCTACATTTTCTACTAGATAAGTTGAAGCAGCTTTTTTATGCACATCTGACTGCAAGGCAGTAATTGGGAGCTGAAGATTTAAATATTAAAGAGATGTTATATTTACATTTTATTAAAAATTTACCTTATAAACTGATTGATTATCATCTTTGGAGTATGCATCATCGTTCGGACTTTCGCTTTCTGAGGTATTTTTATTTTGACGGCGTATTACAAACCAAGCTACTAATGCAGCATTAAGCACCAATAAAACCATTGCGGCAGAGGTAATACCTATTATCATAAAATTAGGCATTTCATCTTTTTCTGTAAACTCGTTTAAATATGGTTGGGCTCCTGAAAAAAGCAAAGTTTGTTTAAAGGTTTTATACCCTATCTTTTGCTCAGCTTACCACTAGCTAATGTCAGTTTTAGATCCGGCAAGTATTTACTACCACCTACTTCATTAGCTGCCATTACCGAAAAGTAATATACAGCACCAGATTTCAAACCATTTAAAGTGGCATTAAACCATCCAGGGTTAATATCTACGAATTTGTATTTGTCTTCATTTTGAAGCCTATAGCGTAAACGATAATAAGTTTTTAGACCACCGTCAAAACCTGGAGACCACACTAACACCACAGAGTCATCTGTGGCGTTATCCACATTTATCGCTAAAGGAATATCAGGTCGAGTTGGTTTAATCAATTCGAGAGTCGAACTTGCTTGCCCATGAATATTACGTACCACACACTCATATGGTCCGTAATCATCAGCAGAAGTATTTTCAACATATAGGATAGACTCATATGTAAGCCCATTTACCATGTTTTCTACTGCTTTGAATTTACTGCGATGCAGCATTTTTATATCGTTACCAAAACGTCGCCAGACAAAAACAGGTAGAGGTGCTGCAACAGCTTTACATATTATACGACCTCGCTCACCAACGCGTACAGCAAAACGGGTATATGCTGGTGAATGGTCAAGTTCTGGTGCCGCTGTGTAATTGAAAAAATAAGATCATTCAAAAACTTTGTAAAATGTTTCACAACTCACACTGCACAATAAGTAGCACATTGCGTTGATCTATCTTTCCGCGTTGATTATCTGCAATGCAAGTAAAATTTCCTACATCCTTACGTTGTACCTGCTTAATATGTAAATACGATGTATTATTAATAAAAGTAGTTGAAGTACGGTCTTCCATATTGTATCCATTCCGCACCCAATATACATGTGCTGCTGATAATGGTTTCGCGTTAACACTACAGGAGAGTACGGCATCTTCACCAATCACAAAACTACTATCTGCAGAAATTGACTCAATCGTTGGAGCATCTGAAAACGCATTAAAAATGCATAAATCCAATATTTTATTATTACCATTAATATATCACACGCAATACTTACAATCGACTATTACATTGATTTCCAACATAGCAGTGCCTTGAGAATTCATTGCCTCACAAACATAATTTCCACCATCGTTGCGACTTAACTGGGTAATGTTTAAAACTGGACCAATTGCCATAATACGGTTAACACCCTCGTTATTTGATAATATTGGTAAACCATCTCTTGTCCATGTATAGGATATAGATGTCGGGTTCGCAGTAGCTTGCAAAGCTATGTGTAACGGTTCACCTTCAATACCCGCAAATTGAGTTTCTTGATCAACATCATATTTTGGCGCAACTAATCAAATAAGTATACATTTTAGTTCATTCAAAGATTGCACTTATATATTTACTTACAAAGTATGTTTAAGCTAATTGTTTCATGAACGCTTCTTTGAAGGACTTCATTGTTGCTTTGGCATGTATAAACAATACCATCCAAGTCCTGAGTTATATTAACAAACATTTCCAATGTAGACACAGCACCTCCCCAAAGGCCGGATTTAGTAGAGAGATTTATACCTTCAACTGGTATACCATCCTTCCACCATGATATTTTTGCTGGTGGATTACTTGAACTTGAATCGCAAATAAGTTTTGCTCTAATACCAGGCACAAGGTTTTTCGGTGAGACACTAATTTTTACTGTTTCGGGTGGAACTATGAAAATAAATATATATGGTATTTTAACTAATTAATCGAGAATATCTATAACTAACAACTTACAATGTACACTAAATGTTTTTATGGCAAATAATGGAATCTCAATTGCAGAATTCCTCACTTCGCACTTGTAAATTGCATTGTTATCTGTGACATTCACAAGTATTGACAATTCTGACACTATTTTGTTATCCAGAACTTTCACTGCAACGTTTAGCTTTTTGTCATTCTTGAACCAACTAAGCACAGGTACAGGATTACCACCAACAGAAGAGCAGTGTAGTTTTTTCACTGAACCTGATGTAATAATATCTCCATCGTTATAGCCCATTAATAGAGGAGGAGAAGGTGGATCTACATTAATTTTAATTAGAATCAATAACACATTTTTTTCAGACGCATTCATAGAACTTACACAACACGTTTACTGTATGCGAAGTAACTACATTTTGTGTTAACTCCGTATTAAGTGCATGGCAAACTACAACGAAAGTACGACTCTGTGCGTCAATGGGCAAGCTTATATTAGAAGCGCTTGTCCAGCCTCCGAATTCACTTTTTATTGTTTTATAAGTGCTGTTTCCAAAAGGACGACCATTCACAGACCAATTGATTAGTGCAGCTGGATTGGATGGAGAACTTATACACGATAGTTGTAAAGAATCGCCAATTTTTGCTTCAGTCACACCCGTAATAGCGACTTCTTTCGGTGCGTCTATAAAAACAAAAATTACATTCATTAATCCTAACATTAAGTGAAATATAAATTTCTAATTCAACTTACAAAACACTGTTAAATTAAGTTCTGCCTTAAGAGCCTTATTTGCAAGTATGTTCTTAGCTTCACATATCAAATTTGCACCATTGTCAGACTCCTCAGCCATAAACGTATAAATATTTTCAGATAAACGACCCGTGGTTCTACAAGTAATAATTAATGTATAGAATCGGTTTATTTTTGTACAGTTAGTGCATTCATTACCTCTGTGATGAAGAAACAGCTACCCCATTTTTATACCACAATAACTGTGCCGGCGGATTGCCGCCACGACTACGACAAGCGATTTGTACTTGTTGACCACGCCTCAAAGTTTCGCCTGGCCCATAGCCCTCAAAAAATGGTGGCCCAGGGGGATCTGCGGAGTTATAGTTGTAGTTTACAATTTTAAACAACATTTCAAATATATCAACACTCACATAAAACGGACAATTGTATACTTGAACGCATTGGAAGATCTGGCGGCAAGGCTTTGTGCCTTGCTTCGCAAGACAGTTCTTTGAAATCATCATCCGCTCGTGGTCGTATGATAACCGTAGAAATAGTCTTAAAACGTTTGGGTACAACTTCTTTGATTTCAATTTTAGGCACAACTGTAGTTTTAATCATAACAGTTTTTTATATATATTTTAAGTTAGATAAATAGATAGTAGTACTTACCATCAGTAAGGTGGGTATTGCCATAATACCACACAATATTTGCAGCTGGATTCGCATTTTCGGTGACACAAGTTAAAGTTAAATTCTGTTTTTCAATAACTTCAACTTTCGAATTCTTTGTATAACTTTCAATTGCAATAGAGCTAGGAGCAGCGATTATATTGAGTTTGGCATTTGCTCGAATAGCGGGATTACCAGGAGCTGGTCCAACCTGGCACTGATATTCAGAATCATCTTCTAAGGAAGCGTTTTTGATTTGCAAGTTGTAAATACCGTTTTCTTTATCTACCAATACTGAATAACGCGGAAAACCATGAATAACCGCTGAAAAACCGAGTGCGAAACCATCTTTAGTCCATTGCACCTGACCAGCGCGTGCAGCTACTTCGCAGCGCAACAATGTATCAGTCCCTTCAAGAATTTGTACATCATGTGGAGTTATTTTGAAATGCTGCTCTTTCGTGATTTCTGCAGTTGACTTAAATTTCAATCCTTAAATGTGAAACAAAATAAAAACTTTAACGCACATATCATATAAAATTTTATTATTGATGTTCGAACTTTGACACGGCCTACACGCATCATACTGCCTAAATCGTCTTTTAAAATGTCATTCACTTTTCTGATTAACAAAACCACAATATGATTTACAGAAACACAAGGTATGAGTATTTCCTTACCTAAAACATGTATAATTTTGACAATCTTACTTTCAATGCAGTCGTCTCCTAATCTCGGTTTAAATTTCTCCATATTCTTCTCAATATTATTTAATTTTATTAAGTTTGGTGCGAATTTAACTGGAACTTCTTTGAATTCATTTAATGATTAATTAAGATTTAATGATTTTCGTCAATTATTAAGTCATATGAATTGTGATATAGTGATAGCAGTATTGTCCAAATTACCAAAGATCATCGCCCGTTGTCTTTCTGTTTGTAAGTCTACCAATCCGTAATTTTCGGTGTAGTGGTCAAAATTAAAAACAAATATTAAAATACGACTACCATTGTTATATGTGAGGGGTGACTTAAAATACTTTTTTATCGGTCCAAATTTTAATTAATTCAATTAAAATCAATTGCATGCTGTACGTAAGATAGCCATGATTAAACACGAATGCATCCCATTCCCATTTCATAATGGGATTTAATTTAAATGAAATTTGTATAAAAATAAACTAAATTTTAAATCATTAATATTTTATCAGTGTCGGTAATTCATTTTAATAAAATGTTTGTTAAGCTCTCTTATATATTTTTCTTATATATTCTAACCCACTCAATAACAACATTAAAATAACAACCAAAAACATACACAATCCATAAATCCACCAAATAAACAAGTCAACTTACAATACAATACAGTACAATACTTGACCTTATAACCCTTATATATATATGTTTTTATACAAATTTAAAAATGTTCTAAGCTTATTTAACAGTACAATACTCGTAAAATCAAAATTTAAATAATTTCTAATTTTTCCGTTACTGTAAGTTTCTGCTTTATACCGCTCAAATTTTGAACGACTCACATGTGACTCACATATGCGAGACCGAAATTGCATATTTATTGTTCGAATTTCTGGCGTTTAGAACATATCCGCTTTTGAAGTGAACTGTCGTTAACCTTTTCAGTTTAGAAGCTGCTGCCGAAAGAATCAAGTGATGATAAATGGACAGACACTCATTTTGTAGACTATACTTATATCAGTTTATATGCTATTTATTGCAGTTTTTGTCGTGTTGTCAACAGTAAAAATTTGAATTTAATAGAGCAAAAACAGAAGTGTTCACAAATTACAATTTAGAATTCACAACAATCCACAATATAAAAGAGTACTTTCATATAGATCAGTCAGCCTTTCGTCGATAGTCAACAAAATCTAAGAAAAACTATTCCTTTTAAAATTGAAATCCATCATTGAACATATGAGTCTCATATCAAATCATCAATTTAGTGTTACAGCCAAAATCGTGGCACAATAATATAAGTACATCTAGTTCAAAGAATAATAAAAACTACATTTGATAAGAAACTTTGCATAAACTCTTTTGACATATTTACCAAGTCATAGATAATGTGTGGTTAATTAGTTTACCGTACTTACTAAAAAATATGCATATTGATTTAAAAAATTCTGAACCTATATAGTTGTTACCTATATGGTTGTCACCTTTATATTTGTGAAGTATTAAGAATAATACCACAAACTTAAACCCTGAAACTTTGAGCACTTTCAATTATAATAAGTACACAAAAATCATTTTGACCAAATTATTAAATGCATTTACAACTGGTTTCATTTTTTTTGAAACGCATTCATAATTAAGTTCTTGTAAAAGTGGTTAAGGATTCATGTTTCGGGAATAATTGATAGATTCAAACTGTGTAAAATTAACTTCACTAAACGAACTATCTCGTTCTTATTTCGTTCTTATATTTTTTTAAATCTTTTTTATAAATTATTATTGTTATAATAAATTGTTATAATTAAAATGAGTACATTACAATATCAGGAGCAGCAGCAGTCAACAGTTAACAATCAGCAGTTTCATAAGGCGAAAGAAAATATAATAGAAATAGAATAAAAACAAAAATATCCCTACAATTTTAAACTTATATTCTATATAAATTCTCTGTAAAACATTAAAAATTGTATCACATCCATATCCACATTACTGAAGATGTAGGTTGTGCGCTGTGCATATACTCAGCTGCTGTTTACAATAATGTGATTTAGATAACTTTTAAACAGACAAGTTTATAATCTAAAAAAGCAACCTGTTTTCGATTCCAACGTATGAACGCAACAAATTACTCAAAAAGCGCGCTTAATCAAAAGGTGCAGTCTCACTATATTCATTCATAAAACAAACTTCCTTCGCGCTACATACTCATATTGTTGCATTCAGCTATTCGCATCGATTCTCACTAATTATACTTTATTTTCCCTTCCTTCTGACTTACATAGTTCAAAATGCAATTGCTTTTATAGAGAAATATTCAATGGAAATATAAAGAAATATCGTATGAAGTATAAAAAAATTTATATACTCATTTTTCATAAGTGGTTGTTTTTCGTTTCTTTTAATGCGTAAGCGATTTTGTTTAAAATTGTCTTATCAAAACATAAGAACAGTAGATTCGATAGATTTCTTAACAAATCTATTGGTTTTTTAACCTTCTTTTATTCATAAGAAGGCAATAGGAAACGTTAAACGTTAAACGACCGAGATTACTTGTTGAATAAAAGCCGTTATTTACTCCTTATTTGTGATATACACAAGTGTATGTTACCCAAATTTTTAAAAGTAAAATCATTTGAGTGAATGTATTATTCCTATACTTAGTGAAACAAGAACTCTACGGAAGATTGCAGTATGCACACTGAACAGAACCAGTGACTACAGTTCTACGAAATTACTTAACCGTCTGACATGCTTACATCTTTGTGTCAATGCCACATGCTTTCGTTAGAAATTTGTTTCTAAAAATTCATGAAAGACATTCAGTCCCAACCCTCGCTACTTATTAAGTAGAAATATTTAAGCCAAGTCACTAATGCGAGAACTATATTGAAACCTACCAAACAGTACAACATTCAAAACTTTTTACGGGTAATACTAAAGTCACAAGATCCCATAGGCGCTTTAAAAAAAAAACATTTTAAAAAATAAAGTAAATTTTCTTACATAAAATATGAATCAACTGAATTAAAGTAAAAATGCAGCAAAGTCGAAACGTTGACTGCACTATTCCATTCGGAGCACATCTAAACCGGCTTGACATCACACATACATAAACAATTCAAAACAGCACATGCAATATGCACCTTCTATGCATATTAAGGTACTTTCTTAATGTTGTTCGGTCAATTCAAGTTACGCAGTCACATACATACATAGACAGTACACACATTATTGCAAAAACAGAAACGTTTACTTTTTACTCTGCAGAACTTGTACACCTGCTGGACATAATTTGTTTTTTTTTTGTTTATTCTAGTTTTGCCACTTTTTCTTATACGTTTTTATTTCTTCAATAAAGTTTGTGTTGTAGTTGTTATTATTTTATTATAGTTTACTAAACTACTGCTTGTATAGAGTTGCTTGCGCAAACAAAATACGTATATGTGGCTGAAATGGAAACAAGAATTTATGTGAAACAACAGCATGTGTTAGCAAAAAGCTGCTAATTTTACATTGTCTTCAAATGCTGCTGTTCAATGGTTAAGCTGTCGTGTAGATATCATATTCTTTGAGGGCGAAGAACTGTAGAAAATATCATTGGTAAAATAACGAAGAGGATGATAAAGATAGGTTTAATGATCATTTAGCCATTCCCGCTTTTAGCCAGTGTTGTTAGTATTGCAGTGATTTTTTTGTTGACCAACGTTTTTACTTATTAACTAACTTCCAAAAGGAAGAGATAACATAATTTTGTAAGTTAATATCAATAGCGTTGATTACTTCCTGTGCTGCAACAGCGACGGCAACGATGTGCATACTGTTTCATTAACGCTCCTCGAAATTTACGCAAAATAAAAAACTCAGAAAGCCTTGGCTTTAAAGGCTTTTTTTAAATAGTGAGGTGAGTTTTTTTTAGTATGTACTTTCATAGCGTTTTCATTGTGTGTGCTTGAGTGTGAAATGTGCTGTTGTATTGTGGGCTTATGAATGAATATCAAGAAATTAAAAGGAAGTAATAAATTAATTGAAGAGAAGTATTTTTATATCAACTTGCTTACTTAAGGTTGTTTTTTCGTTTCGTTGCGTGTTAATGGAGCAACTTTTTTACAGTTTATGTCTCATATGTCAAAGCACCAAACCACCAATGAAAAATTGCTCAGGCCTACTGTTGCAATTTAGTTATTCATTACAAAAATAATATCTAATTTAGACAAAGAAGCTGGTGGCATATTTCGTCTCCAGCTTATTCTTCCATTCTATTTTTAATTTTCATATTGAAATGTCATATTTATATTTTGTATTAATATAACTTCATGAACTACTGCGGCTGTTGCAATTAACGAAAGAAAATATTTTCCGTAAATATAGATTCTAACAAATTTTACGACCACATTATGATGATTTGATGAATATAACGAGATTTTTAAAATAATTCCATACTATTGGTATCGCACACCTTTTTTCGTAAACTTTTTTCGTTATATGTACCCATTCCAACCATATTTCTACTTTTTGTGATAACCAAATAATTTCAATCACAACAGTTTGTCTAGATAGTGATAGTAAATTGATAAATAATAATAACAAATACTATAAAAACATGCGACAGAATTACACTTGAAACGTTCTTATTGACCAATTTTGATACGACAATTTAGGATGTAAGGACGATGTAAGGACGAAGAAAGTAGCAAGAACAGCATAAATGTATTCCACGTTAGCGAAGGAAAAGCCTGAATAAATTAAACCTGCTTTATTTTTTAGGTTATTTGTGCAAGTCCTTGCACTCATTTTGCACATTACAACGAAATCAATTGACATCTCCGCCCTAATAAACATACTCGAACCTCAAGTGATCGTTAAAATTATTATTTTCATAGCAACCAAATTTACGATATCCAAAGAGAGCAACTGCTGTCTTTGTATTTTAGAATCAGTATTTGGAATTTAGTAAATATTGTTGTAGAACTTTATTTTGTTAGGTAAAATATTCTGATCTTTTGGAATTAGAAGTTTTTACAAAATAGTTTTTTACTATTCGACTTCCACACAGATATTGAATAAAAATAAATAAAAACCTTATTATACAGATATTTAGTATAAGACAAATCCCCTAAAATTAAGTTACCTACTCATAAAAACTAATTTGTATTTGCTTTGTACGCATATTATTTTCTTTTCATATGAACAACATCAACTTTAAATTTAGACTGAATAGGAAAACGTTTTGTAGAAGAAGAAATAGGTTAAAGTTTTAAAACTATTTAGTTATTATTGATGAAGTACATATATGTCACATCCTTATTGTATTTTATGCGGAATAAACATTTTATTAGAATATACCTAATCCTTATCTTTAACCCTAAAGAGCACTCTCATACTCAATGACCATTCCTCATTTTTTTGAAATGTTTTTAACAGAAAGGAAACATATAGTTAGAGCGATCTACAGATTTCCTATTCTAATTAGGTCTCTCTCCTTTTTGTTATCTACGTTATTTTTATTAATAATGATTCATAATGAAACAAACGTTTTGCAATAGTTAAAAATTATTCCTACCCCTCAAATCATCATAATCTGGCGTGCTGTTTTTACAAATATGTTTTATGTTTTTAACAAAATAGTTAAATTTCTTCTTTTCACAACACCAGAAGTTTCTTCACGAGCTGGCAGGTTAAGCGCTCCCTTCTTTCCACCGTTAAGACTTAAATGAATGAAACTCACTGAAGAGACAGAGACAATTAAACCTCTGGTTTCTTTATTTTCGATCGTATTAATGCGTTCTTAAGTGTCACAGTTCAGCTTACTACAGTTTGAACTGAGCTACAGCCATTTGAGAATGTGTTACCAAAAACATTAGTTATTGGATTAAATAGTTTAGAACGAATAACGCGTTTTGCCTCTATTATTGTCCAACATTTGTCGGATTAAAGCTAGTAGTCATCATTAAGTTGTGTATAAGGGAGAGGAGAGCAGTAGGAGTAGCTGCTTAAGCAAAGTGCCTAGAATCGATTTTTACAAGATTTTTAAATAACTTTTATAGTTTCACATTAAGTATATACTGTTAGTATAATTTAGGGCTTTCAAATATAAGCAATAAAGTTAATGCTTTAGTAAATGGTGTTTATCGTGTTAGTTCAATAAAGTTTGAATGAATTTCAAGCAATCTAAATGAATAAAACATACCGATGTCACACAATGAGTGGAGCATCTTCTCTATTCTCTTGCATATCAAGTTACCCAATATAACAAACAAACATAAGGCGTAGTCGTTCCGAACTTGTGCGTTAATCAATTGTGGTATACGAAATAATTAATCAGTGTAATCTAAGATAATCAGTTTTACAGAGATTGCTATGGAACTTTAGATTTGTGCCACAGGATTTATTTTATAAATCAGATAAAGCGCTCAACCTATTCACAATTTTCCATAGATATTTTAGCGGAATTTACTATAAATAAGTAAGTACAACTAGTGGGAATAGAATTCAATACCATAACTGAATAAAAAATAATATTGCATAAACCAATGTAAAATTTGTAGCCTGCCAATTTGTAGTTAGCCAATTTATAAAGTAATATGTGCTTCAAGTTTGTTGTTAATATTTCATTGGAAAACAAGGTATTTGAGCAAACAGAACAGTATAATCAATCAATAAACTTAAATTAAAAAACTACTCTCCGTGGTTAAAATCCGAAACTTCGAGGGCAGCAACAAACTAATATTAGCTTAATACCCCTATCACCACCAAAACAACATTTTGCAACAACACAATAAATCATTAACTTATGTTAGAAATTAAGTGTTGTAAGCAAACAAAAAATGTACATGCAACAACAACGCATTAACTTTAGGTGCAATTAAATGTCAGCGAAAATATGCGCAAGAATACAACACAAAGTTCAGCACCGCAAACAACTTTATTCCAAGTGTTCAAATAATTGCTGTGAACTTTGCAAGAGTGGCACTGTTGTTGGACCTCAGCGAAGCATAATTTTTGCATGTAGCATTTAATATAGCACCTGTCTAGATGGATACCTAGCTTCCAAATCAAACGAACAATAAATTTAAATTTAGTTTGCGTATTTTCGAATTTGCGTTTTTGTTGTTGTCCCAGTTGTATAAAATGATGAAGATGTACTGGTTAGCGAATTAAGCTAAATTGAATTAGAAGATGTGCGGTGTGTAAAGAACACTCACCTAAAATCCAAGCAAATGAAAGAGCTATACATAAATGTTGCACGAAATGTCGTTGCCGCATCTTGTGTAATTTTTGTTAGCACAGTTTTTGGTTTCTGACTAAGTTGTATAAGTTTAGAGTTTTTATATTATATAAATTAAATTGAAGCAGTTTTCTATACAAATCAATTTTTATGTGAGCATATTTTAAAATTTTTAAATACCATATTTAACTGTACGTTTAACGTACATTTATGTTTGAAATTATTTTATAACACATACGCTCAAAATATAAAAAAAACACAAATTCTTTACTGCTACGAAAATAAAAAAATGTATCTTAATACATAAAAATTATTAACGATTTCACGAATAAAAGTTATCAATTACTTTTCTGCTTTAAATATATTGATTAGCGCAACACCCGCAATTTATTGCAACTTTAAAAACGCATTATTATCGGTACTTAAGACTTTTCAAATTTCTTGACACTTCACCACATTTCTCATAAATTGTCCGACAACCACAACCCCATTCGTCACTACTTCATAGCTACATCTGAACTAAACGGAAAAAATGAAAAACTGAGCGCTACAGTAGAGTTTGAAGCAATTTAACACTAGCTGCAACAATCGACAAAAAACAAGATTTCTACCAAACAAACCTGCAAACCTGTTTTAGTGCAACCAATACAGCAGAAGTACAAAATACAAGTACTTCAAACCACTGAACTCCGCAACTTCACTAACACATTCATTGCTATAAATTCACAGCATTCGTTCATTGCTGTGACAACAGTTGAAAAGCATGTAGGCATGTGTGTAGCTCTGTGATATTAAACACAACTCAAACCTGACTTTGAGTCAACTGTTGTAGATGCGCTGCACGGTTTGTTTTGTTTGGATTGGATTGGATTGGATTGGGAAAAGAGCAATTTAAACTTAAAACTTTTTAACTGAAGAGAAGAAGAGAAACATTGTTATTCGATTTGTATGTTTGTTTGCGATTAATAGCTGAATACATAAGCATTGTAAAAGAGAAAACTAGTTTTGGCTTTATGTTCGAGAAACTCAGGGTTGGTTGGTTCGCAGTTATATTCGAAACTCCTTAAGTGTTTATTGATGCCTAAATTTTCTAACTTAAAAGTTAAAAGTTAAACCAAAAGCAAAAATTTTATTCAATATTTTTACTGAATAATTAGGATTATATTCTGATTTAAAAAGTAAACTATACATTCAACAGTCATTTTAAATTAAAAGCTCTGAGTTTTCACTTGTTTTACATCTTAAGCGTATGAAATTATTTTTCTTTTTCATTTGTGATTTGAGCTCGCACAGTATAAGCCAAGTGAATGCATTTTCAAGTATTATCTGGTTTCGATCTTCTTTTTACTTTTTTTCTGCTTCCGATGGTTCAAGTATCATTTCTCTACGAATTGATTACTTTTCGCAAATTCAGTGGTTACTTGAGAGTCCCTCAATAGGATGTGCCAGCCTAGTAGAATAGTTGTCGGTCTTACGAAGCAATTTGATACTTTCATTTAATTTATGAAATTATTAAAAATAATTTAAAACACAAATTCAGCATTCTGCTGTTGCCCTTTTTTTGAATCGACAAAAATTTGTGTTTTGTTAAGGCTTGTTTACTTTATTAGAAGGTGATGTACTCCAACCGTTGCTATTTGTGTTATTGTTTCTGTTTCTGTTTTCACAGCTATACGGATGGCTAAGACGCTAAGTGCAGAGCAGCTCGATTAGGTGTTCAGTTCAGTTTAACTGAATCAGCTGAGCAAAAGCTGCCAGTCGAATATTTAATCGTTCCCACGCGACTAACAATAATGGGAATATTCCGAGATGAATCCATCATTGTTAACTTAAAACTTTGTGAATAATTTACAATTTGTTATTTGCTTTCCGTTTTGGCTTGTTATTTTTTGTATTTTCCATTATATATGTTGTTACAAGAAAAACCGTACCAAGACGCCTAATTTTAGTTTCAGTGCTGCTTTTTTAAACAATTTAAACTCTACAGTTCATCATGAACCCATCCTGTCTGTCATAGCAATGTAAGCACCCCACAAAACCTAAATCGTCGATAGCATGCTTCAGTCAATTTCTATTCGATTAGGAATTTCCTGAGCATTTTTCCTTCTTTAAAGGCTGAAAGATTTAAATTAGGATATCTACATTCATTATGATTTATATACGAATGCAGAGCAACATAATTTTCATTCACCGATTCACCGTCTTATTTATTTGTAAGTTACAACAACGAATTAATGCCATATTCTGAGAAATTTCTGTCACTTAAAAATTTCTGTCAATATATATTAATATAAGTTGTCATCAAATATGAAGAACAATCAAATTAAAGAACATACCCTTAATATCGCGCACAATGAAGACGAAGACGAACCACAAGTACGTAGACGTTTAAATAGCAGCAGAAATTTAGATACCGAAGCAGCCACTGTAGCTGAAATTGAAGTTGCATTTACTAAGCTTAAAAACAACAAATCCACAAGCTCAGATGGGGTTCCAGCTGAGTGCTTTAAAGCTGACCCGAATGCAATAGTTAGACTTCTACACCCGTTGTTCACACAAATCTGGGTTACTGAAGAACTTCATGGAAAATGGAAGAAGTCGAAAATGTACATGCTATCAAAGAAAGACGATCTAAGGAAATATACCAACTGGCATGGTATATCCATAACATAGTCTGTTACAGAAATCTTTAACCAAATTATATTGGACAGAATTGCAGAGCATCTATATAATCTCATAAGTAAGAAGCAAGCCGGTTTTACACCTGGCAAATCATGTGTAGACCATATTAATACCAGAGCTTATTATTATCGAGTAATCATCTGAATTAAATGCGCCACTGTATATCGTTTTCGTAGATTTAAAAAAAAAAAGAATTTTTATGGGAAGCTCTTGAATCAAGAAGTATATAATTAAAAATCATTATTCTTATAACGAATAGCTACGTGGAGGGCACCAGTAAAATTCTATTCGAGAGAAGACTAAGCGAACCGTTCTTGACATCAAGCGGCGTAAAACAAGGCTGCACATTATCTTCCCTATTGTTTATAACTGCCCTCGGTGTAGTTCCTGAAAGCATTAACCATCGTCCTAGCGGAATTAATTTACGACTCTCTGAAAATCTCACTGTGCTAGCACATGCAGATGATGGGGTTCTGCTAGCTTGCACCCATAATAACATGCAAACTTAACTTAATGCCTTGGCAAGTATAGCGCGAAAAATCGGTCCGCAAATTAATATCAACAAAACAAAATGCATGCAAATTAAAACAGATAACCAAACTTCACTTTATGTTAAGGATATACCGATTGAAGATGTGTGTGAATCTGAATACCTAGGTAGAATACCTAGGTTGCCACTGACGAGGGAACCAATGCGGACATTGAAAACCGAATATGCAAAGCCCGAGCATCCTTCAGCACACTTACTCGGATCTGGAAATGTTGCATCCTAACTCAGAGCACTAAGATTACAATATTTAACGCCAATATCAGTACCGTATATCAGTACTGTTGTGTGGTATCCAAAAACTGCAAACCTTCACCGTCACATTTTTTCGCAACTGTTTATTATTATTTTTTTTTTGTTATTTTTGTAGTAAAAAACAGTGTATTTTGCAAAAATTCAATTTGTGCAGAATTTCCGAAAATTGCGGATTTTCCTGAAAGCCTCCAATGTATTATTTATTTACTTTTGATTTAAATAATTTTCATATATTTCACAATCTGAAATAACCAGATAGATGTACCCTTGAATCTATTATTGTATTTTCCAATAATTTATCCCAATATTACGGCACAATTGTGGAACCTTTCGTTTAGCACAAAACAAAGACCGTAAAAATCGTAATCGAAGAAAGATGTCAAAGACCGTAAAAAATTATTAGAGCCAAAACCTATTATCGTACAGAAGTTGAATATCCGAAAGTCCGAAAGCTTTAACCCAAACATAAATTTAACCACAAGAAAAACTAAATTAAACAAGTAAAATTTATTCGCATTGATAATACCCAAAAACCAATAACTTCGCGTACCATAATTTGTTGCTATACTGATCGCAGTCATTTAAATTAATCATCTAAAATTATTATATTAATTAATTTATATTAATTCAGTAAGCATTATAACCTGCAAACACAGACAAATATATAAATAATTTCAAAAATGTTAAAAAATTACACGAATTTACATGCACATGTGCTTCGCGTAAACATAAAAAGCAAATCCAAACGAAACATTACATTTCATCTAAGCCGCATTTTTTTAGCAATTTGTTAACCAAAAAATCAGCTCGAACCGCGCAATCTCAAAAGTTCTTTATAGCTTTTTGAAAAATTTCATACGTTTGTAATAATACGGTTTTTGCCAACAATTAAAAACTTTTAATATAATCATTTAATTCACAATGATTAATATTATTTTATAACCCAACATCAGAAAATTCAGCACAAATTTTTTGACAATTTCACATGTTGCCAACCAAAGTAGTCAACAAAACTTAATAGTAAACACACAGTAAATACACAGTAAAAAAAGTACTTAAAGCAATTCCTAAATTTATTGATTCTAATATGGCTACAAATATTTTGCTAATTGAATATTGAAAACCAACAGACAACAATGCAATAAAACAATAATATATATGCCATTATCACATTAATTATTCTGCCTATTGTGAACATTAGAAATATTTTAAAAGCGTAACAAAATAAACAATCACTGTTTTTAGCGAAATGTACAGGTTTTAATGAGTCGATTGACTCATATTGTTAAAATTTAACGTTAAAATCCCAATCTGATTTCAGACAAAAATTTGTACAAAATTAAGCTGAAATGAATTTTGTAATTCACAATAATACATTCGTCTAGCACTATTGTGTCAACAAGGCAAACTATTGCTGCAAAAACAAATGTGAAAAATAATACAAAGATAAAATAAAGATTTGATATGGAAGCATGTTTTTTTTGCGAAATGAGGCGAACGAGCAAATTTACGATCAAAATCGCAAATGCTTGTGCGGTTTAAATATAATATAACTCTATTGGTTATAAAATATAAACATAGAATATTGTTTCATTTTTGCAACACCAAAATTTAAACAAATCAACATTTTGGTTCTTTACTATTTCACGTAAATAACTAACCGTTTGGATAACACACACATGAATTAAAAAATTATCAGCAAACAAAATGATGCACCGAAAACCTAAAATTTAGTTGTAATATCGACCGTTCTTAAACATATTACAAGTGAAGAGTAACGTTCAACTTGTGGAAAAGAAAACTACTTGTAGTTGGTGAATGAAAATTAATGTTTCCAGATAAAAATGCAATCAAACAAAGCAATAACCTGTATTGGATATGCACTACTGCAAGTACATGCTTACCCAGTAGAAAACGGATCGATCCGTCATCGAAGACGTCGATCGATCGATCGATCCAAATGTATGACGGTTTTCGAAGATATTTATAGTTGCTCATTTAATTTTTTTCACTTTTTTTACATCCTATTTTTTGCGCTCTTTAAATTTTGAAAATGGATACTCCTGTAAAGATATTTTTCCTTTGACACCATCCCAGTTATGGGACAGAATTATACTTTTACTAAAAATGGCTTCAATATTTGCAACATTTCCCAACAGGATTTTTTTCATGAATACAGTCTACATGAAAGTATAGAATATAGGTTATTATAAATACAAAGTATATATATATATATATATATATATATATATTAGTTTTATTTACCTCACAAAATTCAAATTCGTTACTGTGAACACTTCAAATGAGAGAAAAAGCAAAGAGAGACTATTTACATTCATGTTTTGAGCAATTGTTTTGGAAATTTGTTTAAATATTCGGACGCAGTATCAAAGACCGACTCCAAGACAATGTCTTTGAAGACCACCTTTTCTACTGGGTAATGACATGCATATAGAAAAACACTGAGAGACCAAAAAAGATCGGACTGCATTTGCTTGTGTAGTGCTGAACAATTTTATACTATGCATAAAAAAGAGCAGACTAATGGAATTAGTGAAGGCATGTGGAAAGTACGTATTATATTTAAATTAAATTTTAGTTTTCCTTAATTGAATACGATTCAAAAGAAAAACCAAATGAAATAATGCAGCATACCGGCAACTGTTTTTTCCACCCTATTTTTCAACTTTTCCTCGGCATTTCAAAACACAAAATTTTGTCTTGCTACTAAAATGTCAGTTTATTGCTCTCTCTGCTTGCTTTTATTCGGTTAATCAGTTTCTTAGCATTTGTCCTTTTGTTAAAGATTACACAGATACATTTATACATATGTGTTGGTTTTGTTTTGAGCAAACTATTCGAATAAATACAAATTGAATAACTAACTGCCGTAGACTTAATAAATAATTAAAATCAATTTATGCTAATATAATAAATTAAAATATAACAAATATGGTGAGAGAATGAAAGACTACAAACTCACTGCATAAAATAAAAGTGAGAGCAACGCTATACATCAACACAACAGTAGCCGCAAAGGCAGAAAGAGGTTCAAAAGGAACAAAAATTCAGTTCATTATCTGGTGTCGTTAGAATCGTTGGTGTTGCTGTCGTTACGTTGATATCTGAATTAATGAAAATTTAATAAAATTTTAAAAGAAATTGGTAACTTGCATTTAACTCACGTTGATAAGAACAAAATATAGCAAACAAATTCTACATTAACTTAAAACGCGTGAAGTTTAAGATCCCTTTGCTTGAGGTAGATGAAAATAATATACAAACAAATCCATGCACCTATATGTTTGTAAAAAATGTGAAAAATCCTAAAAAATGCATGGATGAACTGTAAACGTAAATGTGTTGTGTACAAAATAAGAGTTAAAGTGGAAAAATAAATAAAAATTTTGCAAGTAATGAAAAGTTGAAATGAAAATATTCCGAAGCACATCTTACTATTTTTTGTTAAGTAAAACTTCAGCTAATTGTAAAGAAATTTACAACATATAGTAATAACAACAAACTCCTTGCTCTTTTCTACAAAAATATCGACATTTTTTTACACATGTATACTTTCATTTGGGAATAATGCAATAAATGTGCAACCTCTTAAGTGATGCCAACTATCGAAAAGAAGAAAACTGCACAGAATTGAATAAATTTTTTGTCCTGAAGAGTTTTCAATAAAATTTAAATAAATTAGTGTGCTATTTTCTTTTGCTATTAAAAGAAATTGTTTAAGTTAACTGAAGATAAAGAATAAAGAAATAAAATAATGTTTCAGAATTCACTTGTTTATACAAATTCTAATATTAGAAATGCTTCAATATGAGGGTAATGGAAGCATTTGTTGAGAACAGGCATTCCAAATACTGTCAAAGAACAACTGTAGTTACTTCAAAAGGCTTTTAGCTTGAACTTATAATAATTCTTTTTATTCCAAACGTGCGAAAAATAAAAACACGTAAACAAAATTGATTAATTTCGATTGTTCTCAGTTTTATTGGTTATTTTCTTTTGTCTGTCGCGTCTCAGCATCAAATCCAATTTTAGCTTTGACGTCGTACAATATTTTGCTCTTGTATTCTTAGCAAATGCAGCGTCACTTATCTCATTTCGCAACTTGCTGATCGGAATGAATAATTAGTAATCAAATCTGTCGCATTTAATGTATTAACCTCCATTTATAAACAAGATAAATTTAAAACAAAAACAATACAAATATTTGTGCGAACAAACTGTAAATGAAAAAATATGTGACTACGCACGTGAAACGTACGGCATTATTTACGGAAAATCAATAATTTTTCCTCAATTGTTAAATTTGGTTGCTTACTCATCAAGCACATTTCACTGCTTTATGAATAATAATTATCACAATCATTATTAGTTTAAACGCTATTAGCTTGTTCATGAATAAGGTTTATATAAGTGTGAATGTGTGTTCGGTGCATGCCTTGTTTTCCGTATTCGTCAGCGTTCTCTTAACCCAACATATGAGTGCATTGCCCACTTTTTCGTTTCCTTTTTCTTATTTTTTCCTCACGAATTTTTACATTTCATTTTATGCATTTTCTGTTTTGTTTTGGCGTGCCAAATTTTAAGTGTGTTTTGTTCCCGTGACAGTGACTATATTGTTGTGCTTCTCTTAATATAATGACGTTAAATTTACATTTACTTACACATTTAGCTCTATGTATTTTTATTTTTTAGTTTCAATTAGTCAAATTACATTTTAAGTAATAAGATAAATACAACTGAAAAACCGGTAAGCACGCAAAGGGCTTAATCAGTGTACCATGAAGCCCAGGAGTACATTCACAGATATGCGGGCACAGTCAAAGCACTGAGTTACTCAATGTTCACAATCCCAGAAAATTAATACTAAATTTGTTACAAGGATGCGCGGCTGTGCCTATATTGCCGCAAATATAAAAAGAAATAAGTTTAGGAATTTGCGAAAAGTTCATTTAAAATCATTCAGCAAAATTTTTGTCAAGTGTAGCACATAGAACTTTCCGGTTGAGAGTGAAAAATTAAATTTGTCTCAATTATTCCCTCATTTGAAATAAAATGTATAGAATGATGCATTGTTCACATTATTCTCGTGTTTTGCAAGATTCATATCAAGCCACTGTACACGCTGATTATCATTTGAGGATTAATCGTCGCGGATTAATTTTTGTTTGAACCCGCACTGAATAAGAATGAAATAAACTGTTTGGTGTATTATTTGATGTGTTTCTGAAATTATATCTATTCTAGTCTGATAAACAATTACAAAATAAATTATGGGATATTGAAAAAAAACGAATTAATTAATTAAAGCAGATTAATGCATTAAATCTTTTGAATTATAAATTTCAAATTTTACAGCAATACTACATTTTAAATTCCTATGGGCCCTTCAAAATGGCTCGCATTTAAGATTCTTCTTTATTTTTGGGATCCGAACAAATCAACCGATCATCAACACCTAATTATGATTCGGCAGTCCGTAGTAATTATGTCTTTTACTAATACTATATTATGCTATTATTGATGCGCTGGCTACATTTGTTTCACTAATGCCTAGCCATACATTTTCCAATTTTATCTCCATATCATAATCTATGATTTTTGCATGAAGAATGGATCAAGTTACTTTAAAGTAAAATTCACTAAATTTCTACGTGATAAATGGTCATTTGGCTTAAGTTCATAGGTCAACTAATTATTTTTCACCTTAACATAGATATTTTTATAAAGAATATTCTATATAGTGCTCAAACAAAGTGCACTATTGATTATATTGACTATAAATACACACGTAACGCGCGACAGGTAGCAAAAAGTTTCAATATTTTTATATAAATAATTTTAACAAAATATTACCGTTGCGCAACTGTGTAGCTTTATAGTAATAGTGTGATAGCTGTAATAAGGGACACAAAAAATTAGTGTCTTAGTGTCTTCAAAAAATATATAATACTAATATCATAATCAAATTACATTATTCTGGGCAAAATAAATCTTGCGTCGATAGATGCATTTGTGTATTTCATTGTTTCGCAAATCAATTTGACGATGTGTTAATTAATAGCTAAGACAAACATTTACGAATTTTAAAAACAATTGAACATATCTGAAGTAATTGTATGCAATACAAAGGTCGAGTACTTGTTTAATTAAAATGATCCAATCATTTCGCAATCAAGAAGAAATAGCTGATTGCGTCAACTTTACCCCTTGCTGTGCTAGGCGCCTATCCTAATGTCTGTTACTGTCAATTGCGTTGCCCATATAAATGTCGCTAGCTTTGAATTATGTTATTTGGTTAATTTGCAAGTTTAATTTTTAAATTAAAACAAAAAAAATTGTTTAAATTTTAAATTGAAAATACAATTTCTTGTTATTGTTAGTTCTTTCAAAAGACTAAAACTATTTGAGTATATATCACACAAAAAATAATCTAAAAAATGAATAGATATACATTGGTATTTCAAAATAATAACATGTTCTTGTTAAAATATTAAAAATCGAACTGAGATTTTTTTGCTCTGCTACGAAAATTTAATAATCAAGAACAGTAAAGCGCGCCCGATTTAATACTTTACCGCTAGTGACTTTCGAGAATACGTATAACATAATTTTAATCAACTCGAATAAACTCTTATCGGCAATGAAACCGCAATACACAAAAAACTTTTCCGATCCCCGTACAAGTATTTAGCTACCAATGTTCGTATATATTCGCCTATCTTTCAGCCTACCTAACTGTCTAATTAAGATAAAGTTTACGGACAATTCTACGATAAGAAAAAACACAGCAAAACAAGACATAAAGCAAATAGTAAAATTGCTCGTTATGTAAATAATGAGTTTTGTCACTTTTCAAGTTTCAACTTTTTCGGAATTTCGGTGACAATTGATAATTCATAGCACGAATCACATAGTCGCAAAGTCAATAAGACAAACTAAGCACAATGTGTTCGTTCACACTTAAGCCGCTCTCTGTTAATATTTTTCAATTGGAAACCAACAGTATTCATCCGAAATAATGGTTCTTAAACAATATACTCAAAGAATTCCCACCAACAACCACAAAATAAAACACGAACCATTATGCGATCTTAATATCAAACCTATAATTGGCAAATGTGGCCACAATAAAATATAGTCAACAATAATAAAAGCAACAGTAGAAAACAGTAGAAATCAGTTGATTGCATACTACCATTCGTAGTTTAGCTTCCGGTTGGTTTAAGCATTTGGTTTTGTTTTTGCCTTTATCGTAGTCCCCTCCAATATCTATTGTTTATCTACAAAATAATTCTTCTACGTTATTCGTATACAACAAAAATAGCAAATAATTAAAAAATATTTTTGCTGAAAAATGATCTTGTTTGGAAGTAACTTTACTGAGAGACCAAATAAATATTTATTGCATTCTGCGATTAATTCCTCACAACGAGAATTTGACTCATCACTTTTGTCGCTAAGAGAACTTAATCCATAAACTCTTACAATAAACAGAAACTAAAAGAAATAAATAAATTTGATAACAAAACCAGTAAAATATTGTTGGAGCATGTTGGGGCGTTTGAAAAGTTGAGAAATTTAAATTTCATATAAAAAAAATGTAAACACATATTTCTCTGATGAGAAAGACTATTTTACAAAAGTGTTTTAGACCGTAAAAGTTGCTTACTATACCTAACAATTTTATAAATTTAATAAGTTCAAAATGATATTTTAAATTTTTTTCTTTAAACCAAAAATAATATTTTAACCTTTCGAACGATTGAGTTTTGCAAATGATATTATTACCAATATTTGCCACTGCTTATTGCCAATATTTCAAATCCTAAAATTATGCTTCAAAATTTTATTTCAAACGAATATTACAATTGCTTACATTAGTTAAGTGGATTAAGTGCAAATAATGCAAAAAAAATGTAATAAGCAGTTTGTTTTCTTTTCATTCGACAAAATTCTAGTCAGTATGTAAGCAAATAAAGTATGTTAATTATAAACTTTAATTGCATTATATTTCCTGATAGATTTATTTAAAATTTATATTTGCTGTTATTTTCATATTTATTTTAACGATTATCCGTTTTGTAGTTTAAAAATTTTAGTTTTGTTTCAATTAAGATTTATGTGGATTAAATAAAATGAAGTAGTAGTGTTTCTTCGTGTAATCTAAACAACAATTTTTTAAGTTTGAACTCCGATATCTCAAAAAGTATACTATATGTGTATATAGCGCAATGGAAATAGTCACTCAAAGTAGCTAACTTTACTGTAATTCGTTGTAAAATGACTGTGTACGGGAGAATCGGAATATCATCGATAATTCATACTAACTATGAATAAGAAAAGAAAAAAAATCATATATATCAGCAAAAAAATAAAATTCGCAACAACTTTTTGAACCGTCAATAACTATTTTGCGGCAAAAGATTCTGTCTCAGCAAGCGGCTTCTGTACTTCCGGTATCAATATTTAATTTTTGTTGAAGGCTGTTTGAAAACAATTTGAGAATCTGTTGTTTAAAAAGCATTATTAATAAATTCCTCTTTGTAGCCTTTTTCTTGCATTTGCCCGTATTACACACACTAATTTCCAAATTATTTGTGAATTATGCTGATGTATTTATAATGGCAAACATAGTATTAGTTACAGGTGATGCTTTATGGAGAAATATCCCAACTAAAGTTTTAGTTTTTACGGTTTTTTTTGTCTAATAATATATTCTTCTCTTTTCATTTCTTTCTTTCTTTCTTGCATAATGCCGTTTAGTTTTGATTACATGCTTATCGAGCAGACTTATATTTCACACTTAATTGTGAATAATTAATTAATTTTCCTTGTGGTAATGGTTTTCGTGCATTTACAGTTATATTATAAACCAGTTTTTTGATCCTTATATTCTCTAGCCAAGGGTGTCTTTTGTCAACAATAAGCTGTCAACAGTATTTTACACTTTCCACTCTATTATTGACTTTTATTTTCCTTGGATTTTAATTTTTAAATCTTGTAATGAACACAGGTTTCATTTTTTTCAGCATTTATTCTAATTTTCCACCTTCGCAAGTAAATCATTATCTTATTAATATGTAGTTGTAAATTGTCAATGTATAATATATTGCAATAACAAATCAGTTTGGGTAATAAATAAATATCTTAAGACATTTATTTTTTGTTAGCATGCACAATGCAGGTTAGCAAAAGGGAAATTGTGTTCATAGATTCCAAAGAAAAATCTGTTATATACAAATAAAGGTAACAATAGAGATCATTGAGTGACACCGCTTTAATTTTCTTTATAAATCAAAAGTAGTTTTGAACTTTAACCAAGAACTCTCTATTTGATTGCAGGCTAGCTAAAAGCTTTATCATTTTAACTGGAATATCATTATTTCTTAGTTTAGCGATCAACCTGTTATGCCACATCTTATCAAACGTCCAGTATAGTGAAAGCTTAGTGTGGGGCAGGGATAAACCCCCCAGCCACAAAAGAGTAAAAGTGCGCAATAGTACTAACTCAAGAAATGATAACAACAACAACCAGTAGCTGTCAAATTTATCATAGCAAATTATTTTGTTCCATAATTTAATAAAATTTCGTAGTGTTTTCATTTCCACGTTTTAGTTAAATTATTATCACAAAAATATCTCAATTATATAGAAAATTTGGTGATCTAACTTAACGTTGGAGTGTAGGAAAATGTAAAAATATAAATGAATTTTTGTTGGTGTTTGTTGTTAGATACTTGTATAAGAGAAAAAACATTGTAAAACGATTCAAAATCAATTTCAACCCTCCAAATATATTGATATCCTCAAGGCAATTTATGAGCAATGTTGGATTCTCAAATATGGTAACAGTTTGTAAGTACATTGCGGAAAGATTTCACAAGAACAGTTGATTTAGTAGACTTACACGAAGATATGATACGACGTTACAAGTATATTAGCTATATAACAAAGTAGAAATATTGATAAATTATATTTTAAGTTGTTTTAATTTGAACGGAATAAATTGAAGTAATGTGAAAAGTTCCATATCATTTTTTTTTGATACAATAATAACATAAAATCACTTATTAAAATTTTTATCTTAGAGGAATAATAAATATCATTGTTTCCCACTTCGTTTTTTATATGCACCATAAATAAACAACAAAAATATGAAATACAATGAATTTTGTGAAACCTAAAAAAAACAAACTTATTAAACAATGACTTATTGCAATAATAATACTTAAATTTTATAGTTCAAAATCTGATACTAGTTCGAAAGTTGACTATTTAACGCTACAATCACGGCGTCTTATAGCCCCTACTCATTTCAAAACCTTCAGCAATTTACCAAACGAAAACGAATCTATGCGTCCACCGGCAGCGCGGCAAATATTATGATGGATCGGGAAAGTCTTAGCGAATGGGCTAAGGATAAACCTTTAAGCATATTGCAACTTGATCCAGCCGATCGAGCAGTATTACGTATTGCAGGTAAGCTTAATTGTTATTCATATATTTATAATTTTTGAGTTCTCTAAATGTGGTTGAATTGATTGTGGGTATAGGTTCAAAAGGGTGTCCACTGCGACCACCGAAGTGTCTATTGTTTGTATCTGTTGTATTTAAATCTGACGAAATTGCCAGTGAAAATATGAATAATAAATTGATTATGTAAACTCCAGCAAAGTAAAGAATTGGTTCCTCAAGAATACACATCGATGATTATTATAAAGAAATTTTCGAAGTTTTCAAAATCATCATTATTGGCATCAATATGAGACGCAGTTCTCTACATCGATTTCATAATCCATATGAAGTCAATTCAGTCGACTACTTTCTATCAATAAAAATAATCCTACAATGGTTACACGGTTACACTTGGGCAAGATTTCTGAGTTCGAATATTAATATGTTTCATTTTCGAATTTTGTTGCGAATAAAAATGTGTATAATTTAATGAAAAAGTGACAATGTATTGCCAAAAATCAACCCAATGTAAAAACGGAGTCATTCTTTATATGATTTTTTTATCGATTTTCAGAATAAAATATTTTCTAATCCCTATTTCTATACCAAGCTCTTATTCATTTAAAACAATTTATTTTTTAAATTTGAATATCAAAAACTAAATTTTAGTTCTTATCTTACCTCTTATTGTACGAAGTTATATAATACTATAACAGGAATGTTATATATTTAACGTTCCTTTAAAATTTTAAGCATTGAAATAGTCTTCTTCTCATCACTGTTGGTAATTGTCCCAGCTTCTGCCCATTCGGCAGAACAAGCATAATAAGAGACTTGTAGAGCGTGATTTATGTTTGTCGAGAGAGGTCTTTTTTGTTCAATTGCCTACTTAGCTCGAAGTAAGATCTGTTGGTAAGAGTGATTATTCGTTGAATCTCTAGGTTGACGTTATTTTTGGTGTTTACCCTAGTTTCCAAATAATCAAAGTCTTTTACAACTTTGAACTTATAATTGTCAACAGTGACGTGGGTCCCAAGATGCTCTGGAGATTTGTTTGTTAACAAAAGGAACTTTGTTTTGTTCTCATTCACCACAAAACACATTTGCTTTGTTTGTTTTTCTAAATTGGAATATGCTGCACTGACGGCGCGGGTGTTCAGTCCAACATTTTCTGTTAAATTAAAAATAGTCACTTCTGTTATATTAACGTTAAAATCAAATTTAATGAAAAATATGTTTTAAATTAAAAAGCCAAATAAAATAAACATAAATAAAAACCAAATGAAAAATTAATATCTGTTATATGTGCAACAGAATAATAATTTTTTTAAAAGTTTGAAATGAAAGTAACTTGAAAATTTTATTCGAAAACTCGAAAAGATACACAAATTTTTTTGAATTGCAATTAATTAAAAAATTTAACACGAAAAATAAGCGTATTAATTTAATGAAATGATTTTTGAAGTTTTCATGCCTATTTTCTCCTTAACACTTTTAGAATTCATAATTTTCTGAATCTATAAATTAAACGCAAAACATTAGAAAAGATCTAAATGGTTAAGCTAGTGTTTTTTTTTTATTTTTTTAAACAATAAATCTATATATGTATATACTTTCAAGTTATAAGAAAAATATTACTTTGAGAACGTAGTGCGTTTCTGGTGTCATGCTTTAAAAATATTGAGTGTGTGATTCACTTATGTTATACGTATATGTATATACAGTCACACACCGCCTACATTATTACTAGATTACCACACTTGGGAAGCAACGCCACAATCCAAAATCTGAAATTCGAAATATATCAATAGCACATAAGCGCTTAATTCTGGTTTAAAGTTTAGTTGTTCGTAACTAAGCATGGATATGTATTGAAAGTCGCGGCAGAATGACATCTCGGCCTCCAAAATTTAATATAAATTTGTGACTAATTGTGTAGGTTGAATAGATATTGCGTTAGCGAAACGACTTCAATATACCATTTAAAGTATATGCACATAAGTTTATTATTTGAGTTTCTTTGACTTGTTCTCGGTACCAGTTCATGAAACTGACCATTTTAAAAAAAGGGAAGACACCTACTTTAGTGAAGGTGAAAAACTAATAAGCCTACTTTAAACATATTGGTTAAATAGCTGAGATCAGCTCTATTTCGTGCGAAGTGCAATAATCGCTTAACATTATAGTATGTAAATTCATTCCATTCTGTTATACTTAATCGTCTACGACACACATTAGATTAGGTTTCAAAAAGGTCAACTGATATTCTAATGCTCCTGTACTTTGTTGCAGTTATTTAGAAAATAAAAGGTCTTGCATTTTTCGAATACTTTATAAATCTATTTTATTTTGTTTCTAGTAATATCATCGTAAAACTAACATTAGTACTCTATATTCGAAAAAGTTATTAAAAATGAGTACACCAGTCTTTGCTTGGGTGTTTGGTTGTACTCTTTGACTTATTGTCTTATACATGAATCTACATAGAAACGATTAAATAAACAGAAAAAAAATTAATTAATTTTTTACAATTGAAAAATAATATTGTAACTTCAAAGAACCGCCTTATTATATTTTTAATTAGATTTATTAAATATTAAATATCTTAAATAAATATCTTAAACAGATATCTAAATGCCAATCGGAATTAAATTGACTTGATTTTGAATCTAAAATACTGACGGCGTCAAATCGCATATAACACTCATAAAATAAAAATGAAGTCAGAGCTTGAAATATTACTGCACCTTAAGTGGTACAGTAATTTTACATTCCAATTCAAAACTAATGGGTTGCTAAGGAAGTAAGTGGAAGTCTGAAGTAGGAGTACACTCTGCGGTCAGGATCATAGCGAATTTCATGGCGGGTGGATGAGGTGCTCTTCAAGATAGAGAACAAGCAATTGAAGGGCTGGTGCCTCATGGCTTCAAGCAGCATTGTTGGGAGGCGGCCTACTTGGCATTTGTATTTGTGAGTTGACACAAATACAATTCAACTATTTTTTCGAAGATTCGGAATAATTCCATCTAAAGGGAGCTAATTCCAGACTAGATGGAAAATGCATATGAAAAGAGGGTGCGAATGAGTTGTGCTAATGGTGTTTATACATGATTTGACATACTAAATGCTATAACTGACGATGGAGATAAAGTTTTGTTAAGAAGTAAACACAACATCAAAGTATATCACGTTATCAACAAACAGAATGGGGATACCATTAATATTAACATCCAACTTGGAGATCTTGAAGTCTTCGATCAGTACGTTGGCCAGTAAGAGCTATGGCAGAGATTTTGATGAAATTGAGCTTAATTTTTCAGTTACCGTTGTATGCGAAGAGAATCCTGAAGTGGTTATTTAGTTACATGAAGATTCTTCTAGGGAAATTTGACCTTAGGTAGATGAGGCAATCGTCTACATAAGAGATTTGTTTAACGCATGAGGGAGGGATAAGTAAGTCAGCTCTGAAAATATGGAAAAGAACAAGAAAGATAATATAGAATAGAAAAACAGAAAAGCCTAATACAAAATCAGAGGAACACCGGTAGTGATTGGGGTATTCGTTAGAATTTCAATTCTGACAAGAAATTATCTATTGCTGAGAAATTGATAGACAACTCTACAGAGTTTAGTCGGAGTTTGTGGACCATTGGTTTAATTTCATTAATTTGATCTAAATTTAATACAAAGAAATTCCAGAGTTTATAACTTGAAAAACGCGCGCAAAAGATGTCACCACCATTTTTTTGAGTAAGCCGGTTTCATTGTATAAACTAACAATGTTTTTAACGCATTTACATAAGCAGTTTTACAATTATATTCTTTAATATTTTGCTAATTATTATCAACTGAACAGATTGAATTACTTATTTAAACAAAAAAGGCATCGCTGGGAGATTGTTAGACCTTATATAAGATTAATGACTTTACAAGAGCGCTAACAGTTTCTCTAGATCTGTCATCTTCGAAATATTTCAAATGGCAAAACCTGTACTCAGAAGGAGGACGCCATATGTGTTGTAACAGATAATTGCCATCAAATATCAATAGTTTAAAAAGATGACAAACAATTATTAAGAATATAATTATATTTAAGCATTTTAAGAAAACTACTTTTCAATCTATCCAAAAGACAAACAGATCTACTTTCTTAACAAATAATATATATATTTAAATCACATAACAAATACGAAACTTAGTACAGTGTTATATAGAAAATATTGAAATTTAGTATTGTATTTCAAGTTCACTACTGTTATTTTTATCTATGATTTCACTCTTAAATTAAAATTATTGATATAATGCATTCATATTCACAGATTTTAAAATCATTGAAATCATATCATAATCATATTTATAATAAACTTTCTCAGAAATCATGATATCATTGATGACTTGAATGACAATTATTATTGCTGTGATTGTCATTATAATAAAAAAATTCCATAAAAATGACGGTCAACCACAACATCTTAAAGAAGCGAAGTTATTTTTTGCTTAATTTTCAAACACGTCATGTAAAAACAGTATATGAAGCTTACTGAAATATTTGTTCCGCTATTAATGAGCTATCTGTGAGGTTAGAAAGTACATTAGAAGGTACATATGTGTAATTCTCAATAGCTCTACTGTCTGTTTGAATAATTTTACATATAAACAAATAAAACTGAATTTTTCTTCAAAACAAAAACCATAAAAGCTATGACGTCACATTCTTAAAAAAGACTTTTGAATTCACAATAATTTAATATAAACTTAATTTAACGAACGAAACGAAAATTTTGAATTTGTCATTTTTAATACAAAAAAAAAACACAATGTGATGATGAGGCTCAACGCAAATATAAACAAATGTTTTAAAAACAAGTTTAGTGGTTTTATGTAATTGCTTAAGTACTTGGCTTATTAATTAACAACTGTTTTCTGTTTATATTAACATATTTTTCTTAAATGCATCTAGTTTAAGAAGCGTTAGTAGGTGGATTATAAAATACAAATATATGTACATATATTGAGTAATAATAAAATATTAATTTATTTATTTTGTTGCAATCTAGATTTCGTCTGTAACCAAACTGAAAAGATTGCATTTAATTGGTAAAAACATTGTGGATTGTTGTTTCAATCAATGTATTTTAACGTTTCCAAAATAAAGTGGTTTTTATATCTAATTCGACTTCGCACAAACTTTATTTATGGCCGTAAAAGAAATCTATAATAGATAAAATATTTTCATACGTATCAGTTAACACATTGTTAAAGTGTTACTGCATTTATATTTTTATAACTCACTCCAGGAAATGCTTTTAAGTGGGCCGACCAAGACGGCTTAAAAGCTGCAAGGCAGCGATTTGGTAACGCAAACATTCCTACGCCAACAGCCACTGATTGACTCATTGCCAACAACAAAAATTCAAAATATGCGCACAATCACAATTTTTGCACTTAAATTTAATGGTAAATTTATTTTCACGAATAATAAATAAAATAAACTTAATAAAATTAAAAAGCGCATAAGTACGCTTAAGTCGTTAATTATTGTGTAATGGAAACGAGTAAAAATAAAATCCTGGTTCTAATTTAAAAATGAAATTGAACCCTAATATTAAAAATTTATTTATATTTGGGTTGGGATTTTACTACCGTACAATACATGTTATTTATACAAATTGTCGCATGAGGGTAACTGCGCCAGTAGATATCATAAAATCACTTTAGTCACTAATGTTAAGTGGCATTCTCTTTTACATTCTTTGGTATATGATATTTCACTCTCTTTTCTCATTTTATTTTCTGTATTGCAAGTCCGTTTTTATCATTTAATTTCATTACATTACAACACAACATCTTTGAACATTTATTTATTGCTTGCGTTGCAATTCTGTTATTCTACAATCAACAAAAACATCTCAAAGATGCTTGCCATTTAACATCCGACAATGGACAACAAATAATAACTATGGAATGTTCAACAACAACAATACAAAAGCTATATATTAATTATGGCTTTATATTGTCTCCGCAGCATTTAATAAGTGGAAAGCAAAAAAATTTACCTTGCTGAGAGAGTGACTAAAACCGAAGAGTGCTCGTTGAATCATGCGGCTAAGTGATTATATTATCTCTGATTCTCTTAACTAATATTTCCCTCTTCGTCCTTCTCTTTAGGATCGTTGGAAAAAGACAACCAATAATTTTTTCCATAGTTTATTTAAAAAAAAATGCCTATAAATTGTGTTACGTTAAAAGATTATGGCGTAGACGACTTGTTAACTTGGCTCAAACTAAGAAAATATTTCTATGGATTCCTTTGTATTTGTTTTTGTTTTACTTTTTTATTAGTGCAAGAATTATTTATTTTAATTAATGAGTAAACGATTTTTATATTAATTGCCAATATTTACTGTGTTTTGCATTTGAAGTTTGTATTGGAACAGTGTGATTATTCATGCGATTATTGTTATCTCTTTAAATCTGTAAACTAGAATTAATTATTATCAATTATTATTTAACTATTCCACAACAATTCTACCCAATTTGAATGTGTTATGTCGATATGTCTATGTTAAGGGACATGATTTACAAGCTTAAAATATTTAAGATTAAAACTTATAATAACTTTGTGTACATTGAATAAATGAAGACCCATCGTATTTAATGTGTTCGCGTTCAGAACACGGTTTCTCAGACTTTTTAAGCAGCGTTATTACATTTTCTGTTACTTTCTATGTTTTTCGCTTTTGACTAAATATTATCTATAGCTCACTCCTACCTGCTTATATATACCAATAAATGACTTTTATACTGTGTTGGTGTGGAATGCGCTCATTAGCTGTTTCCTCTCAGTAAAATGTTGCATTCGCGTTCGCTTAGTTGTTTAGTCCAATTTGAACGGCAATACTGTGTGGTTGTTTCGATTTTCGCATATTTTTTTTTATCTGAAAATATATTGTGTGTTTTTAATTAAATTTAGATATTAAGTACAAATGCTATAAAGCAGTTTTAATACTTGCAGACAACTAATTTTAACAAAATTATCTTATAAAATATAACAGTTTTATTTTGTATTATTAAAATATTTATATAAAAATAAATAAAACTAATAAGAAAACAGTTGGAGTGGATAATAAAATAAAAAAATAAAGAATTTGTATCTTATTTTTATTCATATTAATTTTATTTCCGAGTTTGTGGTTTCATTCAATAACCAGTTTACGACTATTGAGAGAGACGGCCGTACCAGTCTTCTCGGTATGCTGACCATTGTCGCGTTTATACTCTGCGCCATTATGATAGTCGCGTTCAGTCACAAAGTTGACTAATGTCGTGAGCTTGGTCGGTTACATATTTTCTTTATTGTGTCTTTTTGGGATTGATTCTAGTATTTTTTTATTTACAACAATAAATTTTTAACAAGATTTTCCTTAAAATTGTTGAACTACAAAAAAGAGAAACTACATCAAGCTTTAGCATTAAAAATAATTTGTGCTGAAAATGTGTAATCCATACGGTTGCAAAAGTTTCTTTTAGTAATTGAATTTGCATGGTTTTGTGATAGATACTCTCTGTGTTTGCATAAAGTGCTGTGCGTTTATATTTTATATCTGTAGTTTTTACCTGTTTGCAACCGGTAATAGTGAGAACTATTTTTCCTTACTACAAAAAAACAATAGGAAAGATTATAAATACCAACGGTTATGTCTGACTGGGCGAACGAACAAACAACCTGTCAAGTCTGCGAAAGTGGTAGTTTGTGCTGGCTTACGAATTTCGTTAGCCTCAAAGAAGTACATACTAAAAAATACTAAGCAGTAAATTAATATTAAAGAGAATGTAATAATGATATAAATATACCTAGTTGCGAGTAAACGAATGCCTCATTAAAATTAAGGCATTTAAGAAAAATACCAGTCAAACATGAAAACTCCTTTAACAGATTTAACGAAACAAGTGATCTAAAAATAAAAACTTATAAATTAGTAAAAGTGACCGTAATCACAATAAAAAAAAGAAAAAAGTAATATCTATGTATAAATAATTTAAAAATTTTAATATACGAGTATAATCAAAAGTGTATAGTTATGAATAATTTTATGTATTCTGCAGTCAGAAAAATCATATAAAAATTGAAAATATGAAATTGTTTTTAATTAAATAAAAATGAAATTGAAATGACATTCATTCAAGTGAATAATGGGAGTCATACAAAGCACAACAATTGAGTTTAATAAACAATTTAAAAGAAATACTTTAAGTTTTAAGATTTGTGTAACAATGCAATAATTTGTCAATAGTACTCTCAAAACTTTATTTTGTTAATTTTGATATTATTAAAAGGAACAGTGGAATACAGCAACCTAAATAACGTTACTATTAATATACATATGTATAATAATTGTTACAAGAATTTTTTTCTAACGCCTTTTATATTTTAGTTTATCAATAAAAACGATTAGATATCCTTTTTATTTTTTATTCAAAATAAATTCATATATATGTATATATATATATTTTGTTCATACTTACAAAACTTCTGCTATTTTGAAACCATATTGATTTCAAAGCATCTCTATTTAGTTTTAATGTGTTAATCTGGTGAAGTTGTATCAGTCAAATGATAAAACAATTGTGTTTTTAATATGAAATTTATAATTCACTTGTATTTAACGCAGCTGTTTTAAGTGTGTAACGGGACGCCACAAAAATTTTTTGTGATTCACGTTAAATTTGAAACTATAGATAAAAACCACACGCCACAGCCCTTTATGGCTGATTATTATGCGTATTCTAAATTATTTGCTCAATATTTCACCTGGCACTTATCCAACATTGGCAAAACTGAAAAGTTCCTTAATTTCGAAGTATTTTGATCAATCCTCATTCTGTTTTCTAGTTTAATAAATCACATAATACGATAACAGGATTATGTTGTGGTATTGTTTAAGATTTAATATTTATGATTTTGCTTGAACAATTTAAAAATTTTAATTTTAAAAGAATTTAGAATTTACAATTTCATTCACAATTTAAAATAATTTATCAATCTTATAAATTATATGTTAACTCGATAAACAAATCTTTATGAACTATTTGACTTGAAATGAATTAAAATTTTTTTTTATATATCGAGTACGGTTAACCCAAACTTAACGCATTTTTAATCTGAATATTAATTGTGTTTTAAAGAACGTAGTCTTAAGACCGAAGTGATATTCAAGGCATAAAGTTTCAAATAGACAAAAATTCAAATTAAAAGTGCCATTCTTTTCAAAAACTGTTCAATTGTAGTTATCGTCTACTGCCTTTGGAAACAGAAAAAAAATTAGTATAATAAATAAATATTTAGATATTGTTATCTAAAATATAAGTTGAAATATATAATTGTGTATGCATCTGTGATTGTGTATAAAACGTGATATGACATCGCATTCTTATTACAAAGATCGTTTAGGTTTCGACCCGAACGAAGTGCATTACGAATCAACATCTAAACAAAGAAGTAGTCGCCATCATCAACAGCATCAACAACATCATCATAGCTATCGTTCCCAACATTCGCCTTCTTCGACTTCAGCGAGAATATCTGTTTCCCCTGGAGGTGGTAATGGCAGTACCAGTTACGATCAATATGCTGACACTAACCCAGCTAAAAAGGCTAAACATTCATCAACTGTTCAGCAGCCGCAAGGTGGCTATGAAGATGCATTAACGCAATTTAAAGGTACCATGTCTATTTGGGAATATTTTATTGAAAATTGGGATATTATGCGTAAGTTGGCAAAAGCCGGAATTTTTTTTCTAATAGTTATCTTGATAGATGCCGTTACTTGTGTTTGGTTGATCACATTATTTGCTATTTGTTTTTTGTTGTTTGTTGTAAGTTAATAAAATGTTTTTCTGCTACTGACAAAAACCTGCACGAGTTGTGACTGCTAATATATCATATTTTATCAATGTAAAATGCCGAATTAATAATTCTATTTATTAGCTTTTCAATAATGCTTAATTTAAATTTCACTTCATGTTTGATAATAACAAAGAAATATTGGTTTTCTAATAATGTATTAGTACAAGGGCATATGCTAATTATTTTAATATGCGTAAATCAGATGAATAGTTTTGTAAACTGTATAACCTTTTAAATTCTTATCCTTTACATTTAATGCTTTTATTAAGATCCTGTTAGGATATGCAAAAAAAAGATATATATTTAAGATTTACAGAATTTCTTTTGATTGGTAGCATTATGCTGCAATTTGTAGTCTATATAAGATAAAACAACTTGCTTTTGCTTAAAAATTATATGCATTAAATATAAATATGATCTGTAAGAGTGACTTCGTTTTCTTTTGAATCTACTGTACCACGTCGTATATACTTCATTTATTAATTCGTTCGAGTTCATTTTAATATATCTGTTTGAAATGAAGTACATGTTATATGTAAGACTGAAAATTTAATCCCACACATTAAACTAGTAATAAATAACAGAAATACATTCCTCTTCATATATGACCCTGTAAATTATATTTTCTGAATTTTGTTAATTTCTTTGTTAAAAATCCATTTTTTCTAAAATATGACCCTGTAAACTTAAAATAATGATGTTTCCAGTTTTTTTTTTTTACTACTAGCAGATTTCGTCGAATTTTGTCGTAACCATTTCAAAACTGCATTTTATGCGAGTATTCTTGTTAAATTTCAATGCAATGCGTACATCGGATGGAGATTTGTTTTTGCAAATTTGGTTACAGTCATTGCTGGTCGTCTGACCATTGCTGATGGGAAAATGAATGGCGAATCACCATCACTGTGTTGTGAGTTTGCTAGGAATAACAGTGAGAGCTCGAACTAGTTGGTCTGGACACATGATGATTCGTTTGACCTTTGCTGACGATCACCATGTGAACGGGTGAACTGGATTGGGTGAAGTGACAATGGGTGATATCTTTGCCTGGCTATAGCTGACAGTTTTCACTAAATCTTTAGCAGCTTTTTGCTTTTCTGCTCTTTCTCATGCTAGTTGAAATTTCTCACCATTTAAGGTTCTACGCCAAACACTACTTCGGTTCCAGTCGCTTCAACAATCACACTGAAGGTTCTACGCTAAACACTACTTCCATATAGATTCCAGTCGCTTCAACCATCACACTGAAGATTTTACTCTATTGAAAATTCAACTCAAGAAAAAACTAAAAATAACGACTACTAAAATACAAATACAAGGCAAAAGTGTGTCTTCTATTTATTTAATTCTTATAACGAACTCTGGTATACTCGCTGAGTCATATACCAGCTATAGGTAGAGCCAGAAAAGGTTGTTACAATACATATTTTTTGATGTGTTCTTTTACGGTTCTGTATTTGGATTTAATATGATATTTTCAAATTCAAATTAGTGTATTGCGAAACCGTACGATTATTGTTATTAAACCAAAGTCCTACAAGCATCAATAGTAGAGTTTTTTATACAGTTGTTAAAACGCACCAAAGGCAGTATATGTGACTGAAATTATATTACAAATATAAATCCCTTTTCAGTTATGGTTTGTCCAGAGTAAAACATCACAGTCAAAGATGGTATACATGATCTAAAACCTTTACATATTATTAAAAGTTTATTTTCTAAATAATCACAATAAAAAAATAGTTCGGAAGTTATTTTTAGTTTTTCTAAATATCAATATAATTTTATAATAGTGACATTATATTGATTATACGAGATGTGATTAAATTGTAACGAAAGTTTTTACTTTTGTTATATTTCACTGCTGTTCAAAAATCGTTATATTTAGAAATATATTTTGTCATCATATTTAACTTTAAATTCAATTTTCCAAAAAGAACAACTTATAGTATACATTTCACCACCTTCAAAAAAGTAGCCTTTTGTATTATGCACATATACTACAAAACAGGCGTTGGAACACTATGTTAGGTATCTTAAGATTTCTATTGTTGAAAAATGGTGTCCTTTGAGTCTGAAGAATAGGGTGGTTGCGACACTAGAGTGATGTTATCTTTGGCTACTTACTCTTGGATGAATGACACTATAAGTATCAGTGGTGAAGACATAACATTCCGCTTTTGCAAAGCAAAGCAGAATTAATATACGTCATGCTCATTCGATTGGTAATACTTACTTTACTGAGAGTGAAATATATACACACAAAAATACTCAACTCGATAAACAATATATAGGACTTGATTTTAAAATTATCGTTAATTTTTGATTAAACCTCTAATTAAATAGTAAAAATATATAAGAAAAGCATAGCTCAACTAATAATATTGTAGCTCATCTCCAATGCAAATATTATAAGTAAGCAATGAACAATAATCGAGTCTGACTGACTGTCATCTTTTATTTTCATTTAACACGGATATATTGTCTAAATTTCAATAAAATTTATCTCATAATAAGACTTTTTGTTTATTTTCTTGTGTCGGTTTAAATTTTGATTACCTCACAGAAAAATAATCGCATATTTACAAAGCTCAAAATAGCTGTTTCGGTCTGTAGTTAAATCAAAGGTGTGTGATGAACTCAAAAAAATATCGAAGACAGAGAGGCTGTTAACTGTATTCGATAGAGTGCTAGTTTTAAAACTCAATAGCACATATACTTGTAGGCTAAGGAATACTGCAGGTAAATTCTGACTAAGCTGTGATGTAATACTTTATGGAAAATAATGTTTTCAATTGTTCATGCCGAAGTCAAAATAAGAGGAAGCGTAAGAACAAATAGAATCTTCGTTTCTTGATGGAAGAGAAATCTTATATCTCAGCTGATACAAACATTGCCCTATTACATTGCATTTCTTTGTGTGCGACGTATGTTGTGATCGGATTGAACTTATGTTATTTGTGATTTTATGCTGTATTGGTTCGTTTGTAATCTGTTATTAATTAATCATTTTTTCTGTGTTTTACTGTTTACATATTATTGGCGTTTCTCTCTTGTAGATTAGATGGTGATCAAATGGTGAACTTTTAAATTTATGATATACATTTAAACTCGTACAAAAAGGTGCAACGAAAATACAAAAAAAAAAAACAAGCTTTAAGATGAGTGTGTTGGTACACCACACAGAATGAATGACATTCAAACAGAATTGGAAAATAACACAAAGTATTCCACTTCCTCTTGTACTAATTCAAAGCATACTAAATAACAGAGTGTAAACAAAAGTGATATTGACGTATCACTTTTGATCATAACTAGTTAAAACCTCCGAGAGTGTGTGAGAATTTTGTACATTGTTTGCAATAAGAATCATTCGAAAATTTTGTATTATTTTGTAATTGCAGCAAAAAATATATGACATTGTGTTTGTAATTATGTCTTTATGTTTTCGTTGCACAATTGGGCACGAGCCATTAATACCATACGCATAACAACTACAGAACGCAACGACAAATCTTGAGCTGATTGAACTTTATACTTTATTCAGATGACAACAATTCACAGTTATTGAATGTGTTTTGTTTTGAAATTTACTGAGTTCGAAATTGTTTATTTACTAAATAAATATATTTTTATTTAAAATTAATTAATAATATGTTAATCCATAACAATATATGTATGTACATATGTACATATAATATCACCCAAATCGAATTTTTCATCAAACATTTTTTTTATGTATGCAAATCGTTAATAAATTTCTATGTAGAATAAAATATAAGACTAAAAATATTTATAAAACTTGAAATTTATAGAAAAACGACCTTCAATAAAAGTATGAAGATAAAAGTACGTATTAAGTTATACTGAATATAAATTATTGTTTCCATTTTGCTAAAGAATGTGAACGCCAGAATAAAAACAACTGATATTTTCCTAATCGAAGTAATCAGAGTCAAATGCGAGTCACACGCGAAAAATAAACAAATTGTGAATTAAAAGCAACTTCGAAAACCGAGCGTGACATCATCGCGTGCGAATTTGTCGTGTACTCAGACACTTCGCTGCTTATTTCACTCACTGCTAATATTCAGTCGTTCATACAAGTTGCCAAATAGTATCATAAGGGGGACGAAGTGATCGAATCAGAAAACTGTAGGAAAAATACTTTGCAGTTTATTGCGGATGGTATTTCTTTGTAACTTTCAACTTTAGGTGTATTTCTGATAAGATAATATGTTAAGTAATATGCGAAATATGTATTGTATAAAATTTTGTTTCAAAATCTACAAAATTGTTTCAACTTAAATTACTATATATCATTTTAACTGTTGGTACGTTAATAAATTAAAAAATAATCAAACAATGTTTTTTATATCGTATAAATAATATTTTGAAGTCGAATATATTTCCGTTGCAGAATGTAAATCGCTATCATATATATACTATTTCAAAATGACTTAATTCGATCGCATTTATTAAACCCTGTCTACATTTACACAATGTCAACATTACTTTCACAAGTTTAATAGTGTGAGACTAAGAAATAACTTAATATTATTCACTTAATTCCATTATTTATTATTATATTGTACTATATAAAGAATTATTATTAAAGTACTTAAAGCTAAGTTACATTCAATATTTGTCAACTTAAATCTTTTCAAATACGTTCACATCTCCATTACATTCTTTTTACACACGGGAACTCAAAAGAATGGGAACGGCTTTTTGAAGAATGGTACCTCTCTCTGAACGGAAAATCAAGTCTTTAAATATATAAAATATTAGTAAATAAAATAAATTACGTAAAAGGAAGCTTTATATACAAGACAGTAATTTATGAAAGATATGAAAACATGACAAAAAACTTGCTTTCACTAAATAGATTTGATTTAAATATTATTATAATAGCATCCCTTCAATATAAGGCATTGAGTTGTCAATTATTTGCTTTCTAGTAGTTAACAGGTTTCCTCCTACCATATTTTCTAGATTATTAGAAAATAGTTACTAGGGTTTAGTCTAGCATTCTTATAGCGATTGATCTGTAAAAATTTATTTTATAGTGCCATGTCATATGTTTGTAACCTCAATAAGTTTACAAACTTGCACTCATCTATGTGGAAAAACAATACCAAAGACTTTATCGATGAATTCTGTCGTAAACGTCATAATTCTACGTTTATTGCAGACATGCAATAAACATTACTGGCTTTTTATTTCTCTCGATGCGTAAATATATCACATGTAGATATTTGAAAACTATATGTCATTTCTATTCTGTATAAACACAGAGTTTGTTCATTTTGTGATTAGAAATTTATTAGTAACCGGTTAAAATATGCTTTATTTAGATAATTAGTGAATTATTATTTATGATTTGACTGAAATTTAAATAAAATTATTTCGAATTATTAAGAAATATATATAAATACTCAATTTATATAAAATTTAAATATTTACGTTTATTACTAAGGGTATATAATTATGGTACAACTTTTTGTAAGAAGCGTAGTGCCGTATATTATGGTTCAAATAAGAAACCAATTATAAGATACAAATATAAAAGTAAGTAATCGACAGATTTACGTTGATCAATAATTGTAGACAGAAATAGTGTGCAATTAAGTCTGGTTAATATTGAGTAAATCAATTTAACTACATGTTATATTAAAACATTCAAATTTAAGAAACTATAGGTTAATATTATAAACTTCCCATTCTGCCACGAATTAGCATCATTGATTATTACAGCATCGTTCAGACCATCTTAAAGAGTCACTATCTGCTTCTATCCCTTACTCCTGCACAGTGTTAAGCTAATTCGCAACGACTCCCACAATGTCAATAAACCTGGGTCGTCATCTTTCTTGGCTTTTAGTTTCCTGAAGGTTGCGCTTTTAGTATATTGTATATTGTCGTCATTAGCTCTGTGTATATGTCCTGAAATGTCTCATACGAGATAAGATAAGATAAGATAAATTTTTTCAATCTGTTATTGTTGTCGTTAAGTATCAACCCCAAGTATGAAAAGGACGTAACTTTTTATAACTTGTCGTTTTTTATTTCTTCTTCGAAAGTCTCGTACGATGAATTTGTGGATATTGATTTACTTAGTTCATGAATCGCATGATTAAGTGCATTATCTTATTTCAGTCTTCTATAAATAATAAAATTAGGTGTCAGGTGTTTTCAGATTTTAATCGTGCGTCTGACTGTTTTCATTGTAATCCGTATAATGTTTGTCAATTTACTTATAAATATAAAATATTTATAAATATGTTTAACATAATAATCTCTGGATTCAGAAAAAAAAAAATATATAATTTATAAATATATACAAAATAAATAAGTAAAATATAAACTTCCTTGGACGAATATAAGAATGATTTATTTACATACGCATACTTTTGGTCTTTTTTGTTTAATAAATATTACGCATATCAAAATTACATAAAATTTTATGATGTTGGTTATTATTTTTATTTTGCATGTTTAAAATTCAATGATAATTTTTTTATCATATTAATGTTTTTTATGTAGATGAACGCGATGCAATACAAAAGAAGACATTCACAAAATGGGTCAACAAACATCTCAAAAAGGTATGCATAAACAAAATAATCTGTTACTATAATAGTTCATATAGCAAGTTAATAAAAAAAAAGAAAAAAAGAAAGTAAGGAAATATCAGTTCATGTCTTATATATATTTAATTAAAATAATAATATATATAACAATATATACTTACAAAATTAATGATTCCTTAGAAATGTTACATTATATGTTTGATGTAATTATATATTGAATTTATATTCCTAATACATGCAGCATTGGAAACATGCAAAGGTACTTTTTATACAAGTATAAAATTATGTATATGCAGTAGATTTTGTGAAAGAGCAACCTTACACAAATTGGAGACACAATAATGTGTTCTATTTAACTTATCAAAGCATGATCCATATTTGAAAATAAAAATGAGTATCAAATCTTGCACTGTACAAGTTGTGGCAATGAATAAAATTATTCAGAAGTCTAAATTTTCTTATCCTCACTTATTGGATAAGGAAAAATAGAGAAATTGTAAACCTAAACCGACTGCATGGAGTACTTTAGTTATATATATATATATACATATATGTATATATAAATACATTCAACTTAAAAAATTTTGGTCAAGTGTTATAGGTGACAGGATTTATAGATGTAAAAATATTCAATAATATTCTACTTTAGGTGGAAATAGAGTGAAAAGAACCTCTTTTTTGTTATAAGATTACAGTCGCTTAAGATTGATGAAATTGATGTCATTTATTACAATGTTAAGTGAGAAACAAATAGTCTATTACAATTTAAGCATAAAATGTAATGGGGTTCTTAACCCTGGACGTATAATCATAATTCTACTAACGTTAAGAATAATCATACGTAAAAATGACGTGCAATTTTCAGAGTTTATATTTTGCCGTTATATTAATTTAAATGTGTGCAAGTTTTTTACAAGTTTTTAAAGAAGTATTTATTTATTCAAATTAAAACAAAACAGTAATACTTTCAAACACATTTTTTAAATAAACATAATAAATATAATATGCCAATGATTTTCACTTGAAAAGGAATTGCATTTTTCAAAATTATGTATTAAGAGTAAATTTTCAATATTTTTTAATATTTTTTTTTTATTTTTATTTAGAATAAATCAAAAAATAATAATAGAAACAAAAAAGTAAATGAAATTTATATATACTTATAAAATGAACAACTTAAAGTTAGCTTATACAAATAGCAAGTCATATTGAGATCGAAAATAATTAAAATTATTAGGAACTTTTGGTTCAAATCAGCTAATTTATAGTTATATAATAATAATTAATCCTATGCAGAAATACACTTAAAGCATGTATCACGATTGTGCTCTCTACAAATCGGCTTTTTACAAGAACTACATCTAATGTTTGTCATTCTTTTTTTCTTATATGAATAGAATGCACAATATGTTCGACTAGAACTAGATTTTCCACCTTTCTGATCATTTTCTTCATCTTTTTGTAATATTTCAACAATATTAAATCTCTTTGATTCCATTTCTATTAAAACTTTACTGAAATTTGAAAGAAATAAAAGTTTTTCAAAATACTTTATTAGCCATAAAAGTTACACAAAGTATAATCATACGTAAAAATGACGTACAACGACTCAATATCTAACTTATGTCATGACTTACCGACACTTAACATATACCTTACGCAAGAGTTAGATCCCGACTGAACATATCAAGAGCGCGAGACCAATATATGAACACAAAAATGAAATAACTGTAAAAAACGAAAACGTGTACGTCAAATTTACGTACATTATGCGTCCAGGGTTAAGGAAAAGAAATGAAAAAAATGGTGCTCTTAACTACTACTGAATAGTAAACATGGTTGACACATGTTTTGACTTAGCTAAAATGACGACCATATTTTTTTTCTTTATTCATTGCAAACTCATATACTCACTACTATTCCAGACATATACAATGTTACATGTTTGTGTGTACACAAATGGGTCACCCTGTTGTCGTCAGCCAGTAAGTTAACGCAAAAAAATTTAATAATCACTTTAAATTCTAATAATTTATTATTATTTTTTTTTTGGCACACAATTCTATATAAACTATATCATTAGAATAGCTTTTTAATAGCTTTTTTTAACTAAGTTTATTTTCGCATGTTTCAAATAACTAGAATTTAAAAAAAATATGCTACAAATATTTAAAAATTTATTTATCTATTTTAAATAGAAAATCACCTCTCCATTAACTCTATAAAGAGAAAGCATAAAATTTATATAATTATTTTTTTTTTTTTATTATTATTTTTTTTTTTATAATGAAATATTTGTGGCAATTTTGTCGAAGTAGTAGCTAATTGAAGAGGAAAAAAACTCGAATTTAAGTCCATTTTATCAAAAACGGTAATATTCGTGTGATATTCAAGTCAAATTCAAATTCAAAGAAGGGAACTAACAAAATTAATTGGCTACAAAAAATATATTTCAAAAATTAATTTAATTCATAACTATAATCTTAATCTTGTTTTATTTTTTTCAATACAATTTCAATATAGTTTTAATTTCATAACTGCAACCTCCTTCATTTTTTATTTTTTTTAATATAATTGCTATTAATTTGTATACGTTTAAAGCCGTTAGATCTACTATCTGAAAGAATCCTTAAAATCGGATTTTTTTGCAACTTCGAGATTACCTCTACTTATTATATCTTCAAATTTCTTCACCAGAGCAACTCTTATATCAACCAAAGATTTTTGGCTACCTTCCTGAAATGCATCAACAACAATGTCAGGCCTGGAATCTCAAAAAAATTATACACTCTTTCTGTCTAGTGTTTGAACCTCATTAAATATTTTCATAGGCTTAATGTAACGTAAAAGAACTGCAAATCGAACCATTTTTGCTGCATTGGTGGTGAAATTTGCACTGAGTCTTTCTAATTAAGTTTGCGTTTTCTTGATTTCATTTTGATTACTTGCGGTGAAACTTTAAATGAAATAACCCATTATTTCATTTTTTAAATAATGATTCCGCGTTGCCAACTAAGCGAAGTTTCGTTGGTACCTCCGAAAGCAACACTATTTTTTCTGTATGGTATTTACTAATGGCAGGTACTATTATCTGAATTCTTGGATAAAAAACTGTTGAAAATTATTTTTCCCAAATTTTTTTTTTATATAAAAAAATAACAACAAAAACTTTTGAACATGAATTTTAAATTAAAACAAAACCAAATTAAAGTATTTCTAGTTGTAATTCTTTAGTTGTACTGCTGTTTGCTCTTGCATAGACACAAATTATAAATCATCAACTATTCAAATAAATACTTCTTCATTTTAGGGAATTTTGTATTTGACTGTATTAGCTGGTTTTGATTACACCATGCGGCACTAAATTTTCTTTTTGATTTTTCAACAGTTTAAGTTAATTTGAAGCCGCTCAGCTTAAATATGCAACTTGTTTTTTTTGTCCATACATCTAGGTTCAAAAATAAATTTAATAAATTTTCAAAATATTTTTTTTTAAATATAAAATTTTTGTGCCTCGCTAAAGACTCGAAAATTTACGAAAAGATAAAAAACCGTTTTGTCTTAGACATCTGCCCCCAAATTCCTCTTTTTCCCGCTTAAAATAATCAAATTTCTCAAATTTTTTTAAAACCATTATGTAAGAAAAAACCATTTCTATAGATCTATAAATAAAAATTGTAATTCTTTTTAAAAATAAAAAGAAGAATTTTTACTTCTTTTGAAATTGTTTAATAACGATATAAAATCCGTTAATTATAAATATATTATTTTAAGAAAACTTGAATGTGACTCGAAGATTATCTTTTCTGATTAAAATAATTGAAAATGATTCGTAATGACTTTCGGTCAAATTTATTATTGAATTTCTAGTTTTAATTTTTTTTCTAAAATTGGTTTATTTTATTTATATTTTGTAATAAGTAAATGATTTTTAGTATGACTTATCTTCATAAATAAATTTTAAAGGCAAATCGACGTGTAGATGATCTCTTTGAAGATTTGCGAGATGGTCACAATTTGCTATCACTTTTAGAGGTGCTATCGGGCGAACATCTGGTAAGACAATTATTAGTACCATTAAAAAAAAATTAATTTAAAAGAAAATATTTAAATTTTTATTTTAATTTTAATTTTATAGCCAAGGGAAAGAGGTAAAATGCGTTTCCATATGCTTCAAAACGGACAAATGGCACTAGATTTTTTACGATACAAGAAAATCAAATTGGTTAACATTAGAGCCGAAGACATTGTGGATGGAAATCCTAAATTAACATTAGGTTTAATCTGGACTATAATTTTGCATTTCCAGGTAACAATTAATGTGTAATTTTTATATTGTTTTTATATATCAAAATAGAACAGCACAATTATAATTAAAGTAATTATTGTTGACTTGTGTGAAAAAGAACTATAGAATTTTGTACCACTTAGCTCCTTTCCTAAATCTAAACATAAATTTCTTTCAATAGAAATTAATGTTTTTTAAACCTTGTTAAAACAATAAAACAAACTTTGAAGGATTTTCACTTTGAGTGATGTATCAGTAGTTAAGTTTGATTACATAACTAACTATACCGCCTACTAATTTATGACTAAAAGTGTTCATTGTTATTGAAACATTAAAACACGAACAGTAAATTTATTTACAATGATGCAGTATGCACACAAATACAGTTAAAAAACAATTGCGTAATGTTGTGACCGCATTTTAAACTTGTTATTTTTTTATTAACCTATTTTGATTTCAAATATATCTAATTTTGTATTATCAGAAATCTGTCTAAATTAAAAGACTCTTACATATATATATTGATAACATCCACACTCTGATTGGGAGTGAATAAGAGAATATTAACATCGCCATCACTTAATTCGACCCACACTGACAGCAGTAAGACCCTGTTTTCAATAAATACGCATTGCATTTTGATTAATAAAAACTTGTTTAGCTCAATGAACAAAATTAAATAAAAAATTGTTCGAAATCGACAGTAAAATAAAATGTAAAATAATTTTTGCCATATAACCAAATACGGTAACTTGTTGTATCTATTCGTGCGCTTGCCATAGCGACTTGTTGAAAAACATTGCCCGCCTACACAACTGTAGTACCCGCAACAATATTGATATTTCAGAATGTGATGACGACAAGCATAACGTCAGCAGTGAACTATAATACAATGCATTTTTCATAACATTTGTTAGGCTCAAAATCTGCGAAATTCGTCGCCTTTTTGACAATGTTGTTAATCTAACAAATAGTTTATTTTAATTCATCAGTTATAATGACTACTTTGCTGATCGCGTATATTTAATGTTTTTGATACGGCAGAAGTTTTTAACTCTAGTCGATTAATAAGCTCACAATTTACTTCAATAAAAAAAAACGTTTTCAATTTATTACTTTTTATAAAATTAATAAAGTTCCAGGAATTTTAATGATTATATGATTTATTTAACTCCGATATATTTCTTTTTTATATTTCTTGTATTAATCGTAGCTTACTAAAGGATACATTATCTTCAGATTATGCAGATAGTACACTTCTTGTTCACTTTGACGAGACGTACAGCTAAATTTTTTCTATACTGGTTATTAAAATGACCTAGTGAGGAGTATTATTTTAAAATCGAAAGCAACGTCTTCTAAGGCAGAAATTATATATTAACTAAAAAATTCATAGATATGTTATATATATAAATTAATCTCACACATCATTATTAGTTTTTAAATAATTTACTCAAAATTAAAGATATTTTGTCACATTTATTTAAATTTTTATAATATTTTTTATATATCAACTTGATATACAATCCATTCTATTATATAAAAATATCTGTCAGTTAATTGACGTTATTTTAATGTCTATACGAAATACGTTACGTATTTACGGTATTATGGTGAATTTTCATATTTTTCGATATCGATCAGTTAAATTATTATTTTTATGTACTTTGAATTGTTTTCTATACAAGTAGTAATCTGTAGTCTTCAGATTCATAAAATAGTTTATTTTTTCTCTGCTAAACAGACTTTTGAAAATGGGTTTTAAAAGTTTATCTAAATGATTTAAATCGATTAATTATAACTTAGATTAGCAATTGAAGCTAAATAATTATTTATTAAAAACGATGCTCAATTGATCTTCAAATAACTGGTTGTAAACAAGGGTGCACATATTGCTGCTACATCATTTCCGAAAATCGAAGTGTCACCATATAAATTGCCCGCAAGATTTAAAACCTCAATTTATATATCAGTGAGTTTACTTAACCACTTTATTCGCAGAAAACATATTTTAATTTAAATTTAAAATCAAAAAATTATAAATAAGAGACAGGAGACAGAAGGATATAGTAGTACATGCTGAATTGCTAGCTAATTTTAACCTTATCTAGTTATAGTGATAGCGATACTTTTTCCATACTTCATGTTTTTATATTTTTATTGTTAATCTTCCGTATAATAAATTGACTATTATTATTTTAATTAACTATTATATAATAGTTAATTAAAATATTATAATACTATTATATAATTTCAATTATTTTTTACGTGTATTAGGCGGTAAAAAACAAATCAATGAAGATTACCATGTAAGTTGTCATTGCATGTTCTAAACTTGTCCTTAATTATGAAAATTAGTTAAAAATGTATACCCCAGTTGGTGTCTATAATATGAAGCAACAAGTAGAGGATCTTGACCAACTACAAACAAAATCTATTCAAATCACAGAATGTACTTGTAGTCAAACCAACTAGATCTAGCCTTACATTGCTTCCATATCTAGCAGATAGCATGTTATTTACAATACTTGTATACTACATAGCTATTTAAATAATTATTCTAAATATTTTACACAATTTCAGGAAAATTAAATGATCAGTATTAAAATCACCAAGAACTACTCAAAATTTAAATTATAGACAATTGTAAGAAGGGAATCACAAAATAAACTCATGTGCATATATTATCAATAAAAATCTTCAAAGCAATATATTCTATATCACAAAAGCCAACATCGATTAATGACAAAATCGTTCTTACAGACTTAAGAACTACTGAAATTACTAACAAATTATACTTTGGAGACGCAAACAACATTAACATTAGAATCTTCGAAAACTTGTTTAATATAATCAAATTTTAAATTAACAAGACTTCTCTTATCTTATTCTTTACAAAGAATATTAATTTCATTTCTATTACCTACACATTAAGTAGTCGATTTTTTGAGCTTCCAATTTCAAATTTGTTTGGCAGTCGCAGTCATGGTTAATAATGAGATCTTGTAGGTTTCGAGTATTTTGCTTTAATTTCACTACAATATAAGTATGTTCTTGCATTTTTTAGTGCTATAAAATACTTAGTCTCATCAACGAAATAATTGTATTTATTTTATTTAAACATTTAGCAATTTTTATTGCGTTAGTGAATTAAATTTGTTATCAACAACTAATTTTATTTTCCAAGCGGTCTGTTCAACTTAATGAACACGTTGGGGATTATTTTTAATTAAAAGGGAATAATACTAAGAATGGCGGGATGGAAATACAATGTTGGGAAAATGAAATTTTAGTGGTAAGGGAATTAACTAGAGGGTGACATTAGTGTAACTGAATTCTGCAAAAACAAACTCAGCTTCCGTACACACATTTGCCTTATTGCACAAAGTGTAGCCCTTGTAGCAACGCATATTGTTTAAACTTTTATGTTCTAATGTTCTGCCTGATATGGATTCTGCTCTCTCTTATAACCTGTTTAAAACTACACTATTTAATCCTACTTTCGGATTGATGAATTTTTATTTTTAGTATAATCGCTATTTTTTACAATTTTATTACAGTAATGATAAAAAACCAGGACTGGCCCTGTTTATAGTGAAGGTATTTTATCAATAAGCTGTCAAAAATGTTTTTTATCGCTTTTTGAGAATTCGAATTCAAATATGAAATATGTATGTTATTTTAGGCAAGTTATTTTCTATTCACAGTGCATGCACACCTTTAAACAGCTCAGCCGATAGACCATCGACACCTGTAGCTTTGTTGTTTTTGAGTCGCATTATATATGTTTTAACTTTATTATAATCGCAAAGCGAGACGATAATTTCATCATTGTTTTATCTTCGCTTTCAGTTACATTACTACTACAGCCATTTAGTAGGATCGAGAATTGATCCCTACAAATGTTAAGCATGCTTTGGATATCTATCACCAGATTACAATTTTCATCTTTGCAGGAATTACCTCCGGGTTTATAACCATTTATCAAATTTTTCATTTTTTGGTAGAATTTTCAAACGATTTTCTTCCCGCCCAGCTTCTCATACTCTTCCTACTCACGCCTTTCTACGTCTTTTTTTGTTAAGACACTGGAAACATGCCTTCCGTCTATCACAACGCGATCAATTTGAGATCTTGTATTTTGATCAAGTGACAGCTGTGTTGTCTTATGTATGTTAAAATGCTGAAATCTGGCACTACTATCCACCATGTTTCTAGCCGCGGCTAATTTAATCAGCCTTCTTCCGTTTTTGTATGGAGACTAAACTTTTCGACAGTATCACCACAGAAAACTTCTTTACGCAGCTTGGCGTTGAAGTCTCCTACAACGATTTTGATGTCATGATGTCAGTGTTCATATGCTTGTTCGAGCTGTTCATAGAAAGTTTTCTTGGTGTCGTCATCTTAAGTTTCCGCCCAGGACATGTGCTCAAATAAGAGTAATGTAGAAAAATATTGCCTTAATACGGATTTTGGCAAGCCTTTCGTTTATTGGTGTAAATGTTGAGACAAAATTTCTCAACCTTCAGCTTACCGCGAATACGACTTCGTATTTGTGCTTTGTTTCATGGCAGCTGTTGTAGATGTCACAATGTTCTCGTTGAGAGCATCCTTGTCCCGTCCATCGCACTTCCTGGAGGACGGTAATGTCAGCCATCCGTATTTCTTGAGAACATTAACCAGCTGTATAGATGCACCTTCTCTGTAAAGAGTTCGGACAATCCAGAAGCATATTTTTAAATCGTTTTTCTTACAACTTTTGCGATTGTCGTCATCAGTAAATCGTTTCCTTATCCGAGGCTATCTCTTCATTTTTATTCAAAGGTGTTTTAAAATGGTGGGTTCTAATCCCGACACATAACCTCATACATATATTCATGAGGAGCATTTCGCTGCACACATTAGTTCACTACGCACGGATGATTGTAGCTATCCAGAGGAGGCCACGTGGAGGCTGTATGCCAACTTAGAGAGAACAGTGACGAGGATCGCGCTTGTATTTACCTTTTTAAATGTATCAAACCTTGTATGTTCACTCCCCCTATTCTCTCCCTTTTATTGTAATAATACAATAGAATATGTCCAGTTTACTTTTGTTTTTCTTTGAAATTATAAAACTCGATTTATATATTTTGTACAACAATCACTTTTTCTTAACTAATTTCGATTTGATTAAATAATTATTTTTCTCCTATAAAATATATTTTTAAGTAAATATTAAATGATTTGATTAAACAAATATTTTTTTCATATAGAATATATATTTAAGTAAATATTAAACGTCACTGTTTTGTTCAAATTGACATAGTCATAAGTGTAAATAAACACAATAAATTAAGGAACTCTTGTGTCATAATCTTCAATACACATATGTACATATTTAACTATATTTCTTTACGAATACTCTTTGTGTGATATTCAAGTTAAAGCTTTTAAGTTAGTATTTATAATGATGATATTTTGCCTTCACTTCAGGCAAACCAAAATAAGCTTAAGTTTTTTAATGTAGTTGTGAATCAAAAAAGTTTTAAAATTAACAAGTCTGTTTTAAAATGACATCACCTTTTACGAGATTTTAAGCCAATGTCACGTCAGAAATACAAATTGCAAAGAAATATAACATTATTTACTAAAAGTGTAATGAATTTAACAAATTTAAAATCAAAAATATTGATTTCTTAATGAAGAAAACAAAGACATTATTTTATTTAAGATATATATGTGTAGTAACTTAGGAAAAATGCACTTATTTGTATATTTAGATAGTTTTTCCATAATAAATTATCTCTATGTGGGTAGAATTTATTTCAACCTTCGATAATATAAATAAAACTGACAATATTCATTCTAAACTAAGCTCAGAAAAGTAAACTCGTTATTTGCATACCACGCAATTTTTTTATGGTCAAAAAAATAATAAACGAGTTCATATTCATTTAATATTTATCGAAATTAATTTTTTTAACGATGTTGGGGTGAATAAATGTGGTAATATCGAAACCAATAATCACTGATAAATATTTTTTTAAATATATGTTAATTAAAAAAATTAATATTTCATTTCAATGGTAATTCTGCCAAAAAATTTCTGTAGCTACAAAAGAAAAAAGATTAAGTGCACGCATAATAAAAGTTATCAAAGTGACTATTAACTGAAAGGTATAACATTTCTGGAAATAAAATCTCCTAGCATTGAGATACAATATATTACATACTTAAAAGAATCTTCAATTTAAGTAGATATAGATATAAAACATGAAAGCATTTCTCTCATTTAAACATAAGATATGGACATTTATAGGAGAACAAAAAATAAACAAACCAAATGTATTTTGTTTATATACACATAGGCGTTGTTCCATTGTCAACATCTTATAACAAGAGTTTTGCAATGTTTTTAAAAGAGCTCTATTTCCCAAAGAATTTAACTAATTCGAACAGATTAATATAAATTTGTGAATTAATTTAAAAATGTTGCAAAACAACTGAAAGTAAACAATCCGTAACAGATAAAACTAAAAATTATATTTGTATTAACAACCATCATCAATAGATATGGTAATAAAACCTACATTAGTGCAGTTAACATAACACTCAAAGGAAACACGCCACTGATTAGCTTTAAGAAGACTGCGAATAAACCGCCTACGTCCGTCGTTTGTCGTTTGTCGTTCGTTTTATGATTTTGAATGCTAGAATTATATATAACTTCTGTGTGGTTCGTTATATTGGTTATTCATATACAGTGTAATTTCCATTTACCTATGCTTACAGTAGCGTGGCAACGCATTCAATGTTAAATTGAGCTAAGCTGAAAGAGTTGCTGCCAAGCACATCAGACGCTCACGTACTCGCTTAAATTGATACACCTGGCAGACTTTAGACGCGTCTATTCAACATTCTCTGTTAGTTGTTGTTTAGACATCGTCAGTTTTGGTAGAATTGTTTTTTCTGTAGCGTTTGTATATTGCTTAATCCCATTTTGTGTATGAACAAAATAAATTGCAAATATATTGTTAATATCAAAATAAAAATATAAATAAATACGAATCGTGCTTGTAGTATTGTAGTATTATTTCATATCGAATGATCTTAAATAATTTACGTTTCAATTAAAGTGCAAAGTTTTACCTATTTGAACCTACCTCCGTTTCCGTTGTTACAAGTGAATTATCTTAAAATGTTAAAATATTAAAATTAAAATATCATCCATAATTTTTTTCTTTTTTTATATATTCTTTTACAATATCTTTAATTCATATCTGCACATTTCTTCATGAATTACTATCAATGATGTCAGAGTTTTAATGCAATAGAGTCGTTTCACTCAATTTAATTCTATGCAATAATTGAAATAGGGTACAGCTTATTAAAATAATATTGTATAAAAAATTTATGTTTAATAAAATATTCAACAATTAAAATCAATTATTGAATCATATTGTTGTGATTGTTTTATTGCAGCAATGAACTCGTTTTAATTGTTGTGTGAAATATTATATTCATTTTATTATAAATTTTTAATTAATAAGTATTATAAATGATAGCAATGAGTTACGTTAAAATAAAGAATTATTTCTGCATTATGCATTCCTTATCTACGTTCAAAACTGAATGCATGACATTACTCTTTTTTAATCGATATAGATATTTTTGAGAAACAAACTAAAACACTTTTGGCGACTCGAATTACACTGTGAAAAACACTAAATAATTAATCTTAATTCGTTATATAATAATAATCTAAATTACATTCATCTTTATTAATATTAAAATAATAAAAATGAGTAATGTAGGGAAAATAGAAAAGATTATTACGTCTCAAATATTCCCATGTAACAACGCAAACATTATAATTTATGTTTGTTTTTTATACATAATAATTTTGCAAGAAACCATTTTTTCATACTTTACATCCGGTCAAGTTAGAAGCATATCGTTGGTTAATTCACAAAAATTTTGTGAAGTTCTTCTTCAACTTGTTTCCTTTATGGTGTTAATAAAAATCTGAAGTTGAAGTGTAAGTGCAACAACCGAAGCGACTGAGAAAATTGCGTTATGTTTTGAACTGGCATGAAAAAGAACAAATGATAAAACGTGCAAAACTGAAAGAAGAGAAAGAAATTAAATTAGTTAAACTGAAATAGACAAAAATTGAGTTTTAAGTCAACATAATTCTACTTTCGTTTTTATATTTATATATACTAATTGTGAAGAAGAATCTTATTTCGAAAAATTTGTTGAAGGCACTTTGTAGACTTTAATATTGTGGTACGAAATATTTTCTACACTAAAACGAAATGCTTTCGACATCCACATCATCGAATCTGAAGCGTGCCCAACAACAGGTGCAACAGATTAGCAATAGTGATAATACACCCCTAATACGTGGTTCAGCAATTACAACTAATATTGACGATAACAATAAAGTACGATATCAGCATGAATTCAAGCACGAAAAGACTATTGAGGCTGTTATTACTGATTATCCAGGCGTAACACCAATTACTGCCATGCCACATAAACGTTCAGCAATTGACCGGTCAGTAGTTTTACAGAAGAGTTTACATAATGAAAATCATATTAATGACACCAAGAATGTAATTCAATTTGCTTCCGATTCATCTCTCACAAAACATGGCCAATCATGTCAAAAGATTACTCGTAATAAACGTATCTCGACTGAGATACTTGGGTCTAGTGTGGAAAGTACGAAAACATCACAGCGTGCTCCAAACGGTCATCGTCGTATTACTACTCATATTGTGCGAAAAGTTACCACATTAAGTCGTGCTGAGGAACAACAGCATCCGATAGAAGTATTGCAAAAACCGTCGAAAATGTTACGTCACACAGAAGTTGAATACAGAATTGAACAACCTGCATTGCCTGCTATAGAGTCGTCAAGAAAAAGTAGCAAGGTAAACATCAATATGTGAGTCTGTCGAAATAAGTATTTACCATAACAACAAATTTTGGAAATGATATGGAATAAACTCGTATTTATTAATTTACTCTTATTCTTTTAATAAATAAATAAATTTTTTAATTTTTATTATAATACTTTATAATTGTGCTTTGTTCAATTACATTAAAACTATATAACAAATAATTAGAAAAAGTATTGAAAATTAATTAACTTCATATACTTGTATCCAATAGATCTCCGACATTGTTGTTGGTAAAGAAGATAATGTCTCTGCGAGGGAAGCACTTTTACGTTGGGCTCGTCGTTCTACGGCTCGGTACCCAGGTGTACGTGTTAATGACTTTACATCATCTTGGCGAGATGGACTTGCTTTTTCAGCGCTTGTTCACCGAAATCGTCCTGACTTGCTTGACTGGCGAAAGGCAAGATCTGATCGACCAAGGGAAAGGCTAGAAAATGCATTCCATGTTGTTGAAAAAGAATATGGTGTAACACGTTTATTAGATCCAGAAGGTTAGTTATATAAAATTTTTTTTTTTACCATAAAGTATGTAACTTATTTTTGTATAGATGTTGATACGAATGAACCTGATGAGAAATCATTAATAACATACATATCTTCACTATATGATGTGTTCCCTGAACCACCATCAATACACCCGTTATTTGATATGGAGTCACAACGTCGCATGCATGAATATCGTGACTTAGCTCAACAATTTATATACTGGTGTCGCGAAAAAACCGCATATTTACAGGAACGTTCGTTTCCACCAACTTTAATCGAATTGAAACGTCTGTTAAATGATATTCATCGTTTTCGCACTGAAGAAGTTAGCGCTCGTAAACGAGAAAAATCAAAATTATTTCAAATATATAAAGAACTAGAACGATATTTTGAAAGCATTGGAGAAGTAGATGTAGAACCTGATTTACGTCCTGATGCGATAGAGAAAGCATGGTATCGCATTCAAAGTGCGCTATCAGATCGTGAACTTATACTACAGCAGGAAATAGAGCGTCTAGAACGCCTGCAACGGCTGGCGGATAAAGTTCAACGTGAAATTAAACATGTTGATATGAAGCTCACAGATTTGGAAGGACGAATCGCTGAAGATGCTAAACGCGTTGAGCGTCTCCACCCAGTTGATGCAAAAAACATTGTTGAGTCTTTGGAAACAGAAATAAGACATTTAGAAGAACCAATACAAGATATGAATCAAGACTGTCATGTGCTAAATGAGGGTCGCTATCCACATGTAAGCGAATTGCACAAAAAGGTTAATAAGTTGCATCAACGTTGGGCACAACTTCGAACTTCATTCCACACAGATTTGGTACAAAAATTATCTGGTCTAAAATATCCTATACATGAAACTACTGTTACACGCCAAACACGCATGGTTGTTGAATCGCGACAAATTGATACGAATCCTCATTTCCGAGATTTACAGGAGCACATAGAATGGTGTCAAAATAAATTGGTATAATCAGTATAATAAAACTTTTTTTTATATATGAATTTGACATATTTTCTCGTTTAGAAACAAATACTTGCAGCCGACTATGGATCAGATTTATCATCTGTTAAAGAAGAATTGGATAGTCAACAACATGAACACAAAATTATCGATCAATTTCACTCTAAAATTGTAAATGACGAGCGGCACCAAATGAAATTTTCTGGCGAAGAATTGAACTTATATCAACAGCGTCTGAATCAGCTACAAAAACTTTACGCTGAATTACTTAGCACATCAACTAAACGGCTATCTGATTTAGATTCTTTACAGCATTTTCTAATTCAAGCATCTGCGGAATTACAGTGGCTTAATGAAAAAGAACAAATTGAATTAACACGTGATTGGGCAGATAAGCAGTTGGATTTACCTTCAGTGCATAGATATTATGAGGTAAATTTTAAATAAAAATTTTTCATTATTTAAAATTTATCCATCTAAAGTATGAAATTAAAAAAGGTGTGAAATCATTTTTATTACAAGCGTGCATTTGGTAACGGAGATGAGGTAAGATACTTATTTAGTAAATAATCTTAAAAAAAGAATTGATACATTACTTCGAACCGAATGCACTTCATATGGAAACTAATTAATTTAATTCCTTTAAGTATTTCTTTAAGTGTTTAAAGTAATTAATAACTTTTTTCGAAACAGAATCTCATGTCAGAATTGGAGAAACGAGAAATTCATTTTTCCACCATATTAGACCGTGGTGATGCGTTGCTTAATCAACAGCATCCAGCTTCTAAATGTATAGAATCGCATTTAACAGTACTACAACAACAATGGGCTTGGCTGCTTCAGTTGACGCTGTGTCTTGAAGTCCACTTAAAGCATGCTACCGAATATCATCAATTTTTTGCTGAAATAAAAGATGCCGAGCAATGGCTCGTGAAGCGTGATGACATTTTAAATAGCAAATATTCTCAATCGGATTTTGGTCTTGATCAAGGTGAAGCTTTATTACGTGGTATGCAGGATTTACGTGAAGAATTGAATGCTTTTAGTGAAACTGTTGCTAATTTGACCCATCGGGCTCAAACAATTGTTCCACTATATAAAAGACGACAACCGGTAAATAATCAATGCTCTGTACAAGCAATTTGTGCTTATAAGCAGCAAGGTCAACTACAAATTGAAAAGGGAGAAACTTGTATCTTGCTCGATAACTCTAGTCGAGTTAAATGGAGAATTCGTAATTCAATAGGACAAGAGGGTTCAATTCCTAGTGCTTGCTTATTAATGCCTCCTCCTGACCAAGAGGCAATTGATGCTGCTGAACGACTTAAACGGTTATTCGATCGTTCTGTGAGCTTATGGCAAAAAAAACATTTACGTCTACGTCAAAATATGATTTTTGCTACAATTCGTGTTGTCAAAGGATGGGACTTTGACCAATTTCTTGCAATGGGTCCAGAACAGCGTACAGCGATACGGCGTGCACTCAATGATGACGCAGATAAACTTTTAAGTGAGGGTGATCCAAATGATCCACAATTGAGACGTTTACGCCGTGAAATGGATGAAGTAAATCGTTTATTTGACGAATTTGAAAAACGCGCTAGAGCTGAAGGTAAATTAATTTAATTAAATTAGTTTATTTTTATTTTTTTCGTAGGCGGTATATTCACCAATTATAAAAACATTTTATCAAATAACCGTCATACGATCTTAATTTCAATTAAATTTAAGTGTAAATTTTTTACTTGATGTTAGATTCAATACATAAATTTGTTTAGTACGAAAATAGTATTCTCTTCAGTAGTGTCTTATTAAAACTATTTCTGTATCGTTTGTGATGAAGAAATTATTTGCCAGCCGTAGAACTCGTGGTACTAAATAAATAATTTTAGCTTAAATTTAATTTTCCAGATTTAAAACGTATTCAAATATTTTATTATACTTTTTAGAGGAAAGCAAACAAGTTAGCCGAATCTTCACAGAAGAATGCATTGCAATCAAAGGAAAACTTGAGGATATGGCACGAGAGTTAGATCAAATAATACTAGCACCACTACCACGCGATCTTGATTCTTTGGAACATGTTTTAGAAATACATGCTGATTATGATCGTCGCTTAAAATTGTTGGATCCCGAATTAAAACATTTGCAAGAAACTTTCCGAAGTATTGCATTGAAGACACCAGTGCTTAAAAAGAGTTTAGATAATCTATTAGATCTATGGAAAGAGCTAAATACGCAAAGTAATTTGCATAAAGATCGTTTAAAGTTATTAGAGACTTCACTAGCTGGTCTGGAAGACAATGAACATGTTATTTCGGAAATTGAAAATGAACTGGCAAAACATTATGATTTACCATCTACTGCTGAGGGTTTGCAAATAGTGTTCAAACAATTAACACATATGCAGGATGTTATCACACAACAGCAACCACAAATGGATAAAATGAATGATGCAGCAGATCAACTTGGTCGTATGGGAGTTCCAACAAAAGTTCTTGGAGATCTTAAACGATTACATACGAATGTGGAACGTTTGAATACGCGATGGAGTACCACTTGTAATCAGCTTGCTGAGAGGTAAGTGTTACAATTTAATATTGTATAAAAAATATTCACTTGATCAAATTTGACACTCAATTTAACATAAAATTCACACATTTTCTTTATGGATTTGTTTTATTGATTTAAATTTCATAATAATAAATAATCTAATATTATTAAAAACACTTAAAATTTCTTTTTAAGAATGCGTTCATGTGAAACCGCAATTGGTCTCATGAAAAATCTTCAATCAAGCGTGCAAGTCGAAGAGTCTTGGGTTGATGGTACAACAGAAAAGTTATCTGCTATGCCCACAGCAACGTCAGCTTATGAATTAGATGTGAGTACTTTCATAATGTACGCCATTCTTACGTTTTATTTGGTATAAAACCTTAAAGTTCTATTGTTAACTTTTAGATAATATATAATTAGGTTATTTCCTCATACCCAGTTGCCATTAAGAACTTTATGTTAATATAAAGTAGATAAAATAGTGAGACAGAAAACACAAAGTATATATTAAGGTTCGAACAAATTTAAGTTTCTAACCAAAAAGTAGTATTTGAGCCTTCGGTGTTGGAAAAGTTTTAATTGATATTGTCTTTGTTGTTAAACTTAAATTATAATATATTTTGTTTTATACGATTGTTAACATATCCATATGTAATTTTTGTAACAGTTTGAACATTGTTGATGTCTTAGTTAAATAGCTTAATAATTAAAATTTGTATTATATCCATTATTTAATTATTTGTTGTTCAAGTTAATTACTTAAATGTCAAATTAATTAATTTATTTTTTACATTTATAAGTACATATTTTATATTGCTTATTGTTGTTGGTGGAAGTTAGTCTTATGTAGACATTACCAGTTACATGAATTTTAGCTTATATATAGTAAAGACCATATATATATATATACTCCACCTACACATCAACACCCACAATACCAATTCAATTTATTTTGTAGATAAAACTGATGGAAATATTAGAATTTCTTAAGTGTAGTATTTTTATTAGTGGATTATTTGTTGTTTTTTAATATTGCTATTTCTAAGTAGTTTGAATTTAAAATATATTTTTATTAGTATGTATTGTTGCAATAGACTAACTTTTGTAGTCAATTCAAAACTAATTGTATTTTTGTCTAATTTTTTGTATTTCTTCACCTAAAAACAAATCACAAATAATTGAACACACACACAAACACCAACAAATTATTATTTATTTATGTATACATATATAAAAATATATAACTATATATGTTTATACATACATACATAAATGAAAATAAAATGAAATCATTATATGTAAATGTCACGTAATGAATGGAAAAATAATAAATAAATAAAAATATAAAAAATATAAATCCTAAAACAAATATGCAAAAATCCAGAAACTACTTGGAGCTGCAATTGAACAAAAACCAAAAATCGAACATGTCAATCTGGCTGGAGGACGATTAATTCGTGAAGCAAAGGTAATTTTTTTTATTCAGAATCCATCAATATAAAATATTTAGAAGAATTAAATAAAATTTTAGGCTCAATCATATAAAAGTAAAAACAATAAAAATACGATCAATTAGATTTTATGTTTGACGCTCTGAACCAGTACGTATATATATAAAAAATATTCAAAACATAAAAATATTTTTTATATAAAATATATATAATTGATACGCATTTTATAAGTTCAAAATAGTCTAGTTGGGCCTAAAATATTATTAAACAATAATTTTTTATGAGTACTCAAATAATAGCAGAAGAATAAGTGAAATATAATATAAGAAATTGAATGTAAAAAACTTTTTAAATGACATACATATTTATTGCTTTTTAAAATAATCAAAAATTTTATTTTAATCAAATATTTAATGATAAATGTTCTTATTTTATTGTTGTACAAAATATATACAATAAACAAAACATAACGAACAACTTATTAAGATAACTTGGTGGGAGATATTTAATATCATACAAAATCAAAAGACTAAACCACGTAAATCATAAAATAAACCCTAATTAATTCATATTTTTTTATTTTGATAAGTTAATTTTAAGAAGCACTAAATATATTAAATTGTTATTAGTCTAAAACATTGATCAACAGATCTTAACCTTAAAAATATACTAACATTTAAACTTAATATTAACAAACCAACAAACGTAACCCACAACAATTATCAAGATTTACGACGCCAAATGTCTACGCTTTGTGGATTGGCTTATAGAGGCACGTCCATCTTTCTCACCACCACGACGAGACTTACGTCCACCAGACAGTGACCCAGGAGCAACACAGTATTATAGCCATAGACTCGATGCACTAAATATAAAATACGATAGATTATTAGAACAATTATCGCAGAGGCTTAAAACAGCTATCGAAGTAAATGGCAGCGATGGCTTGGTAAGTACCATTTTCGGGATTATAGAATTTATACACAATAAGCGATTTTATTTTTATTTTTAATTAAAATACCGTCTAATTAAAACCTAAACTAATAAAATAATTCACTTGATATTTCTATTTATTTCTACTGATCTAGAAGTATAAATTACTTGTAATGATGATTAAAACTGTGATTTTTCCATCATTTTCTGCAAACTTCAAAATAGAAACTCGTTTTCTCATTTTTATTGCAGTAGTTTTATTTTTAATTCATTTAATCAAATATAGGAAATAACTTGTTTTTTTTTTATCCACATTATGTTTGGATGTATATTTTACTTATATTTATTCTAATACTCAAACGAAAAACTATTACTTATATTTTTCAATATTTTACAAACAATTATTATTATGAGAATAAAGTTTTTTATATACTATGACATATTAATTTAAGTGATAGTGTTGTTATACTTATATACCATACGAGTCATAATTGTGTTATTGCTTATTTCACTGATTTCATCATCGTTAAACTTTTGCGTGTTTATTTATTAAAAAATTCAATATTTCACATACATATATCTAAGTTTTCATAGTTTTATATACTTCATTGACCTGTGAGAGTGTTATATTAAATTTATCAAAATAATAAAAACGAAATGAAATATGACTTCGTTATCTTCTAAGATATATATTTTTGATTATTTATATAAAATAATATTTTCTTTTAATAAGTGAAATAGACCTAGGATTTGGAAACGAACTTTTTTATACGATGCATCATCAGTGCAACATTTTTGCAGTAAACAATATGTAAATTAAAGATTTTATATGAATAATACACATAATTATATTCATGTGCTATAGGAATAGTTCAAAAAGTAGGAATTTTTAAATTTATATAACGTATGTGTACATGAGTACATATCGCGTTATTCATTCTACTAGTTAAACATTCCTTGTTAAAGAAAATATTCAATTAATATTAATGATGAAATAAAATAACTATTATTTTTTACATAATTTTATTTTACGATATTGAACTGTTGGAACTAGGCGTTGGAAATTCATTGAAATTGAAGTTTCAAATTCAATTTCAGGAAAGAATGGGAAAGAATGTTTCCTTGTAAATCATGTTTCATCTTGTAAAACAGTAAAATTTTAAACGTTTACTGAAATTACAAATCTGCTATTTATAAATTACTTGAATAATTAGTTAAGTGATATAAGTATTTTTTTAAAAACTGCGAATGTGAAATCAAAATATGACATCATTGACTTCAAAAGATTATGTGTGCGTCAAGGTTTACCGGTAACTTGGCTTCACAAATCTCATTTAAACTGATATATTTAAAAGCATGAATATAATAAAATATCTGTTGTTTATTTAAAATGCTATGCATATCAGCTAAGTGACGTTATTCTTCAATAACTTCAACAATTTACTATATTTATAGCTTATATATATATTTTTTTTAAATATAAGCTTCGTTTGTACTATTACCAATTTTTAATGAAATAAAGATATAAGCTAGTTATTTATTTAATAGATTTCAAAGATTTTAAACTGTTTTTTATATGACAGATTTTAACTCTTTTAATACTCTTTAACCAAGTAGTGCATACTCTTTATTAGCATTGCTGAAATTTGTACGAGCTCTCTTAGCTTTGCCGAGCCAGCTGTCGTGAAACGTGTGAGCACAAAATCACTTGCCTTTGTGGCGCCTAGCACGCTACAATTTTAGTTGAATTAGGGACGTGGTTATGTCGTGACGTTACCAAACGCAACGAATTTCTTTCATAATTTAAATAACTAATATTTCGATTATATGTAGTCAATTGGATGAAATGTCATTTAAATCTGTGAAGTGGTAGTGTTTTTGTTGGACGTAATAAATTATTTCAAAAAATATACTAACACAACATCTATCAAAAAAATACAAGTTCAACATTTTTATCAGAATCAATATAAATTAAATTCACATACGCCGTGTAGTATTCAATTTTGTTTCATGTTTGTTGCTACTGACAGCGTCGCTTATGATATGATGTCATGCTAAATAAAATATTTGCGTATAGGGCACTCTACTTTTAAATATGAATCAAAAATATAATAAAAAACTGGAAATAAAATGCTGATATGAGTATGAGTTCGTTTCAATAATTTCACACAAGGAGAATTTAATAATTTTAACTTATTTTTTCAGTGTGCAATGTGCTAAGAATACAATTGAAAGAAGTATTTGAAGAAGAAATAAATGTGGCGACTTTTAAATTTATCTTTTTACTACGTACTGTATGTTAAAGAAAGTTCTAAATATAAAAAAAAATCGTGAGTGACAAAGAGAAATAATAATTGTGGCTTTAACTAGTTCACTTTTTGATTTAGAACCTAAACGCTGCTTGATTGGAAATATATTTGTAATGCTTAAAAGATTTTCTCTCATTCTGCCACAAATATTGGGAATCATTCATCTTTATTATTGTTTTTTTAGAGGTTTTCCTTTTTTTTATTTTTTTTCCCTTTTCTTATTAACAAAAATAAAGCGTACCGCAGAAATATGGAACAATACTTTCAAACATAAAGTCTAGAAAAAGTTACTATATATAGCCATAGTCAAAAGTATTTACACAACGAAAGTTTTTGTACATATTGCATAAAAACATGTTTTTATTGTTGTTGTTGGACGTAAGTTGCAAAAAATTTTTTTGTTGTCACTTAGTTTTATCTATGCAGAACCAAATAAAAAAAGAATCGGAAAGATAACTATTAATTTGACAAAAATATAAGCAACTACGCTGATGCTTATTAGTTGTCGAAAGTAATTACATAAATTTTTTTAGCGGCAAAAGTACTCAAAAACACAAAACATTAATTAGCATTTATTCTAGGATTTCCTTAAAGTAAGTGCAGTTGTTAGTTTTTGTCAAAAATTACACAAATTTAGAGATTTCAAAATTTCAGAAATTATTTAGGAAAACGATAAAAACCAAAGAATTAACAGTTGAAATTCGATCTGAGGTTGGTACCTAATATAAGAGTGAGATTTCGGCGACGAACTTAGTAAAGTTGTGCAAAATATTACATAAAACGGTGTAAAATCTAGTTAAAAATAGGAACATAAGTGAAAATTTAAAAGATTTGGAAAGGACTGGGCGGAAACCCCCCATGAATTAAAGGGAATGCAAAAGATTATTACGAGTAGTCAAAATAGCAGCATCATCGGAAAAGTGGATTGGCAAAATTATTAGTGATGCTACACTACATCACAGGTTGAAAAATATTAATATTAATACCTATGTGGTGCACAAAAGAGTCAATATTACTCTAACGACCTTATCAAATATTCTCTCATTTGCTCATCTGTGTTATTAACAGATGAGTCTAGATTTTAATTCTAGGGTTCATTTGATAACCACTCCATGCATTTACGACAACGCCAAAAGAATAAACCAGTGCAACCACTCAAAAGATTTGAAGGTGGCACGGTTTTGTTTTGGGGATGTCTATCATGCTATGCATTTGGATATTTGGTACCGAAAAATGGCACCTTAAATCAGTCCGGTAATATTGATATTTTAAATAACCATGTCTTAACGTCAGAAAATAGACCTTTTCCAATCAATAACTGGGTTCTATAACATAACAATGCACCATGTCATCAAGAATGTAAACTTAATCCAATTTTTAAAGAGTTCAATCATGCTGTTTTTTTATAGCCTGCACAGGGCCCTGGTCTTAGTGTCATTGAATATGTTTGAGACTTTATAAAACAACAAAATACTATTGATAAAAATCCAAAATGTAGTGATAGCATAATTGAAATAAGGAATATTCGGTCCAAATTGATTTTCAACTTGATTGGATCAATTCCAGCTAGGTTGCGGGCAGTTATTGATGCCAAAGCTGGTGTAACCAAATATTAATTATATTAATTAAAGAAAAATAAAAAAATTTTTAAAAAATGCATCAATTAAGAAAAGGAAATTAACGTTTTATGTAAATACTTTTGACGCGAAAAAAATGTGTGTAAATACTTTTGACAACTAATAAGCATCAGTGCATTTGCTTATATTTTTGTCAAATGAACAGTTATCTTTCCAATTCTTTTTTTATTTCGTTCTGCATAGATAAAACTAAGTGACAACAAAAAATTTTTTTGCAACTTACGTCCAACAACAAAAATAAATACATGTTTTAATGCAATATGTACAAAAACTTTCGTTGTGTAAATATTTTTGACTATGGCTGTATATTTAAACCTTTCATTCTAACCAAATTACGTTTCATTATCGTTTTAAAATCGATTATTTTTAAATAGAATATAAAAATATATTCTAATTATACATGAAATTTTGTTAACTTCTACTTCTTTTATTCTTGTTAATTTAATTTATTTACATGTTTTATAATATACTGTGTTATTGTATTTAATTTGATGACATCATATATGGTATGTGTTCTGCTTCTTTCTAAATAATGCTTCGGGGTTTTTATTTATTCTATTACGCTTAATGTTTTATAAAATTCGGTCTGAAATATTGAAAACATTTAGAGATAATAAAAATATATTGTACTTCAAAGCTACTAAGTTAAATTTCTGGCATTTATTCTTTTATTTATTTTATATTATCAGAAGAATTTCATGCATAATTTTTAAAAGATTCTTAAGTTTATTTATGTTTTTGGTTTTAAATGATCTACTGTGTAAAAATAAAATTACCACTGTTTCTCTTATAATAAACCACTAATACTTTACTTTAGTTATAGCATTTAAAATTTATAAAAACATGGTATAACTATTGCTATAGATATCTAGTATTATGGTTATGTTTCCCAAAGCGATCAATATATTCACCTTAGCTTTGGCTATACTTTGCTTAATATGCAATATGTTTCATATAATTTCTTTAAGAAAATTTTTTTCTTTGCTCTAATAATATAAATGCTTTATAAATTAATTAGCTAGGATGCTTATAGCCTCTTTTGATCTAATGATTATATCATTGCCGCCACATACCATAGTCTTGTGTGAGTTCAAGAAACTTCCCCTATTTTTGCATTCAAGACCACAATTCTATATTGTGTCATGTTTTAGACAATTATGTTTTTGATCTTTACTTTTTGCAATATAGGACTTGTTCTCCTGAGTAATCATGATTATGAAGACAATATCATGAAAATTAGCATTTTTAGTAATTTGTGGGGCTGTATTGTAGTTCACAGTGCGCTATTACCAAACCATCTTAAGGAGGTTCTATTGTCAGTTTAACTGTCTCCGGAGAATCGAACCGAAATATCAGTTAGTCGCCCTTAATATAGCACAAACAAAAAATAAATAAAAATTCAGGTATACTTGTAATATTTGCTAACGCTGACTACGTAATCCTGGTTATCCTGACATCCTTGTGACTTGTGTTGCATTTGTGGGCTGTGCGGCTAAATTATACATTCTATATGACTAATATGACTAAATTATACATTACATACATTACTCGTATATTAAAAATGATCAGATATTAAAAACAATGGCAAAATTTAAGTTGCCATGTAAAAATTTTATTTAAATTTATTTTTATACATTCTTCCAAAATATCAAATGAATTTGCTTAAAAAAATATTAATAGAAAAGAGGAAATAAATACTGATAGTATGTTAAGAACTCAAATAAAATCATATCTGAATCAAGTTGAAAGTGAAAGTTATTTGTCAGAAATTAAAAACTTTTAATAATTGAAAAGTATTTTAAATGGCTGAGGAAAGAGAATATGATTTTGCGTTTGAATTTCAGGTAAAAATGAGAATTTATAGAATCGCATATGTGTATTTATACTTATACATACATTTTATCCTATTTATTACATTAATATATTCCAAACAATACTTTTAATTTAATTATTATATTATTTTTCCTTTATAGCGTTTTGCTGAAAGTTTACAGAAGCCACTTAAGACTTTTAGAGTAGATTTCAGCAGCAACAGTGTACCAACTGGCGATGGTTACACTGCATGTGATAATGATTTATATACTTCATCATATAATACAACACAGTAAGTAGATATTTTATTAAAAGATTTGTAAAATCTATCAATTTGCCAATATCGTGTCTGTTAGTAATTCACAAGAAAATTATTTGTATAAATTTAATTGCACAGGTTTAATGCAACTAACACAACAAAAGGCTTATCATCAAAGAACGTGTATGATAGCACAGATTTTGCTCAAAGTAGCAATGATTTGTGTAGTGTAATCAACACTTCTAGTCAAAAATCTAATAGCAAACAATCACAAATACAATTTAACGAAATACGGAGTCTTAAACGTGTACAACACTTCAATGAAAGTATCGGTATCGACCCGTCGTCTAGTAAACATTTGTTAGATATAGCTGGGATACGTGACCCTAGTAGCAGTCGCGTACTAACTATAGGTGAGGCAATACAACTGCGTATTTTGGATGTACGAACTGGCGAAGTGCTAATTGGGGATAGTAGAATTTCATTGCAAGATGCTGCTGACAAACAATTAATCGACACAAATCTTGCTCACTGGCTTCTACAGCCTGGGGTGGGCAGAGATTCAAGTGGTCGCGAATTATCACTGCTTGAAGTAATCCAACATGAGATTAGTGAAGCTGAAATCAGTTATAATACCGCTGGAAAACGTATTAAGGTATCAATTGAGGATATTTCTGACATTGATAATCCTAAAAATATTGCCGATGCCATTTCTGCTGGGAATGTTGATACAAAAACGGGCTTATATCGGATTAAATCCGGTAAAACTATTAGTCTTGCGGAGGCTTATGAGCGTGGTTATCTTATAAGACATGAATGTGTCACAATAAAATCTAATGCGCTTTGCTTAAGCGATGCAATAGCTCATGGGCTTGTAGACAGTTCAGGTTGGATAGCCGATCGTAATACCGGTGACAAATTTAGACTTGACTCAGCAATTGCTAATCAACTAATAGATCCCAATATACGAGAAGTAGTCGATGCAAAGCATGATGTTAAAGTTACATTAAATCAAGCACTTGAATCGGGAATATTAAATCCTAAAACAGGCCGTTATTTAAATGAGGTAACTAAGGAAAAATTGATATTTATTGAAGCAAAAAATCGGCACCTTATTTGTAAACCATATACGCTAAAAGACATATGTGATCTGAACTTATTCGACAAAAATGATAAAATAATAAGTCCAATGCGACGTGACAAGCTTAGTATAATGCAAGCAATGGAATATGGTATATTAGATGGCAATAATTTAAAATGTGTAACAAAACGTAAAGGTGAATTGGTAACTTTACAAGATGCTATTGCAGATGGTATTGTTTTGCCAGCTGAGTCAAAATATAGAGATTATATGACTGGTGAACTAATAACAATACCAGAGGCAGTAGAGCGTGGTTTAATAAGCTCCGTTACTCAAAAAAGTATTTTCGATATTGATGGTTTTAAAGATTTAAGAAGTAGTGATTTCGTTAGTTTTAATACGGCCTTATCGCGAGATATATTACTAAAGAAAAATACAGGTTTTGCTTTAGAAACAAGTAGGGATGCATATTTACCTTTAGAAATATCTGTTAAAGAAGGTTTAGTGCGTCAAGAAGTTTTTGAAATGTTTAACAAGGGAATAGGTGTGCATGATGCCACCGGTAAAGAATTAACTGTATTCGATCTATGCTATCATAACTTAATTGACCCTAAAACTGGATATTTACTCGATCCGAAAACTGGAGAAACGGTACCACTTGATTTAGCAATAGAAAAAAAATTCATTACTCCCCAAGGTGCTTTATTATTAAGTAGTCTATTAAATATAACCTTAACCACAGAAACTGTAACTCGTACAATCAATCGATATGTTACAATACGGGGAACATCTCAGGAGCCTTTAGATAAAAATTTGCCAACTTTTACTGAAGCTGTTCGTGAGGGATTTATTGACGAAGACCGGCAACTTTTTAATGATCCGAAATCAGGAAATATATATTCTATTCAACAAGCCTTAAATTATGGTCTTCTTATACCCGATGTAAATGCAACTGTACCTGAACCAACAAATCATAAAAAGACAAAATCAACAATTACCATTGTAACGAAACAATTTATTCCAGAATCTGAACCAATCAAATTAAACACTCAAAATTATATAGAAAAATCTATTGAAATACCGATTACTCACGAGATTATTATGCCAAATAGTGCAATTTTTGACCACATAAGTGCAGAAAATAATTCACACTTGAAGAAAAATATTATTGAGAGACAAATAATAGAAATACCTCCAGATGGGTGGACTCTCCGTGATGCGATAGCAAATGGTATTTTTAATCCAGAAAACGGTATGTTACATATTCAAGGAAGTGACAGAGTAATATGTTTTCAGGAATGCATTAGTAAATATATTATTAATAGATTATCAGTTTCAGTTCTTGATCAAAATACAAATAATAAATTATCAATTGATTTAGGACTAGAAAGGGGTATTATTGATTGTTTCGGCAATTACAAAACTATGGAGAATGGTGTCTTGAACATGCGAAAAGCTCTATCCAATGGATGTATCATTTTAGAAAATGTGCCAAATTCCAATATCCATCAAAAACCTCACACAGTATTACGTATTAGCAAAATAGATAAAATATTCGATGTAATTGAAGTTTCAACTTATATAAGCGATGCACCACCAAAGTTTATTGAAGTTTCAACATGCCAACGTGATCTTTCTTCACCGGAGCCACTTCAAATTGCTCCAGGAGCGATATATGATCCTTCAACATCTTTAGTAATATTTACACAAAGTGGTAAGACTGAAAATATTTTTTCTGCGGTAGGTGATGGCTTAATTGATCAAAATGTGGTCAAAATCATTGACCCAACTACTAAAGAAGAAATGTTGTTGAGTGAAGCGCTAGCAAAAGGAATTTATGATCCTCAAAATAATACTGTTAAAACAGATAAGGGTTATAATGTTGATATTATAACAGCCACGAAACTTGGGTTGATTACTGTTGTAGGTGCACCGCTCGTTGCAGCTGAAGGTGCGTTGCACACTGTGCGATTTGTAACAGATCCACGTACCGGTCAACAAATACCAGTCGAAGTTGCTTACGAGCGCGGTATTGTGTCAAAGGACCAGCTATTTAAAACGAAATCTATCGAGAGTGAAGTTTTTGATGAAAAAGTTATTGTTTTACAAAAAATGCGTAAAATAATTCTAAAACCCAAAGATGCCTTAGAGAGAGGCATAATAGATAAAGAAACATTTGACATACTTGAAGATAAGCAGTTCTTTTTATCTAAAAATGGTGACATAATATCTATCTCCGAGTCATTAAATTGCGGATTAATAGATGGAAATAAAGGAAAAATAATTGATCCACAACGAAATAGAACTTTGAATATAAGAGAAGCAGTAAATGCAAACATAATCGATCCTGAAAATACAAATCATATTCTTATTCCACTAGCAATGAGTCTATCTATACCTAAATTAATGTCTCAGGGTCTTATAGACAGAAATATTCAAAAAGTAATTCACCCTGAAAGTGGTTATCCTTTGAGTATACGGGAAGCTATAGTATGTGATGTATTAGATCCTTATTCATTACTAACAAAGCCAGTAAATTGCACCATAATAGAGGGTATTGAAAAAGGAATAATCGACGCTGATAAATCTCTATTTAAATATAAACGAGAATTTCTTAATTTAACGCAAGCAATTAATGCTAAATTATTTGACTTAAGCTATGATCATAAAAAATTTGCTGTAGAAATTCCACCTGTGGGAATGATATTTCCAGTTGCAGTAGAAAAATCATTAGTAATTCCAAATAGAAAAGAAATAATACACCCAGACAACCAATTAAAAATTCCAATACAGCAAGCAATTGACGAAAATTTTATAATGGCTATTCCCTATACACCACAAGCAAATGCTATTGGAATTGAAAAAGCATTAGACCTTAATTTAATAGATGTTATAAATTATACAATGACTATACCAACAAGTGATGAAGTTATTCCAATCAGACAAGCCTTAGAAAATGGTATTCTTATTGTTAAACCACTGTCAAATTTTATATTAAGTCAAAAACCATTTCCAACAACCGAAATTGCGGAAACGATTACTTCTGTTCATACAGTTACAACAAAAACTATAGAATTAATGCAAGGATACATATTAATATCAAATAATGAGGTTAAAAATATATCTACAGGAGAGATTTGTACAATTGAGAAAGCAAAAGAAATTGGTATTTTACGTGAAGAATCTTCACCAAAAAATATTGGAACTTTAATAAAAAATGATGAAAATACAACTGATGCTAAAGAAATTTTGAATCAAATAGAAAGGAACAGTACAGATTTATTTCAAGCAACTACCAATGCTTTAGAAAATGAAACTTTAATAAGTCGTGATAAAGTTATAGAAATACAAGAACTTCCGAACGAAGGAAATAAACAAATTGACTTAAAGAAAAATGATTTATCCAATGAGTCAAAGTCAACCGTTTCTAAATTTGAATCTTTCTCAAATACATTCACTACAGTAAAAGATGTCGCAAAAATCGGCGCTATGGGACTCATTGGAGCACCTATATTAGCAAGTCAGGCTATCGTTAATGAAATTAAAACTTTATCTAAATCTTCAGAATCTAAAAAAGTTGACGAAAGCAATGAAAAAGAGAATAATATGGATATATCTTCATTCAGTGAAGGTAATGTAACTATTAGACCCAGAGAAAATTTGATCCCAGATTCGATTATAATACAGAAATATATTGTCAACTCAACTGATCATTTGACAAAAGACCCTGAACAGTACATTAGTAATACAACATCTAACTTTATTGAAAACGAACAAAATACTTATTTGAAAAAAATCAGAGAAGAAGATTCGAAATCAATTACAATTGATAATCGAAAAGATAAAAATCATTTAACCTCATTCCCAGTTGAACGTCTAGATATTGTTGAAAATGTCTCAGTTCCACAAGTAGTTACGATGGAACACGAACCTTTAACAACGACCACAACCACTATTAGTCCCTCACTGCCTACAGTAAATGAAAGAAATATGGATGATAAGGTTGCAAAAGAAGAACTTTATATGCCCACAGTAGTAAATCGTCAAGTAGTATCAACAGATATATCAGAGTCTCCCGACATTGAAATTAATCAGCAATCTGAAGTTATTCACACAATTTTCTCATCAGAAGAATTAAAACATGTTTCTAAAAACGATAAAACGTTACCCCGAATATCGGAAACTACAAATCCTACCAATATTTCTACAGAACCCCTTACCACTTCAACTAATGACAAGGTTGTTGAAGTTGTCAATGATAAGCTAAATGTTGAGAATCCCATATTGAATATCGAACATTACAATGAGCCAGGTGAAATATTAGGACATGATAATATTCAAAGTTCACCACAAATTTTTTCAGCTATTTCAAATTTTATTACACATGAATCAAATCAAATTACTCCACAATCTCAAATTATAGAGCATACATCTTTGCCTGAGAAGCTTAATGCGTCATTAATATTTGAAAATGAAAATACCCTATCCGTAACTCTAACGGATATGTCTAACATTGAAAAAAGTGATGATAAACAAACATGTAACATTTCACAAAGCGCAAATAAAGAATCGAAATTAGGGGCAATGGCAATTATTGCTGCTCCAATTTTAGCGGGTAAAGCTTTAGTAGACACAATCAGTCATAGGGAAAAAAGTCATAATTATGACTCTGCGACAAATCCAAATTTAGAGGCTGTTTCTGAACCTAGTAGTGAATCATTAACAGAAGACCTTGAAAAAGCATTCATTTCTCCAAGCAGTGTCGTTACAAAAACAACATTTACAACAAAAACTATAAGCTCAAATGAAAAGCCTTTAACATATGAATATATCGATAAAAACACACCTGCACTCAACATTCCATATACGTTACCAATTGGAGATGCTATTCTGCAAAATATAATAAAACCAGGACTGTGCAAAGTTGTTGTTGATGGTGAAGTGCAAAGTCGAACTGTTGATGAATTGCTTAAGGATAATCAGTTAAGCCCCTTAGATGAGATTGAAGTTGTAGATAGTAATTTAATAGTATTACAACATGCCAAATATTTAATAGATATTGATGACGCATTAACACCTGAAAATTTAGGTGATCTTAACGTTTATGACATAGATAAGCAATACTTTATAGATCCAACAACTTTACAAAAAATATCATTCCAAACCTTAGTTTTCGATATGAATATATTTAATCCTGATACAATTTTAGTTAAAAATTTTAGTAGTGGTAAATATGAAAATCTTAGAACTGCTCTTGAACGTCCTTTACTCGATAGACACAGTGGGCATATGGTTGATCCAAAAACGGGAAAAAAAGTACCTTTTTTTGAATGCATTGAACGTAATTGGATTACACGTGCAACTGTTGATAGTGATAAAAAGGTGGTAGCTGAAAATGTTATCGATCCTAGAACTGGTGAAGTTGTACTTGACGATGGTCGAATCTGTTCATTCATAGACGCCATTAACAATGGTATACTAGACATTCAGTCAATATCAGTACGTGATCCTGTTAGTGGTGAAGTAATTCCACTGCGTATGGCAATTGAGTTGGGAGTAGTAGATATGCAAACCGGTACTGTAATTGATATACAAACATTACGAGAAATACCCATTGAAGATGCATTTAAATTAGGTTTTTTAGTGTCTGGTGTTCGTAAACCAATTTCACTAGAAGCTGCAGTTCGAAAAGGACTTTATGATCCAAAAACTGGCAAATTATATGATCACGAATCTCAAAATGAAGTTGATGTTCAGAAATCCATTGAAATTGGATTAGTTAATCCTAAAATATCACTTATTGTCGATACAAATACAAACAAAGAGGTTAAATTGGATTGTGCAATTGAAGATGAATTAGTTGTTGCAGAAATAGGAAAAATTAAAGATTCAAAATCTAACAGTCTTGTTCCTTTTGACGTAGGGGTTGAAAAAAAATTAGTTAAAACGGATAAAGTGACATGGAGCTTACCTGAATTATTGCAGAGAGAGTATTATTCGCCAACTACAGGCAAAGTTCTTAATCCTGTTAGTGGTGAAGAAATTCTATTACAACAAGCTATTGAGCTAGGATTTGTTGAACTGGATAGTTGCCTAGTAAGGGACGATGAGAAAAATTCTGTATTATCCGGTAAATTAGCGGCGAAGGAAGGGCTTTTAGACACAGTTAAAGGCACGCTTAGTTATCCAAATTTAAAATTAGACGATGCTTTCGTTAAGGGTTATTTAATAAGTACTAAAAAACCTTTATCATTGGTTGATTGCTTGTTACGTGGCTTATACAATCCTGAAACATCAAAATTTGCAATAGATGATAAACATGTTGACTTAAAAACTGCTATTTCATTGAAACTTATCAATCCAGAAGAACTTGTAATTTTAGATCCAAAAACCGATTCAATCATATCTGTAACTGAAGCCATTTCAAAAGGATATCTTGATCCTGTGAATGGTTTTATTATAAATCCGTATACTGCAACTAAGTTATCTCTAAATGAAGCACTTGATTATAGAATTTTAATACCACCGAAACGTAAACGCAGTTTACCAGATGCAGTTTATCGTGGTCTTTATGATCCTAAAACAGGTCAATTCAGTAACACCGTCACTCGCGAAAAACTTTCAACTGAACGTGCCATTCGTAGGGGCATTCTTGATCCCGACTCGACCATTGTCAATGTTGCCGGTCAAGTTATACCATTTGAAGTAGCTACTGAACTAGGTATAATAGATGGTCTTCAGGGCACTGTTAAATATGAAAATAATGAATCAATAGACTTTAAAGAAGCATTTGATCGTGGTATTTTATTAGAAGTCAGAAAACCTGTTTGTCTAATGGAGGCCGTTGTTAAAAATATTTACGATGAACAATATGGATGTTTTACAGACCCTAAATCAGGCAATAAACTAACTTTTGCACAGGCCTTAGAAGAAAATTTATTGGATGAAGACAGTGTTCAAATTAGAGATTTAAAAACTGGTCTTTATAAGAATCTTAATCTGGTCCATGCAAAGGAAACTGGAATTATAGATAGTCTAAACTCAAAATTGTCCTATAATAATCAGAATATAACAATTAAACACGCATTTGATATTGGTATATTAAAGGATGTGCGTGCGCCTATAAGTATACAAAGAGCAATACATCAAGGGTTACTTGATGAAGCTAATGGAAAATTTACTGACCCCAAAACTAATCGTAAAATTACATTATTGGAATGTATGCGCTCATTTATTATAAATCCACAATTACCTTGCTATTTTGATATAGAAAAAGAACAAATTCTTAATTTAAGTGAGACTTGTCGTAATGGTATAATTAATAGACGAGAGGGCGTATTCAGGGAACCTAGTAGTAATACATTTATATCATTAAGTGAAGCTATGAATTTGGGACTCATAGTGGATATAGAAACTGCTAGTTTTGGCTTATATGAACTGTTAGCTATGGGTTTTTATGATATTGCGACACGTAAAGTGTTACATCCTGTTACAGGAAGAAAGCTTCGATTAAGTGAAGCTTGTGTTGAAGACATTGTTAGCCTGTCTTCAAGTTTAATAAAACACAATAAATCAGGGAAATATATACGTTTATCTAATGCGATAAAAGAAAAAATTATTGACGATTGCCATAACTATTATGATACTAATAACGGTCAAATTGATTTGCAAGAAGCTCGAAATCGTGGTTTTATTGTATCAAATCATCGATTACTTAGCTTAGAAATGATAATGCGCATGCAATTATATCGACCAGACACAGGTAAATTTTGTGATCCAACTACTAATGAATTTTTTGACTTATTGCAATCCATTAATAATGGTTTCATAGACCCATCAACCACTGTTTTCAAAAATCAACTAAATAATTTTGAAATTCCTCTTAATGAAGCTATCGAAAATGGTGATATAGACGTTATAAAAGGACGAGTACTTGACCCTAAATCTAAAACCTCTTATAACTATGATATTGCTTTTACACGGGGCGTATTGATATCTGTAAATAAACCTCTAACCGAACGCATTGAAAAAGTTAAAATTAAAGACAGTTCTGAATTATTTGGACAGACAGCTGTCAGTATTGTGGTTAGTAAACCTAGAGAAATGTCACTTGAAGAAGCTATAAAATTTAATATTATAAATCCCAAAACAGCATTAGTTCGTAATTTTGAAACTTTTAAATTTTTACCTTTTGAAGTAGCACAGCAAAATAATGTTCTTGATTTAAGTAAGCGAACTTTAGTGGATCCTAATGCATTATATTTTGTATTCGATCCTACTCTTATCATATATGTACAAGAGCCATTATCATTTGAACAAGCTGCTGAGTCTAAGATCTTAGATTTGCAAACCGGTGTATTAAATTATGCAAAGCCCACTTTGAAAGAAAAACAAGAGTATAATCTTAAAAGTAGTGCTAGTAATTCGTTAGAAGTGCAAGAAACGCTCCAAAGTTATAGTCTCAAGGATGCAACAAGCATTGGTATTATTGATCCTGATTCTGCTTTAATAAAAGATATGTCAAAATCAAAGCTTATACGATTACCTGAAGCATTTCGAAAAGGTCTTATTGATGCAAATAAGGCAAATGTGTTAAACACTAAAACTTCAAAACTTTACTCGTTACAAGAAGCATATGAAAGTGGTCTACTTATCACACCAAAACGTTCGTTTGGGCTACTAGAAGCAATAACTTTTAATCTATACAATCCAACGAGCGGCCTTTTTGTCGACCCTTTTCAAATGCATCCAGATATAATTAAACGAAAAAAATTTACATTAAATGATGCTATTGGCAGCGGCCTTATAGATCCTTCATCCACAGTAGTACGTGATCCAACAAATGGTGATATTATACCACTAGTAGCTGCTATCACTAGTGGACTTATTGATGCCACTCAAGGTCGCTTTATTGATACAAATGATGATAAAAATAATATCGATTTTGTAAAAGCGTCTGATAAAGGCCTTCTTCTCTTTGCCGAACAAAGGGTAAGTACCATCAACACATTCTATATTATTTCGTATTTACTATATTTTATATACACATATGTGCTACTTATGAAAACTTCTAAACTATTTTACTTACTTTTTTTTTTATTATATTTCAATTTATTTAAATTACAATATGTATAAATTTAGTCTAAAAAAAAATTTTATAAGTACTTAAAAAGTATATTTTATAAGTTGTTCACTGATATACGCGCTTAACATTATTGCAAATGTTTTGTGCAGTTTCCTATATCTTATACATATTAAGCAGTATTGCAAATTTTTATTTGTTGCATCTTTTTATTTTATTTATTCTTATAGTATTTTTAAGTTTATAAAAAGTTTTTATATAATTACAGAGCATGGCATAATTATTATTAAAATATCGTTTGCTTATTTCAATGCGTAATGAAAGAGAAAATCACTTATATATCAAACTCCAAACTCAAACTCATCTATACACACACATATTTGCATCTCCACGAGGATTCATGCTCAGCTATTTGGCCATATGTATCTTACATTCTCAACATGAATACATCGGCAGAATGTTCTTTATACCTATATGTGTTTATGTATTAAATCAATGATATTATAAAATACACTAAGCGTGAAGTAGTATTTTGGAATATCTGATATTTATATACGATACTATTCAGTTTGATTCAAAGGCTTTGATCTTTCCATTAAATAAATTCCATACTCTTCCACATCACATCATACCATACCAAAACTTATATTAAATCAATATTTATATTCATTCATTATATAAAAAAGGTTATTATTATAATTCTTTAAATATTTCCTTCTTCAAAGTGCAGCACGACATCTTTATTTTATATTTAAATTCTTTCCTATATAAACGATTGAATTTCTTTTTATAATTTTTTGTAATCTTCGATCTCTATAAATCCTTCCTGATTGCCTGAATGGCTATATATCTATCATTATATATTTATTATTTTTATTTGTGTAAGATTCTTAATTTGAGTCAGCCTGATTTTACAGTATTTATTATTAATATTTCTATTTATATATTAAAAAATAAATGAGGTTATTGTGTTGTTTGCAAAATTTTTTATTTTAAATACATTATAATATTTTTATTTTATTTTTCAGCTTCAGCAGAATTTTTTTTTTTTATTCAATTAATTAACATATAAACCAAATTAATCAAGAAGAGAAATGTAACTTGCTTTACTTAGTCTAATAAATAACAATATAAGTAGGGGTGTGGGCTTGTATTTAGTTAATCTACCTTGGTAAATGTAGTTACTTAACTTTTTTAACAAATTTCTGTTTGTTGTTGCTGCTTTTTATATTGTCTGCTTTTATAATGAATGTTTAGAATACATTGAAAGGATATATATTTTGTGTTTATTAATTTAATAAAAATAATTCAAGACACTTTCCTATATATCCCGTGAAACTATTTCCTGATATTATTGGTTAAAATGATTTGTGTTATTACATATACAAATGTTTAAATAATTTGATTATTTAATTGATTATATAGCAAGCTGTTTTCGAAAAGTTCAATTTATGTGAAGAGAATGTTAACGAATTACTAAAATGGGTGACGATAGTAGAACACAAAATATCTATAGTAGGTGGCCCTCGAGAAAGGATGGATGAACTGCGTAATCAAATAAATGCACTTAAGGTATAAAAAAGAAATATCTTTTTTAAATCAAATATAATTGATTTGATCTATTTTCTGTTTTTTTGTTTCTGTAGCAAATTAAAGATGAAATTGATAGCCAACAGCGTCCTGTAGCCGCTTGTCTTGAACAAATTCGTCAAATCGTTCTTACTGGTGGGGATGTACTTTCTGTACCAGAAATATCAACTTTAGAAAACGCTGGTCGAGAGTTGCGAAGTCGTGTAGATCGAGTTAATGATCGTACTGTACGACTTTTGCGGCGATTAGAAATAGGACGAGATGAATTAAACAAATTATGTGTTGAATTGGAATCCTTCTCGAATTGGTTGCAAAATGCAAGGCGTACACTTGAGGATAAAGAACGTTCCCTTTCAGATTTAAATAGTTTACCATCACAAGCTGATTCAGTTCGAGATTTTGTCAGTGATGTTATAGGTCATCAAGCGGATTTACGTTTCATAACAATGGCTGCGCAAAAATTTGTTGATGAGAGTAAAGAATTTTTATCTGTTTTAAATGACTTCAGAACTTCATTACCTGAGCGGTTACCGCACATTGAACCACATTCTATTACTGAAAGCCCTATACGTCAAGAAGTTTCATTGGTATCAACACATTATAAAGATCTTCTTCATAGGGTGAATGCATTACAAGATCGCATTTTAGAACTTGGAGGACGTCAACGTGAATATCAAGATTCTTTGGAAAAAGCGAATGAATGGCTTCGTAATGCTAAACCACGTGTGACACGTATACTATCTGAACCCGTCGCTGGTGACTCAAAAACAGTACAAGATCAAATGAATGAGGCCAAAGCAATGCATAACGAAATTTTATTAAATGGGCGTTTAGTCGATAACGCACAACAATCTTTAGATAGTTTAATTAAATCATCGGGTAACCAACTAAGCCCAATAGAAATAAGCAAATTAGAAAACCCAGTAGCTGATATAAAAGAAAAATATCAGCAAATTCTCGATTCTTTGGCAGAACATTGTAAAACATTAGATAAAACGTTAGTGCAATCTCAAGGTGTTCAAGATGCTTTAGATGGTCTTGTAAGCTGGGTAAACCAAACTGAAGACAAATATAAATTACAAATACGACCAGCTTCACTTATAAAAGATCGATTACAAGAACAAATTCGAGAACACAAATCTTTATTTGCTGATATGCAATCACACCAAGTCAGTATGGACAGTGTCAAAACATCTGCTAAACATTTAATGAACACTGCTTCAAATGCTCGAATTGCTAAAAAAGTAGAAACAAATCTTAATGATTTATCCAGTAAATTTGACAAATTGTACGAGAAAGTGATTAAAAGGGGTCAATTTTTAGATAATGTTTTTATTAAATTATCTAAATATCTTGATGAAATAACAGATATAGAACAGAAACTTACATCTTTGCAAGAAGCTTTGGATAGTCGAGATAGTTCTTTACCAAACTGTGATGAATCAACAAATCGTATGATCGATTGTTCTCGACAGAAAGAACGCATCATGCCTCAATATGAACAATGCGTTCAAAATGGCAAAGATTTAATCAACATGCGTGACGTTACAGATACAAATCCTTTAAGAGATCGCATTAAAACACTTGAGTCACAATGGCGAAATATTAATATTAATTTGGATGAGAAAGCTAAACTTTCTAAACAAAAAGCAGAGCAACAAAAGACCTATGAAAGTCTGAAAAACGAAGTATTATCTTGGCTGTCCATTATGGAAACTCGTATAAATGGATTGTCTGCAATAGCTATTGATTTAGATGTGATTCGTCAACAAAACGATGAACTAAAACCAATATATAAAGATTATCGTGATTATGGACTAACGATTGATAAAATAAATGATATTGGAGCCCAGTATGATGCTCTCATTCGTCCCGATAGTCCAGCGCGTAAACGTTCAACATTTAGCCCCATCAAAAGAGTTAGTCCTCTGCGTCGCATGTCGGGAGATGGTAGAAGTCCTAGCCCAACGAAAGGAGGTGTACTGTCGCCACTATCAACTGGTTCCAGTGGATTTGGTAGCCGCAGATCATCTCAAGACGGATTTCAGATTTCTGAATTATCTCCTGTACAGCAGCAATTGAGTGAAATAAATAATCGCTATGGTCTAATAGGTGTAAAACTTAATGATCGTCAAAATGAGCTTGATAATATGAACGATGAAGTACGTAAGCAATATGACAATCTAAAAAATTTGAACTCATTTTTGGAACGTATTCATCGCCAAGTATCAAAAGAAACTATTTCAAACAAAGACGAAGCTGATTCCTGTATTAAACAATCTAGAAAAGTACTTGAAGATATGTATGAAAAGCAAAGTCTATTAGACACTACAAAAACTCAAATAAAGGACATTTTGCGACGAAAATCAGATGTACCTGGTGCAGAGCAGCTTCGCATTGAGAACGATAATATTGTTGAGAAGTGGAAGAATCTGAATGATATTTTTAAAATTCGCATCGAATTTTCTGAAAAGCTAAGAGATTTTCTAGATACGCAAAATAATCTTAAGAATTGGCTAGAAAGTAAAGAGCGTATGCTCACTGTATTGGGACCAATATCGTCTGATCCACGCATGGTACAAAGCCAGGTTCAACAAGTTCAAGTATTAAGAGAAGAGTTCCGTACTCAACAACCACAGTTAAAACACTTACAAGAAATTGGTTGCGATGTTTTAGACCATATGCGGGAATCTCCTGATCGTGTGTCTATAGAGAATAAATTAAAAGATATTCAAAGCAAATGGGATGATCTTGTTGGACGTCTTGATGATCGCGCAAATAGTTTAGGTGGTGCAGCTGACAGCAGTAAAGAATTTGATGCGGCAGTTAGTCGACTTCGAGAGGCTCTTCAAAATATAAGTGATAATCTAGATTCACTACCAAATGATGGCGACCATCAAGAAAATTTACGCAAAATTGAAAACTTGGATAGACAATTAGAAGGTCAACGTCCTTTATTAGCCGATGCGGAGCAATCAGCTGCAGCCCTTTGTAATATTTTAGGTGATCCTGCCTCTCGTGCTGATGTTAACTCCCGAGTAGTTGCACTTGAAAAACAATATAAAGCATTACAGAAAAAGCTTGATACCATAAAAGCTGAAACTGAAGCATCATTGCGAGATGGTCGGCAATTCGCAGAAAATTGTTCAAAAACACTTGGATGGCTTTTGGGAGAATTATCAAATCTCTCCGATCGCCTATTAATTTCTGCACATAAACCAACATTGCAACATCAAATAGATACACATGAACCAATCTATCGAGAAGTGATGGCTCGGGAACATGAAATTATTATGTTAATTAATAAAGGTAAAGAATTAGGTGATCATCATCAAGATCGTAGTGTGAAACGGGATTTAGAACGTATTCAACAACAATGGGAAAAATTGCGTCGTGAAGCAGTAGATCGGCATACGCGTTTGCAAACTTGTATGGAACAAAGTAAAAATTACTCACAGACATCGGAAATTTTTCTATCATGGTTGCGAAGTGCTGAAGAGAAACTAGTCAATTTAACTCCTGGTATACTGTCAAAATCTAAACTAGAAATACGTCAAAAAGATTTACAAACATTCCGCACTGAAGTGTGGAAACGTTCTGGAGAATATGAAAACACAAAAGGTTTAGGTGAAACATATTTAAGTAGTTGCGATATTGATAAAGAGCCAATTAAAGCTGAATTACAAGATATACGAGATCGTTGGGATCGACTTAATAATGATCTAATTGCTCGAGCTCATGAAATTGAAAATTCCTCTCGAAGATTGGGCGATTTCAATGATGAACTTAGAAACTTAGATCATGGAGTTGGAAGATGTGAAGATCATCTTGCTGCTCATAATGCACTTGGTGGTGCAGCTAAAGACCCAAAATTATTAGAACGTGTTAAAGCAATTCGCGAAGAATTAATGAATCTGAGTAAACCCTTACAATCCCTCAAAGCAATGGCTAAAGACATTTGTTCTGAAGCACGTGCAGCTGGTGGCGATGCAGAACACTTAACAGCTGATGTCGATAGCATATCGGATCGTATCGCTGATTTACAAGGCCGACTTGATGATCGTTGTGGTGAGTTACAATCAGCGGCTACTGCTGTAACCCAATTTAATGAACAAATAAAAAATTTGAGTGCTAATCTAAACGACCTAGAACACGAAATTGAAAATTTGTCACCACCTGGTCGTGAAATTAAAGTCGTGCAAAAACAATTGGATGACATATCTAAACTTCAAAATAAATTAGATCACATTGTTAACCGTTTACAAGATGCTGAACGAGCAGCAGATAGTTTAGTTGATTCTGGCTTTTCTCCAGATACAACACAAACCCGCGAACAAATTGGATCATTGCGTAAGACATTTGGAAGACTAGAAAACCGTGTACGTGACCATGAAAGTAACTTACAAATTATACTAATTGCTCTTAATAAGTTTTATGATATACAATCTCAAACTCTTGATAATATTCAAGAAGTTAGCAATGATTTTAAGCGTCTCAAACCAGTAAGTTCAGAGCTAGATCAAATTAGAAAGCAACAAGAAGACTTCCGTAATTTTAGAGAAAAAAGAGTTGAACCACTTACACAAAATGTAGAAAAAGTTAATATTTCAGGTCGTGATCTTGTAATATCTGCGGCTAGTGGTGTCTCAACTTCAACCATTGAAAAAGATTTGGAAAAATTAAACGATCGTTGGAATGATCTTAAAGAACGCATGAATGAGCGCGATAGACGTCTTGATGTAGCACTTTTGCAGTCAGGAAAGTTTCAAGAAGCTTTAGCTGGTCTCTCTAAATGGTTATTTGATACTGAAGAAATGGTTGCTAATCAAAAGTCTCCAAGTTCTGATTATAAAGTTGTAAAAGCTCAATTACAAGAACAAAAATTTCTTAAAAAAATGCTGTTAGATAGACAAAATTCGATGTCATCATTATCAACCTTAGGTAAAGAAGTAGCAAATCATTGTGAACCTGACGAACGCTCTGTAATTGAAAAACAACTTTACGACCTCTTAAAACGTTTCGATGCTTTAACAGATGGTGCAGAACAACGTGAGCATGATTTGGAGGAAGCAATGGAAGTTGCGAAACGTTTTCATGATAAAATTAGTCCTCTTGAGCTATGGTTAGATAATGCTGAACGTGCTGTAAAAAGCATGGAATTAATACCAACAGATGAAGAAAAAATTCAACAACGAATTCGTGAACATAATCGTTTACATGATGAAATAATGTCAAAAAAACTCGAATTTACAGATTTAGCAGATATTGCTGCCCAACTAATGCACTTAGTTAGTGATGAAGAAGCAGAAAATTTGGGTGAAAAAGTTCGTGTAATAACAGATCGATATACAAATTTAGTGGAAGCAAGTGAGAATATCGGTTTGCTTTTAGCTGAGTCACGACAAGGTTTGCGCCACTTAGTTCTAACATATCAGGAACTTGTTGCGTGGATGGAGAGTATGGAAAATGAATTAAAACGATTTAAGTATGTACCCGTCTATTCAGAAAAGCTTTTAGAACAAATGGATAATTTGCTTGAACTTAATGAAAATATTGCAAATCATGCACCTAACGTTGAATCCACTGTAGACTCTGGTTCCGAGTTAATGAAGCACATATCCAATGATGAGGCAATTCAGCTCAAAGACAAACTTGATTCACTACAACGCCGATATGGTGAACTCACCAATCGAGGTGGCGACTTATTAAAAACTGCTCAAAATGCATTACCATTGGTTCAACAGTTTCACGATGCTCATAATCGGTTAATTGAGTGGATACAAGTTGCTGAGATATCTTTAACACCGAGTGAACCAAGACAATCTGATATCCTTAGACTTGAAATAGAATTATCAGAAATGAGGCCAATTTTGGATACTGTTAACTTAATCGGACCACAGTTATGTCAAATATCTCCAGGTGATGGAGCTACTACAATTGAAAATATCGTAACACGTGATAATCGTAGATTTGATTCTATTGTGGAACAAATACAGCGTAAGGCTGAACGATTACATTTGAGCAATCAACGTGCTAAAGAAGTAACTGGTGATATTGATGAACTGCTAGAATGGTTTAGGGATATGGATGCCAATTTACGTGAAGCCGATTTACCAGCTCTTGATCCAAAATTAGTGCGAGCACAGTTACAGGAGCATCGATCAATTAACGATGACATTTCTAGTCAAAAAGGTCGAGTTAGAGATGTGACTGCTGCATCCAAAAAAGTATTGCGTGAATCACCGCAGAGTGAAAACACTGCCACACTACGTGAAAAACTTGATGACTTAAAAGAAATTGTTGATACGGTTGTTCAGTTATGTGGTGAACGTCTAGGAATACTAGAACAAGCTCTTCCTCTATCTGAACATTTTGCCGACTCGCATACGGGCTTAAGTTCTTGGCTGGATGATATGGAACAACAAATATCGCGGCTTAGTATGCCAGCACTGCGTCCAGATCAAATAGCAGTTCAACAAGATAAAAATGAGCGGTTTCTTCAATCGATAATTGAACATAAACCATTACTCGATAAACTCAATAAAACTGGAGAAGCATTAGGTGCGATAGTTGCTGATGAAGATGGTGCAAAAATAAATGAAACAGTTGACTCTGATAATTCGCGATATGTTGCTTTACGTTTAGAACTACGTGAGCGGCAACAAGCACTTGAAAATGCATTACAAGAATCAAGTCAATTTTCAGATAAACTTGAAGGTATGTTACGTGCATTGGCAAACACCATAGATCAAGTTAATCAACTTGATCCTCTCTCTGCACTACCACAAAAAATTCGTGAACAAATCGAAGATAACTCCGCTATTATGAATGATCTAGATAAACGTACAGATGCGTTCTCTGCAGTGCAAAGAGCAGCAAACGATGTCATTGCTAAAGCTGGCAATAAGTCTGATCCTGCTATTCGTGATATTAAAAGTAAACTAGAGAAGCTTAACAATCTCTGGAAAGATGTACAAAAGGCTACAAAGAAACGTGGAAGTTGTTTAGAAGATATTTTAAATGTTGCAGAACCATTTTGGAAACAATTGCATGGAGTCATGAAAACACTCAAGGATTTGGAAGAAACTCTATCATCCCAAGAACCACCTGCAGCGCAACCTCAAGAAATTCAAAAACAACAAGTAGCTTTACAAGAAATTCGTTACGAAATAGATCAAACAAAACCGGATGTTGAAAAAGTTCGACGTCATGGTAGTAATTTGATGAATATGTGCGGTGAACCTGATAAACCAGAAGTTAAAAAACATATCGAAGATCTTGACAATGCTTGGGACAATATTACAGCGTTATATGCAAAGCGTGAAGAGAATTTAATTGATGCTATGGAGAAAGCAATGGAATTCCATGAGACATTGCAAAATTTGCTTAAATTCTTAACAAAAGGAGAAGAAAATTTTGGGCAACTAGGACCAGTTGGTTCTGATATTGATGCAGTAAAAAAACAAATCGAGCAACTGAAACTATTTAAAGATGAAGTAGATCCACATATGGTTAAAGTAGAAGCATTAAACAGGTAAGTTTGTGATATGTTCATTAATTGTAACAGATATGGAAAAATATTTTATACTACTTTGTCTTCTTTATGTATAACATTCTTTATGATCAACAACTTAATGGTTTCAATTGGCAGAGGTTTAGAAAGGCAAGAATTTGAATCTGTTAGTGACTTTATATTTAAGCAAACAATTCAACCTTCTTGCGTGTTTTACTGCATGGCTTCATTTTTTTAAGATTTAGTTAACAATTCCTATTAGTAAAATAAATAAGTTTTTAAAAACTTATAATAAATATAAATATCATAAATATATAAATGAAATGGGTTTTAACTAATTAATGCAATTCTTATAATATTATAGACAAGCTGTTGAATTAACGGAAAAAACTTCACCCGAACAAGCTGCATCGATTCGAGAACCACTTTCAGTGGTTAATCGCAGATGGGAAAATCTGTTACGAGGAATGGTAGAACGTCAGAAACAATTGGAACACGCTTTGTTACACCTTGGTCAATTCCAGCATGCACTTAATGAACTACTTATTTGGATCAGTAGAACTGACAGTACATTAGATCAATTAAAGCCCGTAAGAAATAATATTATATCAGAGACAACTTCTGTATAGATGAACAACGCCACAAAAAATAAATGTTGACTTAAATTTCCAAATTTGACCATTACACCATTTGACTGCAATTAACTCTTCAATAAATTATTGTACGTATATTATATATGAAGGTACATGCATTGAAGTAGAAAGAGAATGTGAAGTCATTGCATAAACATTTTTTTTACATCTGTTTTTATCAATATTCCTTTGAACCATTTAGTTTTTTTTAATTTGTTATGTTTTTCAAAAGTGTAGATGGTGTCCCTATTGTGTTAGCATATTGGATATTGGTTCACAAGAAAAATATTTTTGCCTTACTATCCCTGTTATTTACATTTAATCTTTAATTTTTCTATGTCGATTTTTTAATTAATAAATGCGTATGTACATACAAATACACTCAAATAACTTACCAGAAGAATTAAAAATTTTAAATGAGTTAAGGTAGACAGACTTAATATTTTCCTACTTTAGGGTATTGTAACGAAGCCTTCCAGCAAATTTGGTTGAAAATCTCGTTTGAAAAACATACATAAGCACATGTGCCACGGCACAGTCAGTTCAGTTCTTGTCAGTTCTGTCTGAGCTCTTGAAGAGATAGTATTCCTGCGACTACAATACGGTTAAAATATTGTACTTATAATAAGAAGAAAATAATATTTCAGCCGCCAATAATACGGTTAGGTTATTGTACCGTAAAGAGATAATATTTTCTTGGTAATCCATCTAGTTATTATAATAATATAATAATAAATTTAACTAAATGTAATAAATAATAAAATTAGTCGGCAATCTGACAGTATCTTATCTTACCTATTATTTTTAGATATCAGCAACAACGCAGCTACCGACATATGTATGTTAAGAAACTTTCCCCTCATAAAGCTTACATGCATTTAAGAAACGTGAGAATTATTTTAGCAGTTCAAGAATAAAAACGTCATCATATCCTACAATTAACTTCCATTTAAAAAAAAATCTGTTATTTAACATTCAAAATTGTTGTCAATTTTTTGATTGGCGTTGAACATCTACACATATATAAATAACTTGTGTTTTTATAATCAATATTGACGAACAAATAATATTTTCATTTTATATAGATTCCTGGTGATCCACAGTTGTTGGAAGTCGAACTAGCTAAATTGAAAGTATTAGCAAACGATATCCAAGCTCATCAGAACTCTGTAGATACTCTAAATGATGCTGGACGACAACTAATCGAATCTGAGAAAGGTTCACTAGAAGCATCAACTACCCAAGAGAAACTTCGAAAACTAAATCAAGAATGGAAAACATTATTACAAAAGGCGTCAGATAGGCAGCATGAGCTAGAAGAATCACTACGTGAGGCACAAGGTTTCATAGCAGAAGTTCAAGATATTTTAGGCTGGTTGGGAGATGTGGATGCCGTTATTGGTGCCAGTAAACCTGTAGGAGGTCTACCAGAAACTGCTACAGAGCAATTGGAAAGATTTATGGAAGTATATAATGAATTGGAAGAAAATCGTCCTAAAGTAGAAACTATTCAAGCTCAAGGCCAAGAGTACATTAAACGACAGAATCAAATGCGAGTTTCTTCTAGTAACTTGCAACATACACTACGTACATTAAAACAACGCTGGGATGCAGTGGTATCACGTGCTTCAGACAAAAAAATTAAATTAGAAATAGCTTTGAAAGAAGCAACTGAATTTCATGATACACTGCAAGCTTTTGTTGAGTGGTTATCACAAGCTGAAAAATTACTAACTAATGCTCAACCCGTATCACGTATATTGGAAACAATTCAAGTACAAATGGAGGAACATAAAATTTTGCAAAAAGATGTAAGTACACATAGGGAAGCCATGTTGCTCCTCGACAAAAAAGGAACCCATCTTAAATATTTTAGCCAAAAACAGGATGTTATTTTGATTAAAAATTTATTGGTGTCAGTGCAGCATCGCTGGGAACGTGTAGTAAGTAAAGCAGCAGAACGTACTAGAGCTCTTGATCATGGTTATAAAGAAGCACGAGAATTTAATGATGCTTGGCAAAATATGATGCAATACTTGCAAGAAACTGAATCAGTTCTGGATCTTATAATTGAAGAAGCTACTGCGTCAAAAGAACCACAAAAAATCAAAAAATTTATCACAAAATTGAAAGAAACACATCGTCAGTTAGCAAGCAAGCAATCTTTATATGATTCAACTATGCGTTCTGGTAAAAATCTCATGGAGCGTGCACCAAAAAGTGATGAAACAATTCTTAATAAAATGTTGAATGAACTTAAAGAACAATGGTCACGTACTTGGTCAAAGAGTATTGAAAAACAGCGTAAGTTAGAAGAAGCTTTGCTATTATCTGGACAATTTTCTGATGCATTAGGAGAGCTTCTTGAGTGGCTTAAAAAAGCTAAAAATCGTTTAAATGAAACTGGGCCTGTACATGGTGATCTTGAAACAGTTCAAAGGCTAGTTGAACATCATAAACATATTGAACAAGACCTACAAAAACGTTCAAATCAAATGCAGGGCGTATTGAAAACAGGACGCGATTTAGAAAGGTCTGGTAACAATCCTGATGTTGGGCGACAACTAGATGAGCTGCAATATATATGGGATGAAGTGAAAAATTGTACTGCTAAACGTGGAGAACGTTTACAAGTTGCATTGAGAGAAGCAGAAAAATTAAATGGAAATATTCAAGCTTTGTTTGATTGGCTAGATCACGCAGAACATAAACTTCGCTACTCAAAAAATGCCCCCGACGATGAAAAAATATCACGTGAAATGAAGGAAATTCATATGGAATTTGTTAATGAATTACACAATCGTGAACGTCAAAAAAATGAAACATTTGATTTTGCAGAAATAATTATAAGTAAAGCGTACCCAGATGCAATACCAATCATTAAAAATTGGTTAACAATAATACAACAGCGCTGGGATGAAGTTACGCAATGGGCACTTAATAGAGAAGCAAAATTGGAACAACACCTACAGTCATTAAAGGACCTTGATGACACTATTGAAGAATTGTTAGCTTGGTTAGGTGGACTTGAAGCAACATTATTAAGTAATGACATTATTATTATTATTCAAGAAGTGTTAACAATAATTATATTTTAAATATATTTTTAAATATATAGATTTAGAACGCGAATCACTGCCCAATGAAATTACACCATTAGAACGGCTAATTGAAGATCATAGAGAGTTTATGGAAAATACGGCTCGTAGACAAATGGAAGTGGATCGAGCTTGTAAGCCTAAACAATTGCCACCTGGAGCACGCAAAATGTCTCGGAATGCTAAAACACCAGTGTATGTATACAAAACAGTAAATAATGTTTCATTGAATGAAATGAGAATTGTTTTCTTTTTTTTTTTCTAACTTGATTTTTTATTAATTTTTCAAAGTTAGTTTTTGTTTTAAAATAATTTTCTTTATTTTTCTACTTATGATTTCAACAAAAAAAAAAAAACTTATTTTACAAATCATCTTTGAATATTTTGAAGTCGTGGATCAAGCCATGATCTACGCGAACAATCACCTGATGGTACCTTGAGACGACAAAGGTTCGTTACAAAAAATCATATATGCATAAAAAAACGCTTTGTGTTCATTCGCATAACAATAACCATTAATAAAATATGTTTTTCTAATCTAATTTAAAGCAAACCTTCAAAATTTCATTATGTATCGTCTCTGAAGGAGCTAACAACTAACTTAAAAATTAAAATTGAAGTTTGAAAAATAATGTAATGAAATATAAGTTTCGAATTGCATAGCATATAACCATAGGCATTTGTTTTGTTTTAAAAACTCAGATTTGACATCAAATAATAACAAACATTATTGCTTACTGTAATTATTTTTCAATATTTTTCATTATTCAATTTTCAAATATTTATTCTAATTGGAATTTTTTTTTTATATCTCCATTTGTTAGTTTTAAAGGATCTCGCGATCAAGGTTTAAATACTAGAAAATCAAGGTGAGTTTTTACTATTATATTATATATTACTAAGATAATTTTTGTTATTTTATAAAACTTTTAATTTTATTTTAACTATAAAATTGCATGTTATTCATATTATTAATGGAACTGCTTCTATATTTTTATTGCTTTTTGTTTCGTCTATGTTTTTAATGTTTTTTATTTTAAAATTGTTCTGTTATCGATGTGATTAGTCGTATAACACCAAGTCGTGATACACCTGATAGAGATCGTTTACCACATTATGGACCACGATTTTCTCCAAGGTAGGTTAATTAATAATTAAGATTAAACATATACTTGCGTTAATTATTAAAATTTTTTTTTAACAAAACAAATAGCTTTAATATTTACATCGTTGTATTTTATTATTTCTTTCTTATATTTTAAGCAAACAATATATTTAACATATTATTTTTATTGTTTTTGTTAGTTCTGTTGCTCCAGAATTGGAATTCCGATCATCTAGAGCCAAGTTGTTGTGGGACAAATGGCGTCATGTTTGGATGCTGTCTTGGGAACGTCAACGACGCTTACACGAGCATCTTATGTATTTAAAAGATGTTGAACGCGTACGTAACTTTAGCTGGGATGATTGGAGGAAAAGAGTAAATTTTCAAAATTAGTTCAACATTTTAAATTTATTAATTTCACTCTATTTTAGTTCCTTAAATATATGAATCACAAAAAATCACGTTTGACTGATTTGTTTAGAAAAATGGATAAGGATAATAATGGTTTAATACCACGTGCCGAATTCATAGATGGAATAATAAATACGAGTATTTATATAATGTATTTAAATGAAGTACAAAAAATAACTACTATTTATTTTTTAAAGAATTTGACACTTCTCGAATGGAAATGGGTGCAGTGGCAGATCTTTTTGATCGTAATGGTGAAGGGCTAATTGATTGGCAAGAATTTATAGCAGCTTTAAGACCCGATTGGCAAGAACGCAAACCAGCAACTGATTCAGATAAAATACATGATGAAGTTAAACGCCTTGTTATGCTTTGCACATGTCGACAAAAATTCCGCGTATTTCAAGTTGGCGAAGGAAAGTATAGGGTACGTAAAATACTAATTATCGAATCTTAAAGCTATATACTCCATCTTCTATTTAAAACAATATTATTTTCGTATAAAACAGTTTGGCGACTCTCAAAAATTACGTTTGGTGCGAATATTGCGTAGCACAGTTATGGTTCGTGTAGGCGGCGGCTGGGTTGCACTTGATGAGTTCTTACAAAAAAATGATCCTTGTCGCGGTAAGTATATAGTTAAGAATTTTGTACTTTCTCATATTGAAAAAACATAATTAAAAAATTCATATGCTTATAATTAAAACATTTCTTTAGCGTAATATAACATTATTATTACATTTACATAACAAGCATTAACATGCTTTCATAGTAAAATTGTACATTGTTCATTTCGTAAATCATTTTAGCTGGTTTTAACAACTCGAGTGTTTTATTACAACTCTGCTCTACATAATCTATTTAATCATTCATACATCAGTAAAAATACATTTATATATATATATATATATATATATATATATATATATATATATATATATATATATATATATATATATATATATATATATATATTTTAAAACGGAAATGGTCATTTAACAAATAAATAAATTTTTTATTTTAATAAACTGGCAGAAAACAATCAATAATAAATTTTAAATTAAAATTTTTTTTGAGTTCATGTATAACAAGTTTTGAAAATGCATTTTCTGCTATTTAATAAATGACTTATTTTGCATATAACTTAACAGAAACGTGTAATCTAACAGCTTTTACCTTTTAGTACCTTTACCATATTTTATTATTTATGAATACATACATATATAATTTACGTTTTATTTTATTCTTTAATATTAACATATAAGTAATATAATTCTTTAGCGGCCACATACATATACATTTTCATTTTATAAAAATTGTAGCATATATTATTATGAATTTACATTGCACTTATTTGTATGCTTCTACTGCTAATAATCCTATGAACTTCACGATATACATATGTATATTTAAAGACAAAAAAGATACATATGTATTTCTTCTTGAATTAACTTACGCAACATAAAGCAGTCGTTCCTTTTTTTATAAATATTATTTAATGTTGAGCTAGAATATTAAGTTAAGAATGGATGGTATTTTTTTTATTTTTGTTAAAATACTTTATGAAAAGTTAAATAATAAAAGTTTTTTGTAATAGTTAAATCAATTTCGATATAATAGCTTAGTTTCACATTCGTAGTATACATTTTTCATCAAATTTTTTATTTCTATGATTATAATCTTCATATTACTTTATTTAACACTTTCGGCTATTTATTGCGATTTTAGAATATCTATTTGAAAACTCTTCATACCGAGATAAATTATATAGGGAATTTTTGTATAATAATTTATTAATCAACTAACTAAAGATTTAATTAATTTTTTTTAAATTTTTAATTTATTTATTTTGTTTGCATTAATTTTACGATTTGAATGCTCGTTCCTGGCGTGAATATAAAAAAAAACATGTTTGAATTTAACAACAATTCAAAAACATGTCAAACGTTTTTGTTGCCTCTTACACTGAAATATACATATCTAATACCTCTTAAAATGTACATATATCAACAAATGATAATAAATGGGTACAACTTGAAAAACGAATATTAATCCGTGTTGAATTGCGGGCTTTTTTGATTGCGCTATTATACTCTGTTATATGTTACATGCATACATTATTTGTGAGCAGCTAAAGGACGTACTAACATTGAATTGCGCGAACAATTTATTTTGGCGGATGGAGTATCGCAAAGCATGGCTGCATTCACGCCACGACGCTCCACACCTAATGCCGTTCAAAATGGCAGTAATACACCATACACGAGCGCGCAAGGTCCTATCATCAAGGTAAATACAAAGAACGATTCATTACTTAAATAATCAAATATTGCATTTACCCCAAAATAAAATCTTATTTTTAAATAATAAAATATATGGCAATCGTGGGTTCGACAGGTAAGTGTGCTTGAGCGAGCAGTGTTTGATGTGTTTTCCTTTATATTTGAAATTATTGCTTCAAAAAATAAACCTACCAGCGTATTTTTTTTTATTGCAATCACGTTGTATAACATATTTTATATCGTTTTTAGCATGTTTTATTCCCTGTTAAAAACTAGTAATTTATTTTCTTTATTACCATGTTATTCCATGTTATATTTTTATTTCACCAATGTAGTTTGATTTTTGTTAGCTTAGGATATAATTTTACTATAAAGGGTTTTATTCAAATCTTGCATTATGAAGACAAACACCACTCAAAAAAAAAATATTATTAAAAAAAATGTTTTTTAAATGATCATTACCGTTTCTTAAGCACTCTCCAAATTTCTTATTTTAATGAATTTTTATCGTCAAACTCATATGAACTTTAGCTGATGAACATTTAGCTGAACTAATGCCTATTTTTGAACGTATTCGTGCACAAGAACAAGTCCCATGTGCTTTTCCCATTCACATGGGAGCAGGGGGTACGGTATTTGTTCGTTGCAATAGTAGTCGCTCAGTGCCTTTGAGTCCACATGTACTACACTGTCATCCCACAAATCACTGGGTAAGTTTAGAAATGTGAAAAAATTAAAAGGAATCATTTTGGGTTAAATTTAATCATATGTTTTTTTTATAAAAGTGAAAGTTATTTAATATATATTTTGTAAATAGGTTCGAGAAAGATCAGTTCGGTCTATACCAATGTCACGACCACCAAGGTCTTCATTATCTGCTTCTACTCCGGATTCACTTAGTGATAATGAGGGAAGTCATAGTGGACCTTCAGGAAGATATACGCCACGAAAAGTAACTTATACAAGTACACGAACTGGGTTGACTCCAGGAGGCTCCCGAGCTGGTTCGAAACCAAACTCACGACCACTGAGTAGACAAGGCTCAAAGCCACCTTCTCGTCATGGCTCTACACATTCATTAGATAGCACAGGTAAAAATTAAGATATATTTAATTTTATTTCTTTGATTAATTATTTAAATATTATACAAAGATGAGACAACACCATCACGTATTCCTCAACGGAAACGAATTGTTTCAGATACAATTTCTGCAACAGGTACAACACCTAGACCTTCGCGGCTGTCGGTAACAACATCATCACGTACTAATGGCACTACTGCAGCGACTAGGAAAACAGCTTCTGGTTCCGCAAGTCCAGCTCCTGCAAGGTAAATATAAATAGTTATTTAAAAATAGAATAAAAATAAAAATAAAATAGTTACTTAATTTGCTTATATTATAGACCTATAACATTTTGCCCACTTTTTTACGTAGTATTATTATTTATAACATTGTATACAAAAATTGTATCATATGTGTTATTGTTTTATTTATACATATATAGAGTGTTTCCTAACTTAATGACACAATGACAATAGATAATTCCTTAATTCAAAAATTAAAAACAAAAGCTTGGAGACATAATAATATAATAATAAAAATTATTCTCTGGGATTCTCTGTATTTAATTAGCACTCTGTTTCTCGGTTAGCACTGAAAACAAGTACCCCTGCCATACAATTCGTTTACAAATTGGACTAATAAATCTAGTCTTACACTTACGTCATATAGATTGGAAACACACTCAAAACTCGAAGCTCAATTTCTTAACAAATTTCATTACCAAATTTACTTGCTCTGTTGCTCTGTTGTATTAAAACAAAATCATATAAAATATAGAATAATTGAATTAATTAATGATATAATAGTTATTTTTAATTTTGCAGTTGTTATTCAGTTCTGTTCAAAAATCTTTCTATTAAATTGTTTCTTTACATTTTCTTTTTGCACTTAAAGTTAGTTTCTATGTAAATATTATTTCTTTTTTTTGAAATGAAAACTCTATCAAATAGGTATGTATGTAATTCGATTTGTAGAGAGACAAATTGTTAACCTGCAAAAAAAAATCGTTATATCTTTATTATTACTATTTTTTTGGAAATAAATCACATAGTTAACATTGCACAGATAATTATTTATTAGTATGTTTTTATTTTACAGAAAGTATGATTCGTAACAATAATATAATTTGTTTATATGTATGTTCTTGCGACACATAACTTTCGTGATATAATTTAGTAGTTTTCGTGAGAAAATTATGTGCTAAGGTTTAACTCTAAGTACAAGATTGTTACAAGATACACTATGATTTATTTCAATATTTTTAATTTATTCATTTGACATTAATTATACTTCCTAATATAAATCAATGTATTTTACTTATTTAAAGTTATTTATTGATTGATTTATTGATTTTATAAAACTAAAACCGATTAACTTTTTTATTTAATATTTCTGAACATGAACTCTCCACATCTATCATCCTCAAAACTAATAACTAATTGGCATTCAACATAATGATTTTAACACTTAAACAACTTATTGCAATAATTAACAAATAACAAATAAAAACAACGATAACAATTAATATATAAAGTAATGGAGGCATGAGTAGATCATCCAGTATACCAGCTTTAACAGGTTTCGGCTTCAAATATAGGTAAATTAAGAACATTAAAGTAACTATTATAAGATATTTATTTAAAATATTTAATTACATTCTTTCTGAAACTCTAAATATAATATACAAATCATTTATGTTTATATTTGATATAAAATAATTAAAAGCCGGCAATCAAGGATTCCCATTAAAGTGCCATCATTCGATCATTCATCGAATTCTTCTCCTACAAGTATTACAACATCGAAAAGTACTAATCAACCAAGCAGTTCAGGGTAAATCAAGTAAACGTATAACGTATTTAACCAAGTTGATCAATTTACAAAATTTTAATACGTTTGTTTTTATTTATTTATAAGTGAAGCTTATAATATTTTTTTTTAATTATTTACTTGTTATTCTCAAATTAAATATGAAATTTAGAGCTTAGTTTTAAAACGAATAAAAAATAATTTTAATAATACTAAATATTTGTGCATGATAATTACTTGCTAAACAATTTTCCTGCTTGCCTTTTTTTTTATAATAACATCCGTTACTTACGATTATCTCTTACAGTGAGGGATATAATCGTTATATAATAAATACTTCACAATTATAAGCTCTCTTTTTATGGGTATTACAGGAATTTGAAGTTCTTAATAACAAAAAAGTAAAAGATTGAAACAAACCCGAAATTATATATTGTATTTTAAATGAAATTATTTTATTTTTATTACTTTACGTTATTTACTTACTACAATGTTTACAGTTTTATTTTTACTGAATTCAAAAAATAATACATATTGAAAATTTGATCCTACAGGCGAAATATAAGTGGCAGTTCAACACCATCGGGCATGCAAACCCCAAGAAAGAGTTCAGCAGAGCCAACATTTAGTTCAACGATGCGCAGAACTTCTCGTGGTACTACACCAGTCGAAAAACGTGAACCATTCAGACTTTAGAGTATATTTCAAATGTTTGAATAATACTTCTTAAACGAGTCCCAGAGAACATCGAATTGAAATCGCACAAATAGATGCTTACACATACCATAACAAATCTACAGTTTTACAGTAATATAAAATAAACAAAAATAAGCAGATATTTTTATTTTAAATTTTAAAAATATATGTATGTATTTTGAAGAGGAAGTCTCATATATTTACAAAAATATAGTCAGAAATACCAGTCTTGAACTGTATAAAATACAAAAATCGAAATTCAATAATCTTTATTCAAGTAACGTCCTAACATTTTGTAAATATTATATACATTAATAATTAAATTAAATAGAAGTGATTCTGTTATCATTGTATTTAATTAACAAAAAAAATTTCGAATCGAACCTTATGTTGTTGTATGAATTTTTAAAATCGCCAGTTTAATTTGAAATGCAACTTCATATATAAATATTAACAATAATAATAAAAATATTAAGCAATTGAAATTCTTTAAAAATGTATATCAATTACACCCGAAATAATATGTTGTAAAATTTATATACTAATAGTCATTATTATAAGTTTTTATTAACTTACTTTTAGGATATACTAATTAATTTTTTGTTTATATTGATTTTTACTTTTAATAATTTTTAAACCATTATAAATATTGTAAATTACTAATACCAAATTACTAGGCAGTAATTTTGTAAAAACCTAATTAAACTAAAATAAATTTAATTGAAATTATTAACAAAAAATATTTTTATATGTGTTTGTACTTATTTAAAAGTAACAAGGATAATTATATTCAAAGATACCAACATAGATACTTAAGTTTTTACTTAAGTATTGATATTGAAACAAAATTTTTATTTCTTTTTTTAATTCAGAAAATATTTAAATACAATTAATGCGTTCAAAGATTTTCTTGTATACTATTACTACATTGACTTAACTATTGCAATAATCATCTCAAAAGCATAGATGGCTACTTTGTTTGATATAGAGACAGCATAAAAATTGATTAAAAGGATAAAATAGGTAGGAAGTCCCCAACATACTCCATGTAGACACAAATTACAAAATATTGGAACTTTGTTAGAAACATTTGACACTTAAAACAACTATTATACATGCTCTAAATGATAATAGTGTCCTAAGTACACAACCTAAATGCTGGAAAAAAAAATTTAACTCAATCGAAATTTTTTTTCTTTGCAATAAATGATAAATGATAAAACATATGGAAGAAAGATCATACTAACTGTAAGAGTAGCAGAAGGAAATAGCTGCCAAACCTGGACACTTAGCTATAAAAGTTAATAGAAATTCAAAGTGCATAAATGAGGTATAAGCGTAACTCAATGAGATAGATGCTCTAAGAAGTAAGATCACTACAAGTGTGCAAGGAACAATTGGGATATATATGTAAATGTGAGATTATAAATGTTTTCTGCTTTCCGACAAAATTACCCTTTATATGCTTTTTGTCTACGAACCTTAAGTTTTACCACAGACAAATAATACACAGATTGCGAATGCAGAACAAAAAAATGGACCCCTTTGATTTCATGGTAGCCAGCTCGAGTAGCCAGCTAAAAGCACAATCAGCTTTGAATTGTAGAACACTTAAGACAGACCAATCCCAGCGGCACCATTATGCCAGCGCTGAAAAAGTAAGCGAGGAGGTAGCTCTTCGTTTTTATTTTTCTTTGTTTTCGACATTTGTGTTCGACATAGGCAATTTCGGGGTTGAAATTATAAAAGAATGAAGAAGAAAAGCATATGAGTATTAAGAATTTCTTGTTTTGCCTACAATGTATACATTTAGTCTGCTTTTGATTTTAGTGAAGTGCGTGCAGTGAACAATTTTTAATTTTTAAAATCAAAATAAAATCAAAAATATAAATAAAATATAATTTGTAATTTAACATAAACTCATTGTAAGTATATGCAAAATTAAGTAAATATATTTAAAATGATAATTGTAATTTTTGTTTTGTATTATGCAGTTGCTATTGCGTCAAGAACGATTAATTGACCAATGTGCTGCGAATGCAGTCATTCTAAAGCAAGGGTAAAATGCAGTCAGCTGCTTCAATTGGAAAATTTTACAATTCAAACTGAGGAGGATTTAATTCAATTTAATGAAGAAATCACTGCCGTTGAAGTAGTTGTAAGTTTAATTATATATGTTTCTTACTTTCAATTTCAACTTATTAATATTTTCACATGTAACAATTTTACTAACTCATACATTTCTTTTCATCTATTACGTTATTTATAGGCTGCATCAATAAGACGCGTTATGTTATTGACAAACAACTAATTACCCGAAAAATTGCGTGGAATTTTGGAGAAAGTATACTCATAACTAATGGTATGGTATATTGTACATAATTTACTTTAGTGTATACAATAACATACTTTTGTATTTACAGTTGCTTTAAGGACAAATGGTACGCCGGAACAAGTGATCGAGTCGAGTCTGGAAATCTCTTCAAGGTTCTAATAACAATTTCACAGAAAAATATTCTTTTATATAAATATGTAAATATGTTATATTTTTTTATGTAAATATTAGTATTTTAATTTTATAAAACATAAATATATAAAATATAATTCAGCCAAAAAAATTTTTAGTATTTTATTTAAAAATCAATAGCATAGGTAAAATTGAAAAGGTAAACGAACATATCAGCGCTGATATGTTGCATTACAAATTCTTCATTAAATTGAATTAAATCCTCCTCAGTTTGAATTGTAAAATTTTCCAATTGAAGCAGCTGACTGCATTTTACCCTTGCTTTAGAATGACTGCATTCGCAGCACATTGGTCAAATAATCGTTCTTGACGCAGTAGCATCTACATAATACAAAACAAAAAGTACAATTATCATTTTAAATATATTTACTTAATTTTGCATATACTTACAATGAGTTTATGTTAAATTACAAATTATATTTTATTTATATTTTTGATTTTATTTTGATTTTAAAAATTAAAAATTGTTCACTGCACGCACTTCACTAAAATCAAAAGCAGACTAAATGTATACATTGTAGGCAAAACAAGAAATTCTTAATACTCATATGCTTTTCTTCTTCATTCTTTTATAATTTCAACCCCGAAATTCCCTATGTCGAACACAAATGTAAAAAACAAAGAAAAATAAAAACGAAGAGCTATTACCTCCTCGCTTACTTTTTCAGCGCTGGCATAATGGTGCCGCTGGGAATGATCTTAAGTGTTCGAAACACACGAAAGAACTGTTGAATGTGCATATGAGAAGGTGTGTGATATAGTATAGAAATTGTTGCTATATTTTCTATTCATATTGCTAGTTTGGGTGCTTGTGTGATTTATATGTTGACAATTTTCTATTTTGCGAACTTATGCTTCATAGTTTTGCTGCATCAAGACGAAAGGGCAATCAGTGAAGTGCAATTTTTTGTTTCTATATTTACAAAATTTGGTTTCTTTTCGGTTAAGAGGAAATAGAAAGGAAAGGGCGTTCAATAGTAGTTAAACATGAAGAAGCGTTGTTTAGTGTTGAATGGACACACAAACACACAAATTCAAAGAAATATTCTTTGCTTTTTGTATAAATTTTTTCTAAAATATATGATTGACTTTGTGTGCATGCAATGCACAATTTTTTCCAAATTATTATAAATTTGATTTTTGATGAAATTTTATACTAGTCTCATATATTTTGATATGAGTTTTGTCTATTATGAGGTGAGCAAACACCGGCAGTAGCCGAACCGTAGTTGTTGTTAGTGCAAATGATATTAATATGTATGGCAGTGAAGATAGTACGTTTCGCTTTACCGATTTTTACTAAATTTTATATGCGTATTCAGTAGGTCTGAGAATCGGCTACTATCTATTTTTCATACCGCTAAAGTGATTAGGGTGTCCCTATCCAGCAAAAATATCTTTATTGCTTTAACAAAAAGCAATAAAGATAAAGAATTTTTTTATATTTTTGAAAAAGAAAACTTGCTATGATATGAAAAGTTGTTGTCTATGAAAATACTGAATTCATAAAACTGCCCCCTAATTTCTGCACTATCGTTGTTTCCCAAAATGCTCTCATTGACCGCGTATTTCCAGATGTACACATACAATACATAAATCATGGGTGGCTGGCAGAAAGAGCCATTAGCATCAAAAAAACGTGGACGTTGATGAATTAAACTTCAAGATAAAACAGACATTGCCAGGCGACTTAATATCATACAAATCGATCGATACAGTTTGTGATACCAACGTAGTTGTAAACTATCCAGCAGAGTTTTTAAACTCACTGGATTTGCCAGGCATGCCACCACACATTTTACGACTGAAAGTTGGATCACCGATTATTTTACTTCGGAATTTGAACCCACCACGGCTATGCAATAGTACGTGATTGGTAATTAAAAAATTGATGAAAAACATTATCGAAGCCATCATTTTGAATGGCAAGTTCCGAAACGAAAAAGTTTTATTGCCACGAATTCCAATGATTCTCACAGACAAGCCAATTTAATTCAAACGCGTTCAATTTCCTATTAGATTGAGTTTTGCAAAGACCATCAATAAGTCACAAGGCCAAACGATGTATGTTTGCGGTCTTATATATACAATTTCCATGTCACAATGTTAGTTACGGTACTCTTCCGAAACGGCTTTACCGATTTTTACCAAATTTTATATGCGTTTAGAGTAGAAAATACTAATGTAAATGCTCCTCCAATAAACAAAAACGGTGAAATTACGCTCTACCAAATTGGTCGGTACATCAGCTCCAATGAAGCTGCTTGGCGTATCTTCGGTTTTCTAATTCATGAACGGGATCCAGCAGCTGTTCAGTTAGCCGTCCATCTTGAAAACGGTCAGCGTGTATTTTTCACGAACGAGACAATGATTGATCGTGGTACAAATCCACCTAAATCTACACTCACTGCATTTTTTGAATTGTGTAATAGTACGGATGATTTTGGTGCCTTTGCAAGAACTTTACTCTATTCACAAGTACCACGCTATTTCACATGGGCTCAAACACAAAAATGGATGCCCCGCAAGCAAGTTTCACCAGTTGATGCATGTCTCAATTTAATTAAATCGAACGCTATTTACAGTTAATCCAAGACACACTGAGTGCTTTTATCTTCGACTGTTGTTGGTTAATGTTACTGGCCCATTATCATTATTATTATTTACAGTCAGTCCAAGACAATTTAAATTTGAAGATACAACAGTTGTTGCCAGGGAACTTGTTATCATACAAATCTATTGATTTTAAATTAATAATTTAATAAATAAACTATAATAACTTAAAAATAATATTGTTTGGCGTTTGTTATTTTTATTTTCCTTTTCGTTCATAGCGCTCCATGCCTATTTCATGCATATACCACATAATTACACACTTATAATAAGTAAGTTGCTTTTTGTCTACACTAGAATTTATCTAGAAACTAGAAATAATTTATAAGGCAAAACAACGTTTGTCGGGTTATCTAGTATATATATATAACAGGGAAAAATCAAACAACTTACAAAACTAAATATACATATTACTAATTATAAATACTAATTATAATTAATTAATTATAATTAATAAATCATAAATTTGCATGCCCGATGGTGTTGAACTGCCACTTATATTTCGCCTGTAGGATCAAATTTTCAATATGAATTATTTTTTGAATTCAGTAAAAATAAAACTGTAAACAACTTGATTAAATTAAAAATATGTAATTTACATGACGACTTTGATTTTTTTACATTATTGAACATGAAATTACGGGACTTTATTTACATCAATAATCTCTTGATGTAAACAAAGTCCCGCAAACAGAGTGACAAAAAAATTCAAGAAAAATTTCTAATTGTTGTTTACATTGCAATGAAATTTAATAAAAATACCTACATAACATAAAAAATGCGTATGCAATATTTTCCTTAAATTTGTTTATACAGGCCAACAAAAGAAATAGTTACTACAAATTTAACAAATTTTTGCTAGCAACAAACAAATAATCAATACTAAATTTAAAGTTAACAGGGTCATGTATTAAAAAAAATGGATTTTGACTAAAAAATTTATTAAATTATATATATGTATGTATTTTACATGACGACCATGATTTTTTCAACAAATTGAACATGAAATTACGGGATTTACATTAATAATAATTTGATGTAAACAAAGTCCCACAAGCATAGTGACAAAAAAATTCAACAAAACATACATATAAAAATAACTGCATAATATAAAAACGCTTCCACATATTTTAATGCATAACCCTGTAAACTTCAAATCAATTTGCCTTAGATTACCAGCACAATAGGTTTTGTACAAATGTTTAAAGAAAACATGTACATATATCATATCAATGCGCACCCATACACCCATACACAGTTATTAGTATGCCTACGAATAGTATCATAGCGGAAAAAAACCTAATGTGATGAGCAGACGGAGAAACGGCACCAACCCATCTTCTCTTCTTCATTCTTATTGCACACTCTAAAAGATTTGTATGAAAGAGTATGTGAGGCAATATTTCTGAAGATGATGCATGGTTTTGTTTTTATATATTTTTCACAAAATATTTGATTGGTTTTCTCCACAGGCAGTACATAAATTCTTTGTAATTATTACTTCTTATTTTTCAAGCATTTAATTATTGGCGTCGTGTTAGTTGCCTACTTGAGCCCTTGCTTCCCTCTCTTGTCCTGTTTACAGTTATAGCGTGCGTACGGTTGTAGTCATAGACGAAAAAACCAAAACCAAACATGATTTGAAGCGCACAGGGTCATCCATTAAATAAGATGGATTTTATTAATAAGATATTTTTATTGTTTCTTTTATATGTTTATTGTGTTTTTAAATAATTATTGAATACATAATATTTTAATGTATGTTTTATATGTTTATTGTGTTTTTATATTATTTATTTGTGTAATGTTATTTATACCTTATTTATGTACATACATATGTATGTAAAACAAAAGTTGTATTTGTTATATTTACTTTATTTGTAAAACCGCTAATGTAGAATATTAGCACGTTAAATAATAACTGAAATCAAAAATAATGATGTGTGCAAAATAACTGTGTCTTCTAAGTATTATTAAATAAACTAAAATGAATTGAACACTGAACAATATTCTTTATGTAATTTATACCCATCATCAGTATTCAATATTTTTTATTAGTCAAACATACATACATATGTATATCCTTCAAACTGAAACTGAAGCTGAATTTTTTAACAAATTTCATTTCATCATTATTGCAATTATTAACAAAATTTGAAGTTAATAGGGTCATCTATTAAAGAATATGGATTTTGACTAAAAAATTTATTAAATAAAATATACATATGTATGTATTTTACATGACGACTTTGATTTTTTTAACAATATTGACCATGAAATTACGGGACTTTATTTACATCAATAATCTTTTGATGTAAACAAAGTCCCGCAAGCAGAGTGACAAAAAAATTTAACAAAACAAATT